TTCTGCTCAACGTGCAATTGAGCAAATAAGTCCTGTTTATCTGCGAAAATTTACGATTACCTAATGTAAACGCTGTAAGCAGATTCCTCCCAAGATTCCTCCCGCTACCCAACAAGGGTATGTCACGGTCACACAACGCCGAGCAACCTGAAGATACCTACGCGCGGCCCCCCGACGGTAGATGCAGCTGCGACAACGGACGGTTGGGCTTAGAAGACGGATGGATAGATGGATTGTATCAGTAGTAGTAGGACTGTCATACATGATTCCACGGACAATCATTTAATAGCACGAAGTCACGGTCAGAAATTCAGAATGAATGCAAGTGTGAAATCAAAGATTTCAAATGAGGGTGCGAGAACGACAAAGATGCATCAGAGTCGCACCTTGGTTCTGCAGGCCTCCCGTTGTGAATCAACGAGAAGGTGAGTGAAAATTTACAATTATTAGTAGATGTTGAGGGATATCCCGGCAGGCGCACGCGCCTGCCGGGAAAATTTACAAACTTTACAAACTTTACCGTAAATTTTTCACTGTCCCCACTTCACTCACTTTACCCACCAGAATTCGCACTTTACTGCACTTTACACTACCTCGCCTGTCCCTCCGCCCTCCCCATCCTACTCAGTTGCCATAAATGGTGACTTAGACAATACGGTCACATGACACATGATGTCTCTTCTCCGTCGCCTCCCATCTTCCTCGACGGTCGTTAACGTTGGCCCCCCGTATTGCACACACCCTTCCCCAGTAGCAAAATTTATAGGTAAGTGATCTTCCTTTATTGCTCGCTTACCCCGCTGACCCTGCGCCAGAATTCTCCCTGTTCGTCGTGAAATTGTCCTGGGTATCCTATTCACTCAGCCGCAACAGTCTACTAGTCAACAAAGACAATCATCGTGAGTTCCTTTCGCATCGTTCTAATTCAAATTGGTGGTTGACATATCGCAGGATGATGAGGTTAGTCAAAGGTACTTATATTCAGGGTGGCTTCAATGACATTCGAGTAGTACCACACCCATAACCGGACCTGCACCTTTTTCAAAATCTACGAAGTTTAATGATCTTCCAGATGATATCAAGAGGACGTTTGAAACTATCGAGTACGCTAATCATAAGTGCTAACATGTCCTAGGACTTACTTCGCATAGCTCGCACATTCAGGGATGTATACAAATAAGCAACGAGCTTAAACAGCGAAAAATGGGGAAGAGGCGATCAAGGGCCAGGAGTTAATTCGCGAATTGCACAAGGTGCGCCTCATTTTATTGCATATATCCAGTATGTTTGGTTACCGACTTTATCGATTCAGGAGCTGCTTGGTGTATCCTCCGTTATTCAGTCGGACTCTCTCTTCGCCAAGGACCTGAAAGTGAAGACTGAACAAGCAGTTCAAGACACGATTGTCGCAACCAACATCATCGAGGGCTTTAAAAACCCGCATCAGAGCACAGCATATCTCAAGAATCATGCTTCGTTCCCTCTGGAGTATGTGTAGATCATCAATGTGAAGTAACTTGAAAGTGTTGACATGTTGCTGGCTAGATTCTTCACCCGTGTCACGCAAGAGATGCAGGAGCGTCTGCAGTGGTTCAAAAACATTATCGAAGTATGATGCCATATTTTTGGTAACACCCTGAAGTATTCTAATACATCGAATAGCAAATTGAGCGGAAACTATCCGCATCGGCATCCCAATCTCAAAATACACCCCAAGGTTAGACTTTCCTTCACTCCACCCTCATCCTCAGCTTACATTTCGCTGTGTTGTCTTGACAAGACATCGAAGACTACCAAAACCTACGATCGACATCACGAGAGCCCATGAAATGTGAGTCGTGCTTTCGAAATCGTTTGGTTATGAGGACTCACATAGTCCCGTCATTCCAGCTACACTCTCTACCTACTGAGGATTGTGCTCTGTGCTAGCTAACCTCCTCGCATACGATTGACTTTGGCCGAAGAGATAGAATCGCTGGCATCGTCTCTTTTGTCCTTTGGATTCCCCTGTGTAAGATATCTCTGCCGGGTGTCCTCTCGCCACAATATTCAATCGCTTCAGTTCTGCTCGTGCGTCACCTTGTAAGTCAGAATTCAGTGTCCTAGATGAAAACCATCTCAGAATTGCTACGTGGCTCAATTTAGGTGCACATGATAACATTACATAGATACTCTGAAGGGAACGCGCCCATGTCAAATCCACAATGACTCGGTCTAAAGAGCTTCCTTGCACCTTGAAAATCTGTGAATGCCATCCTGGCACAATTGGAAGTTGCGTACAATCGAATATTGATTATTTTTTCACCTGTAGGATATCTAAAACTATTTGTCACAGGCAGAATGGGTACAACACCACGGCCCGAATCTCGACGGTCGTTAACGTTGCCCCCCGCATGGTGTGCTACTGTAACACTGCGGTTTTGTGTGATTAGAAGGTACAATCAAACTTTTCAGCATACCTTTGACTGACATTCTCATCTAGAAACACTACTACTATTTGTCATATGATGATACTGCCTTGGATCATTGCCAGAGTCGTCTTTCGTGTAAGTCTTTGTTTACTTGTTCCTCCTTCAAGTTCTACTTGGAACATTCCATCATCTCTTCCCGAGCTGGCAGGCCTTCTGTAGGTGAACCAACTCGGTAGGTTGCGCATGTCCGGACAAGCCTTTTGTAGGTTATCTGGATGTCCAGTGTGTGACGTACTCATACTCTGAGTCCCTTTGCTTTTTGAATCTGACTTGGGGCCGTTTTTTTAATGCTAATATTCATTTCAACCGCTTCAGCAGGAATCCGTTGGCTGGACCCAGTGTCCCATTCTTGGAGGGATGTCCAGCAATAAAGAACTTCTTCAAGGGTGCTTCTGTCACACTCGTCCACCAGTTTCAGACCGCCGCCCTTGCTGTTCTCAAGCAGAACGACGTTCATGCACCGGACCTCCGCCCAGATTCGCCACAGTTCAGCCAGTTGAAGAACTCCTTCAAGAGCGTTTCTGTCATGCTCGTCCACCAGTTTCAGACCACCGCTCTTGCTGTTCTCAAGCAGAACAACGTTCATGCACTGGACCTCCGCCCAGAACTCCTTCAAGGGCGTTTCTGTCACGCTCGTCCACCAGTTTCAGACCGCCACTCTTGCTGTTCTCAAGCAGAACAATGTTTGTGCACTGGACCTCCGCCCAGATTCGCCACAGTTCAGCCAGTTCAAGAACACCTTCAAGGGTGCTTCTGTCACGCTCGTCCACCGGTTTCAGACCACCGCTCTTGCTGTTCTCAAGCAGAACGATGTTCGTGCACTGGACCTCCGCCCAGATTCGCCACAGTTCAGGCAGGGCATTTCTGTCATGCTTGTCCACCGGCCGGGCCTCGAAAATATCCAAGGATTGGTTGCCAATGCTGGAAACTTTGAGTTTGAGAACACGACGGTCAAGGTAGGTTTTCATACGAATCACATCCATAACAGCTTCTCTCAGCGCGAGTGCAGGACTACTTCAAGAAAGCTTGGGGTCGCGGCAGCAGCATCATGGTTCTGTATGCGCTAGTGTTTGGTTTGGCAGATGGTATCCTACGGTACTCACTCTTGTGCTCAGTATGTAGTTGAAATTCAGTGTGATGCTTTACTAGTGTAGTCTACTATGTGTTACGACAGTGCGGGTCAATCAAAATTGAGAGCCAAGTGAATTTTAAAACATGGAGTGACATCATACCCTCTGAAATTTCAGAACTGTCCCACCAATTACCTCTGTCTTGTGTTTTACCTCCCACATGGCACGATCAAAGAAGGGGGCATCAGACGTCGTTCAAAAGAAGCCGAGGCGGAGGAAAGAATCAGCTATCCTGAAGTCAGCTTTGGCTGACATCCAGAAATGCAAGGAACTTGGAATTGAAACGCACCTCCAAGCAAACAAGACCAGGAGCAGCTATGCTGGCCATGTACGCCGGGGACGCGAGTGGCTCGCGAGCCATTTTGATGCACCAAGCTGCTCCGCTGACGAGGGGGACTGCTCAGTGCCCAAAGAGCCTTTGGTACAGCCGGTGGCACTGTCAGTGCCCTCTTTCGTTAGAGACAATCCAGACAGCGATGTGTATGCAGATCCTGCCTTCAAAGATGCGTTCGGGTGCACGCCAAACCGATGCTCCGACAAGGCGCTGGCCCTCTTCATGTCCCTGAAGGGGTTCCACGAAAACCTCAGCAAGAACACGGTCGAAAGTATCCGCGCAGCATTCAAAAAGCTCTGGGAGCAAGCGTGAGCAACACCCTGCAGGACCAGTACAGACTGAGAGTACTGACTTGTACCAGGGATGGCGGCACGTTTCGTGGAAAGTGGAGTTTCAATGAGGCGAGACAACGCTGGGAGGGAAATCCAGCCGACTCAGCGGAAGTTTACGACGTGATGGCATCTGTCAAGCACAAGGCCAGCGCAGAGGGCGGAGATCGAACTCACTCGATGGCAATGACAAAAGACTTCATGGATCGCATGCTCCAATGGCATGAGGCCGCATGCCCACTGGAGATCGCACTGCAGGCCATCCAGCTAGTGATGAGCGGCACACTGCCTTCGCAGGTCCAACTGACTCTCGACACAAGGACCCAGCTCACTCGCCATCTTGAACAGGTCACTTTCGATGCTGGCGCATGGACCTTATGGAGCAGGTATTGTCCCGCCTGCCGAAATTGATGTGCGCTCGCTGACTTACCATTTTGGTAGGTGCTTCGAACTCGTGAAACTGCAGCGCAAAGACATCTCGCTCGACACAATCCTGCTGGACACCGTCATGAAAAAGTATCTGGCACGCGAGCCACTGACACTCAGCGACAGCAACACCTATTTTGAAATATTCCTCTCGAACCGAAAAGGATGGCAGAAAAGGGTCGATAAGGGCATCTGCGAGGCAGACCTTAGGTGTGAGTTGATTCAGATTAGCATGAAGTGACGCCCTGCTGATGTAGCGGTGTATGTGCCTCACACCAGCCAACCACTACAAGATATTTCCCCGCCCAGACATGCCTTCCTGCGACAGCTTCATCTGGATGTTGCTCTGGATCAAATGGCTCGAGTTTTTTCATTACGGGCGCACACTCGGGCCAAACGACTTCATCTTCCCTTTGATGGGTGCCAATGGCATCATGCAGCCTGGACAGCCTCTCTCCCATGACACTGTGCAAAAGTGGATTGACGAGGCAACGACAGGTGCTGGCATCCTAGGCTGTTTTTCGACTCACTGCTTCCGCCGTGGAGGTGCCCAGTATTGGTTTATGTTCGCACCGGTTGGTCAGCGGTGGTCACTTGCCATGGTTCGATGGTGGGGAGGATGGGCTGATGGTGAACAGGTATGTGCCTTCAATGATCTACTTTTTTCTCGCTCTCACTCGTTCATTCTATTCCCAGCGAAACACGCTCATTCGTTACCTTCTCGACGAACTACACACCTATGAGACCGACTACAGTGATGCCCTCGCTCCTTTCTCCCGCGAAGCTGAATCCTCCCTTGCAGGCGAGCAGGCACTCATGAGGCCAGCATCCACTGAGGAGCTGCGCATGGTTCATGCATCCGTGACCGCAGATGTCAATCGTTTGCGAGTTGACGTCAGTGCAGTCAACGACTCGCTTCGGTCACTCACCAGCATGGTCCAGGCCACTTCAAGTTGCCTGAAGGCTGCTGGACACCTACCTCCAACACAGCTCGAAGAAGATCCCCGCTTCACCCTTCTCCGAGTCTCCGCATCTGGCAGTGCAGAGTCTCCTCAGATTTCAACTCCTCGGCATGTCCATCCACCACCAACACACTCCCGTCCTCTGTCATCTGTCCGCAGGAGCCATGGCCACGCACACATCACTCCAACTACTCGACCACTGCCATCTGCTGCTGCGCACACAGCCTCGACTCAACAACTTCCAAGCAACGGTCTTGTCATTCCACGGCTGCCACTCGTCCGTTCGAACGGGTTGAAGACTCCGAAGGCCGAGTCCTGGAGGGACATCATCACGCACTGGCTCGTCGGTGACCCCGACAGAGGGTTGAAGACGCCACTCAAGGACTGGCCGCAGGAGTGGTACCAAGGCCCGAACCGGAAGCTCGCAATGCAGTACCAGAACAGGGCCGTTGTTGCGCGCGAGTTCATCAACCAGTGAGTGCTTCCGGCTGCGATCCACACGTCGGCGCTCACACATTCTTTTGTTCTTTCTTCCTCGTCACCTCCAGTTACCAGTCAGACGAAGCCCTCTTCCTTGCAGCCTACCCAGAAGCCGAGCGGGGACACACCCCACTGCTTGCAGCCGTCAACAAGGCACGGGCTGCACGAGGAGAGCGTGTCCGTCGCAACAAATGACACGGAGGACTCTCACTTCGGAACCATACCAACTACTGCCGCCCACTCGAACGCTCGTAACTTGTAAGTACTATAACCACGAATCACTTCATATTGCAAAGGCCACATGCCAGGACTGTTGATACTGTACATTCCCGCACCTACTTCTCTACCCTAGGTACTTCCTCGCCGTACTCTCTCCTTCCCAGCGCTAGTTAGTTCCCCCAACTCTTTCGTGCTTCTTTCCTCCGAGTCCGTCTTTCCCGCGTGCCTTCTAAGTTCTTGCAAGTTGGTTTCGAATGTCCTGAGGTCCGGGAGGTCCACACCAACGACGAAAATCAGACACAAAGCCTAGTGAGCGAGCGAGCGAGTGAGTGAGCAGGCCTGAACCTGCGCGTCGGCGGCCGTCACGCGCTCCGCTTTTTTCGTACCCATCTGCGTCCGTTTGGCGCAATCACGCGTCACGGCCGCCGTCACGCAGTGATCCGGCTCGAAAAGGGCAAAGATCGAGACCACGTGAGCGCACGTGGGACTTTTGGCTGAGCGCCACCGTAAATTTCTCGACATAAGTGCGCAGTGTCTATCGATCATCCTCTCGGCAACATAGCCACTGTCACTATGTGTGACTTGCTTCAAGTTGCACATTTCATGACCATAGTACTTGGTGAAACAGGTCAGTTGATCTTCGCTAACTTAATTGTCACTAGTGGCCGCCTATGTACTTCTTTCAGCTGCACGCTGGATCCATGGGAGATTTTCAGAGAACGAGAAGAACTCCGATTCCTTCATCCCCGGGCCTATGCGTAGCGCCGGTCACGAACAAACGTCACAGTCTTGGATTCGAAAAGAATTCTGTTCCCAACTTCATTGTTCACGATTGTAGGACACCGATATTCCTCAGTTTGTCGACCTTTTTGTTCCGCCTGTGCGCTCGTCCGTACCCCATGCCCTGCGCGGCTTGAATAATTTCAACACTGTCAAAACCTCACCTTCTCGGCCATCGTTGCACTGATTCGTTCATCACTGGAACCTACATCCGTCTTCATTGTTCACTGGGACATCTCGGTACCCTCGTTGACTTCGTCATCGACCACAATTCGAAAGGAGAGTCATGATGCGACTGCCTCGCGCGTTTTCAACGTTTAATTTTCAGACTATTCTCCGAACAATGAAGTTCGAGAGAAGTGATTCATGAACTGCCGCCACAAAATACAACCCGCCACCTGGAGATACATATTTAAACATAGTCGAGTCTCCCATAGCGACGTTCTGTCCGCTCAATATTGACAATTGTCGTCGTTACAATCATCACGTCCGTTTACTGTTCGGCTCCAATGATCCAAGCCTTGAGATTTCAGTGCTGTCGGCAGAAGGTTGCCGCTCTCTCAAGCTGTTTGATGGCTCTGCCAAGCAGATACGGCAGAATGCTACATCCGAGTCGCAGAACCTGTGATATAATGTGCGTCTCAACAATTCAAAAATCAGCCGACTAAAAAACGAGATAGGGCCATATCGTACGTTGTCAAAACGCGCCGCACAGTAGACGCAGTGCGGTCTTTGCAGGCTAATTTTGTTCAACATCAATTCCATAGTATTCGCGCCTCACTCCTTCCCTGATCGACCTAGCCCAGACTGTTCGAAAAACCGTCCAATTTAGAATAATCTAGCGCCGCTCTATAGCGCTTGAGCTAAGTAAGAAATTCTTTCAGCCACCATGTTAGCCATGAATCTTGACTCCTGTTATTTACAGTGTTGCAATTGCATTTTATCAAATGCAAATATCAACAAGAAGAGTGATCATTTCCAAGATACAAAGGATGGCGGTTGGATTGAGATAAGGCGCTGAGATCAATCAGGCCCGCGAAGATGACTGTCGGACGCGAATACAAAGGAAATGATTGATCTTCTTTCGGTTGGTTTGCTTATAGTCTGGGGCACTAGCCGGAGTGAGGTAATGGTGCAACCATGAAGCAACGAGGTCGTGGGCATCATTTTTGATGTCAAAAGCACAATAAAACCCCGTGGCCAATGTTATTATCAACGTTTCATTGATTTTCTCCCTTCTATTTCACTTGCTGCTTCATTGCTTCGGACGACTCCCAAGCTTCCCTCATTTACACCGTGACTGTGCGATGCGTTCTTTCCATAGACTCGTTCTAGCAGCTTTCCCATTGATCACCCTGGTTGGTGCTCGCTCGTACTCACGTCACTTCCCTATCACTATTGGTAGACCGTCGACTGACGGAACCTACACGATCCAAGACTATTACCAGGGTGAAGATTTCTTCAAGTACGTACCACTTACATAGTTTCAACTTGTAACGCAGCTAATGATCTTCCATCTACCTAGTGACTGGGACTTCTATACTGGCTCAGACCCCGTCGGTGGAAATGTCATCTATCAAAACAAGTCGGCTGCACAGTCTGAGAGACTTGCATATGTCAACTCCGACGGCACGACAGTCCTTGCAGTTGATTCAACCAGCACTGTTGCCGCTGGCGGCGATCGTGATGCGTGCGTAAAGATCGTGTTTATCTATATTATATGCGCCTCACCGCAATTGTAGTGTTCGTATCACATCACAAAACAGTTATAACAGCGGTCTCTTTATCATGGATGCCTCCAAAATGCCTGTCGGCTGTTCTACATGGCCTAGCTTTTGGACCGTTGGACCAAACTGGCCATATGGGGGTGAAATTGACATTGTCGAGGGTATCAATGACCAGGCGAAAAATCAGATGACACTTCATAGTGGCACAAGCCACTCCTGCACCATTGACACAGATGATTCTTCTGAGTTCACAGGCTCTGTCCTCTCGAGCAACTGTTACAGCACTGAGACCTCAGACTCAGGCTGCAGTATCATGGATAGTAGCTCAACGTTTGTATCTCTTATGTGCATTAGTCGCAACCTAACGGTCCTGGGGCAGGTCTTTTGCGTATGGCTTTAACAATGCGGGGGGCGGGGTCTTTGCGCTTCTGTGGGACAATTCCGCTGGCATGTCGATGTGGCACTTCGCTCGGGCTGACATCCCTAGTGATCTCACGGCCCGAGCACCTACGCCTTCCAATTGGGGCACTCCGTCTGGTTTCTGGTCTGCACAAACCTGCGACATAACAGACAACTTCTACGAGCACCAGATGGTCATCGACACCACCATCTGTGGCAACTGGGCAGGTGGTGCATACTCGCAATCTGGATGCCCAGGAACATGCACGGATATGGTTGCTAATGCTAGCAACTACGTTGGTAAGTTTCCGCTGAATGCTTAATCGCTCCGCATTCCTCAGTGTTCTGTTGTAGATGCTAAGTGGGTTCTCAACTACGTCGCTGTTTATCAGTGACCATTCGCCTCAACCATTTATTCGCGTTTGACTGTCGGTTAGGGCAGGGCCCGGACTATATTGGACATTGCTGAATATCTGAGCTCGGACTATTATAATTCGTTTTATTTGATGTATTAAGTACATGAAACCTCGGGGGACAAAGGAAATAGAAGCCCGTTGAAGCGTGGATGCCTGACTTGTCTGACGCTTGCGTATCGATGTTGTTCTGGTGGTCTCGGAACATAAGGGTATCGTTCTGCTGACATATGATGTCCAAGTCGCGTGAAGCAGCACGCAAATGATATATTCAACAAGCGCGATATCGATAGCTTCCATGGGAGGCTTATATTATGCAGCTTTGATCCACAGCAGTACACTTGCATGAGTGTAAAAACACCTTACCAATGAATGAGTGGCGCGTCTAGCACATCCATGCCAAACTTGTAGAACGGCCTGAAGACAATTTCGCAAGTCAGGTTGTTGAGACTTGCGATCGTAAGCAGGCTACAGAAGGTTTTGCAGCATTATATCCGCATGATGGGTCTAAGCCTGCTCGCGACTCCGAGTCAATGTCGTGCTGAATCCATGGGCAGACTTGTTCAACGTCGTTACGCGGCTTGATGAACACGATGTTAAGTGCACTGAGCTGAACTAGAATAGGAAGGAGCACCGACTGAGCCAATATGGTCGCTCACGACAGCCCTACAGCAATTCTGCGTGGATTTTATCCATAATGCTAGCAGCTCTGGTACAAAGTTGGCGCAAGATGAACTGCGCGACGCGAAGTTGTGTGGTCACAACGTGCACGTGATGCTGAGTTTTTTTTCGGAGACTATAGTACTATTTCCAAAACCCAAACTTTGAACATTTGATTGAACACAGTATAACTGATCTGCATCACCCTAGAGCTGAAGGCTAGATGTTTCTCTTTCTCATCATGCAAACAAGCCAGTGGTTTTTGCTGATGTGTCTATCAGAATGATCCTCTCATCAACATAACCACTGCTCCGTGGTCACCAAGAAGTTGCACGTGCTATGGGTTTGTGAGATCTACGTGAAAACGAGAAAAAGTCCTCCAAGTCCTTCATCCCAGCGCGTGCGCAGTGACCAAACCCCACTCGATTGTCACTCAGAATTGATTTCCATCCGCACTATTCTACAACAGTTGGTTCACCTTCAAGTTGGCTGCACGCACTTCAAATTTCAAACACCCTGCATTGATATGATTGGTTCGTGAACCTTTTCTTTCCAGTTCCGTTACTCTGACCAATGCCCATCAAACTGGACAGTGCCCTTCAACTACTTTCGATGTTGTCACAACATTGCTCTCTCGTCGGCCACCCTCAGTTGTTGCACAGATCCATGCCAGAATGGATCTGGACTTGTTTACGCTTGAACCTGCTCAAATGAGAGGTTTTTCAGGCTGCAGAATTGAAAAGTGCTTGTGCATGGGGATTGATTATGGAGCCACATCTAACCTGTCTCGTCGCAATTGTGCGTGGCGGGGATCCTTTAAGGGTCAGCCGTACTGGCCAGCTCATTACCACCTGAGCATACATCCCTAATGTCCATGACATGCGCGTTCTTCGGGTTGATTTCAAGGTATTTGCCGACTCTTGGAGCTCGAGAAAAAGGAATGCATTACTAGTATGAGTTGGCGCTTGCACACAACGATATTCTCGGGGCATATTCGCTTGATGCGACTGGAATATAACCGAGTCTCCTATTACGATTATCACGTACGTTGAATTCGCTGTTCGCTTCCTTCCAGCTTCTAGATCTTATTCTTGCTGCCGCTCTGCCAACCAGTATGGCAGATGCGGCAGAAGCTACAGAATTCGTGAGATCATGTGAGTCTCGGCAATTCGAATATTAATCACCAAAATGCGAATTAGTAACATATACGACACCGGAATGTACCATACAATGGAGGTAGTGAGTTATTTGCATGCTAACGTGTTCAAAAGGGATTTCAAAGCATTGACGCCTTACCCATCCTTTGATGTCCCGACCCTGATGAACACAGTCCGGACTTTAGGGGGGTATAAAGCTGTCTTATTCGAGCTACTGTGGCGCGTCGGGGATAGAGCTTGACGACGATACTCTTTCGGCCAGTACTTCAGTTTCAGCTATGCATGTTTTGACTCTTGTCATTTACAGGGTCGCCATTGCGGCCGATGAAGTCACATTGACCAATGTAGACGAGGAGGGAAGGCCAAGCAACTACCAGAGTACAAAGAGTGGTGGTTGCATTGAGGATAAAATAAGATCAAACAGGGCCACAATGAGGTGCGGTTCTGAACTTCGGTGACCAACGCGAATACGAAGGAACGACGAATGATCGGTTCGTCTGGTTAGGAGAGGCTAACTGGGGCGAGGTAATGGAGTACTGCCCGAAGCAACGAGGTGGGTGAACGTCATTCTCCATGTCAAGTACAATAAAACCCGATGGCCAACGTTACTATTGGTGTTGCATTACTTTCCCTCCTCCTGCTGTTTTTTAGGACTACTTACGCTTTCCTCTCTTTTGCATCACGTTGCACGATGCGTTCTTTCTATACAGTCTGTCTAGCGATGCTCCCATTGACCATTCTGGTTGGTGCTCGCCAATACTCGCCCTCGCGTTACAGCCGTACCACTGCCTACTCCGTTAAAGACTATTATCAGGGCAATGATTTCTTCGAGTGTGTTAGCCATTTTTAACTTGCAACTCGGCTAATGGTCTTCTACCCATCTAGTGACTGGGACTTCTATACTGGCTCGGACCCCACTGGTGGGAATGTCATCTACCAAAGCAAATCAGACGCACAGTCTAAGGGACTTGCATATGTCAATGGCGACTCTGACAATGATAATGGCAACGACAACGATAAGGGTGATACCGACAGCTACTCCTCTTCATCGTCTTCCTCGTCCTCAATTGTCCTGGCAATTGATTCAACCAGCACTGTTGCTGCCGGCGGCGATCGTGACGCGTGCGTAAAGACCGTGTTTATTGATATTATATACGCCTCACCACAGTCACAGTGTTCGTATCACATCTCAGACGAGCTACAGTGGCGGTCTCTTTGTCTTGGACGCCTCCCAAATGCCTGTCGGCTGTTCTGTATGGCCTAGTTTCTGGACCGTTGGACCGAACTGGCCATATGGGGGTGAAATTGACATTGTCGAAGGTATTAATAACCAGGCGCAAAATCAGATGACAGTTCATAGTGGCACAAACTACTCCTGCACCATCGATACGAATGATTCCGATGAATATACAGGTTCTGTCCTCGCGAGCAACTGCTACAGCACTGAGTCCTCGGATGCGGGCTGCAGCATCATGGATAGTAGCTCGACGTTTGTATCTCTTTCTTGTTCGTCAATTCCAACCTAACAGTCCCCGGGGCAGGTCTTTTGCGGATGGCTTCAACAATGCAGGGGGCGGTGTCTTTGCTCTTCTGTGGGACAATTCCGTTGGCTTGTCAATATGGCACTTCGCCCGGTCTGACATCCCTGCTGATCTCACATCCCAAGCACCTACGCCTTCCAATTGGGGCACTCCGTCTGGTTTTTGGTCTGCACAAACCTGTGACATAGCAGACAACTTCTATGAACACCAGATGGTCATCGACACTACTATCTGTGGCAATTGGGCAGCTGGTGCATACTCACAATCTGGATGCTCAGGAACGTGCACGGATATGGTCGCCGATGCTAGTAACTATGTCGGTGAGTTTCGGCTGGATACTTATTCGTTCCGCAATGCTCATTGCTCCGTTGTAGATGCCAAGTGGGTCATCAACTACGTCGCCGTCTACCAGTAAACACCTGGCCTCAATCCTTGATTTTCCCCTGCTTTGCTACTGTAGAGCGTCATCTGTCTCAAAACGTCCTTCTTTTCTTTTCTTTTCTTTGACAGTATCGTTCTCTGTTTGTATATGTCACTTTTTTGTTTGGCATTTGGAGGAATTTGGAGAAGTTCCCGCATGATCGGGCATCTGTACAATCATCCTAAATACAATGGACCCTATTGGTAGTATTTACTATTATGTTATGCTGTTTCCTGAGATGGTGATAGATAAGCCACTTACGTAATGGTCCAACCTCGTACGTTGGAAAAGGGGATATGTTCACACACCTCTTTTGTTAACTGACCACATCCTGCAGACCGATGGATTCCCAGCAGCAGCCGCCGCCAGTCCCGATATCCGACATCATCACGACAGCGTGGCCAAGAAGAGCAGTCAAGGTTTGTGCTTAACGTTCACGCTACCTTTTAATGTTAGCTTATCAGGAATATCGCTAGGCATGTGCTAGTTGCAGGTAATGATCTCGTGATTGAGGGGCACTCCTCGTGTCCTAATATTCTTCCCCTGCAGGCGTGACAAAATACGCTGCGATGGTCAAAAGTAGGCTTTGCCTCTACTCTGATCTTAATTTCCTTTAATTCATGAATTGATATCGCGATCAATTAGGCCTTGTGGAGGCTGCGTTAAGAAAGGTTACACTATTGAACAGTGTGTTGCTGGGTGCGAGAACTGTCGAAAGGCTCGCGCGCGCTGTGAAGGTGGAAAGCCTTGCCTCAGGTGCCGAGAGGATCAGGTAGAGTGCACCGAAGGCCATCACCACCCGGTATTGCGTGCAGAACCTCCTCCCGTCTTAGTTCTCCGCGGGCCACATCGCTCAAAGCCCGACCGTGCAAAACTGGCCTGCCAGAACTGTCGTCGGGATAATAAGAAGGTAAGCTTGTGCTGTGGTTGTGGATGCGATTTTGACATACCCTACGTCTAGTGTGATGATCAGCGACCTTGCTCTCGATGCATTGCACGCGGGGAAGAGTGTGTTCATGTGGGAAAGGGACCTAAACTTGTTAAACTTCGTTGCGAGGGTTGCAGGCAAGAAAATAAGAAATGCGAGGATGCACGTCCATGTAGGCAATGTGTTGAATGTGGCAAGGAGTGTATCAGTGTTCAGAGGAAGGGCAGAGGTCATGGTACCCGTGTCAAAGCGGTCAGTCTTTGTTTGGAATAAGTATACTTTTTCTGACGCTATCTTTTCAGGCTTGTGTGTATTGCAGGTAAGTCATCCACTACGATCTAGAACATCGCTTCGACAACTGCATAGACGTGACAAGGTGCGGTGTGAAGGTGTGAGGTAGGTGGCCTTGATGCCGATGGTTTGCGCATTGGTTGACGATCGTTAGGCCATGCCTACATTGTGTGCGTAAGGGGTACCAGTGCCTTGATCGCATCTGTCAAATATGCACTCAGCAAGGTGTTAGTGGCGGATGCCCACATCTCGGTGAAGGATCGGATAGTGATGGTACGCAAACATCCAATAAAACGTTACCTCATCTCATAATCATGATCTTCAGCAGTGGTTGCGATGGGGAGTATGCAGCCTCCCCATCCAACTCCAATTCAAGTTCAACAGTCCTCCATGATGATGGCACCTTTGCCATTCCCCAATCAAGTCTATGGTCCCATACCATACCATTTACTAGCTCAATCAAACCATGAGATTGGGTCCCTGCACGTACCTGCGCTACCTCGTCCTGTTGGATCTTTTTATCCTATAGTCGACTCTCCTATCAATAGCCCTCAACCAAACATCTCTTCAGAACGGTACGACCCACTGCTTACGGGTCCAAGTGACTATTCGAAGTCGGGGGAGTAAATACGTTCGTTGTAAATTTTGGACTTTTGCTTGGAGCAAGGTGGTTGTAATTTTAGCCTCGCTTTTCAAAGCGATACCTAGAATATCGTACTGTAGTTCTGTAAGCTTTAATGCCTTCGACTCGTTTCTCTGGGGCAAGCTTCTGGAATTCATTCTTATCGAAGGCAAACCAAATGGGGGATTTCCCTTGTTGATGTTGACTTTGTTTGTACATGCTTGGCACCGAACCTTTCAGTGATACCACCACGTAGAGTTCATTGTCCTTGTCCCGTATATTTCTTTTTCTTTTTGAGCTGACCCGATACATTCTTTCACCATGAGCGATAGTGTGAATTCATCCCCGGAGAGGTTGTTTTTAAAGGCACTTCATACGTTTCCCGCTGACATGACACTTAGACCAAAGGTTGAATCATCCAAGATCAAACACGCTGGCAAGGCCAAGGTCAGCGCGTAATTTCACGCGACACCACGCGAATAGTTCTCTGACGAGCCTTTTCAGAAGAAAAGAAGTGTTCCGAACATTGCGGAGTACGCCATAAAACATACTAGACGCGTTAAATCACCTTACGCTTCGGCAGAGACAAGTCAGATGAAGAATTGGATACGCATCAAAGTATTGGAATTGGTGACCCCCAAGAATCACCCGTAAGCTGGTTTCTATACGCTTGGCTTGTCAATTAACGATGGATTAGCCGTCTGAACCGAAAGCTGCCCCAAAAATAGTCGAGGTTCTGTGAGTTCAGAGTATAAAACTGTGCATCTATGATTCATGATTATCTGTATATGCTATTTAGTCTCCCTGGACCTTCGCCACCACAATCCCCCCGCAATTCCCAAGAAAGCCAGGTGCTTTCTGCAAAGCCTGTCAGCAAAGCCAAGGGATCCCGTAGTCGTACCTCATCAGTGGTATCCTTGAACCGCCCCATCCGCCATGAGAGCCCCTCTGTCCTTTCTGTTCGTGCGAAATCATCAGATAAGAGTTCCCCCTCATCCAAAGCCAAGTACGTATCTCGGGTTCCTTGGCGCGTAATGGTCACTCACCACACTGGATAACCAGGTGTCCTGATACCCCTGATGACGATGCAGATGAAACCTCGTCCATTGCAGAATCATCTGCCGGAGGTCGAATACGCCGGTCTGAATCCGAGCGTATTCAGTATTTCAAAGACCAGTCACAATGTGACGATATGGAGCCGCGCCGAGTCCATTGCGCTCGATGCGACAAATGGATCAACCTTGGTAAGAGACAGACGTATGCTGTTCGTCCTTGGGAGATCCATCGACGGAGATGTGACCCACGGTCCCCTGTTTCGAAGAAGTTAGTACATTTCACACTGAAAATTGAACACTACTTATCCGAACAGGAGCCACCGAGACGAGACCGAAGTGGAAAAACCCGAAGGAGACGTTTCGGTATCAGAATTGAGTCAGGAGATTACTAAACAGTCTTCACCTCAGTCGGCTCGGCAGGATGACGCCGAAAGGAAAGCTTTACTGGAAGAGGATCCTCGTGCTCAAGAGGTCAAGCCTCACGAAATTCTTTGTCGATCCTGCCAGAAATGGATCAAGCTGTCGATCGATCATGCCTATGTTCTTGGAAATTGGCACGCACATCAACAACGATGTTCAGGTGTCGTGTGAGTGATTCTTTCTTTTCTGGATTTTACCATACTTTTGCTAACTAATGATTTAACCAGACCCAGCAGCCGAGTGGCTACCGCAGAGAGAAAATATAGTCTGCTGACTGACCCTCAAGCGAAGTCGTCCTCCGCTCGACATGTCGAGTGTGCTTTTTGCAGGACAACTGTCGAGCTGGACGGCGTCGCTCAGTATGATTTGACCAAGTGGCACGAGCACAAAGCAAAGTGTTCTTCGTAAGTGGATATCATTTTATCAATGTTCTTATAAGTAATAGTGGCTGTAGTCATACTGTTCAACTCACTCCAAAGCCTCTTGGTTCTCGACTTTCGCGCGTTTTCCCTCCACCATCTGGTCAGGCTATCACTCAAACGCCTATCAACGAGGTACACAAACCCCCTACATCCTCGAGTTCAGCGCCTACAGACGTCATAGCCATCAATGACAACCCCCCGTATCGCATTGGGGAGAAACGTGCCCGGGACGAAGAAGATGCTGGAGAAGACCGTCCTATGAATCGTCCGAGAACCGTGGCCTACCAAGTGCCCGAGAATGAGGCGCCAGGTCCGTGGGGTTGGTTTATACAACCTCTCAAAGCTTTCGTGCGTGGTTTCCGTGAAGGTTTAGGCACTCCATCTACGTAAATGTTGGTACTAGTGTGTTGTGCGAGTTGTGTCGACTGTATTGTACCCCGCTCTATCTATTGTGCTTTGTTTTCTTTATAATGCCATTCAACTATTCCCCTGGACACTTGGAGTAAATGTAAACACGCGCGAACGAGCATGCATGTAAGTCGACGGAAATTTCCGAAGTGTGTCCCCGCTCTCCACTTTCTTCCCGTGACGTTCGCTCTTACGCCTGACTGTCGCGCATATACAACTGAACCGTTGAGATATAGAGGTTTTTGTATTGGCGCGTAAAGTGTACGCAGCTCTTCGGCATACGCTTCCAATTTCCCCCCACACGGAATTGGACTACAGGTCAGTGGCCACCACCACGTCCGGACCGATAAAGCTCATTCCACACTCTAGAAAATTGGACATTGATACCCGCTGAAAATACGTTTCTCCCCCCACTGCACTGTCTCATCCCCCCGCCATCAAAGTCATGTGGGTATTTATCGCTAACCGATGTTATTGTTGCTCATTCTATTCGTGCCACTCCCGCAGGGGGTCGTCGAGGAAAGATTCTAGTTTAAAAGGCATCCATGAGTGAGCATCTCTGTCGTCTCCGATTAGCTACATATTCATCCAGCTGCTTTGAGCAGCGGAGATGCGCCTCGCCGAACTGTAGGCGAAATTGCGAGAGAGAAAAGGCTACGTGACGACCCGATGGCAGAGGTTCTTGGCCCACTCTTTGTCACCTGCAAACGCTGCGGAAATCGTATAAAACTATCCCCGAAGAGTCTGTATGATCCCTTCCATTGGCTGAAACACCGCGAACGTTGTTTAAAGAAGCCAGTCGCGGGTGCCCGTGCCACCAGTCGTCCATCGAGGGAAACAGTGAGTCGCTTCGATAGCCCTGTTTTATTTGGTGGAATTTATGTGATCCGTCAGATCATAGTCGAAAAAGCCTCCCCTTCCTCATCGTCTAACACAGACGCCGACAATCTCACACCACCACCTCCTTTGACTCCCAATGACGATCAACGGGGAACTCCTGCCGTTTTCAAAGAAAGCTCGTCTTCGCCTGACCCGGAGGAGGTGGTCGTCGATACCTCAACTAAAGTTGTTGTACGTCAATTATTTTTTTGTTACACGGGGAAGATCTAAACGCAAGTCCTTTAGGACTTGCCTCTGGTAGATCATGGACCCTGGCAATCTTGGTCGTGGTCTGATTTGAGACTTCCAACCTGGTTGGTAGATACCAATCCTATGCATGAAGATGATGGCGACGACGACGAGCCTCCTCGAGTGACCATAATAGAGCGCGGCTCAACTCCAACTCTCTCCCTCCAGCCGAGCACGCATCCTCAAGACCACTCCTAAAATCATATATGTTGCTGTATTACATCTATTTGTTATAGGTGTTCTCATTTTTGCTTTGTTGTCTCCATTTGCATCGCTAGTACTTTACCATACGCATATAACTAGCTACCACATTTGCCCATACCAGCATACCACAGTAGCCAGCATTAATCTACGCATTCTATGATCTTCACTACTATTATTATGGATACCATCTCTTATCCACGTCTAAGTATTTCTTGATACGATTTCGTGGTCTGGTGCGGGTGGTTGGTGAATGCCGCTCTGGAGAAGATGAACTATCGCAGAATCCTGGCTTGCACGAGAACCCCTGTATAATTATCAGTATCTTTTTTTTTCTAGACATGACCATCTCACAGGATGGCTCGCACTACGTCTCGCAACACCAGGGAACTCGATATCTCAAGTTTCTCCACACCTGGGAGTTCGTCAGCCCTCGTTGGCCCTACATTCAGCAACATGACTGGTTTTCGCAGCTCTAACGCGTGTTTTACCAACCTTGGGGCACAATGTCGTCAGTGTCATAGTCGTGTCACGATAGCGGGCAATTGCAAGCACCTGAATGCGGAATACGTCGCCAGTGTGGTGCCGAGGACGAAAACCCGTTCAGACTGTTCAATATCATGAAACCTGCGTTGGGGTCACTACTCCAACACGGGGAAACAAAAAACGCCCAACTTACGAGCGGTCCTTAATCCGACTTGGTATCGATTCACCAAAGAATATTAGCTCTGGTTTGTGCTATTTGGCATCAGAGACCCAATAGACATGGCAATCAAGCTGCCTCTTACAAAAGAGCTCTGTTGACCATCCAATGTACACTGCGGACACTCTGGGACCACGAAATCGGTGTAAGAAACACCTTCCAAGTCCACCTTCAAGAGAAATAAATCATCAAAATTAGGCCTGCAAACGACGGACGAACATCACCGTCAGGATTCGTGCGTAGTTTGCTCCCGGTCTTCTCTAGATTGTCAACGAATGCCTTCCATTGCGGATTAGAAGCAGGAAAAGCCAATCTTGGAACACGTCTCTGGGGACTACATGACCGCGCTTGCAATGTACTCGCTGCAAGTGAAACGATTGGTTGATTGTTCGCTGAAACACCAGAAAGCGAATGCATCCAAAATGGCCCAGAACGTACATGGAGGGTTCCGTGGAGTTCGAAGTATTTGCTTTCGGATATGATCCGGCTCCCAAAGGTGTGCAATCGCTTTGTGGTGTAACCCATCTACATTTTGCGTCACGAGGCGAGGTAAGTATGATGCATATTGGAGTGCGGCGATTGCATAGTGGCTGGTATTAGGCAGAGCGTCCCGGACAGAGGGGTAGCCCAAGTATGATCGAAGCCTACCAAACATCAACCGGACGGACTGACCACACGATTTGATTTCATACCAATACCGTTGCCTGTTTGATCAGTTCAGAAGCCGTGTAACATGAGGGGGATTAATTAACTTGCCTGAAAGCAAAACCCTTTTCACTCTCGTCGGTTAGTTCGTGATACTAAGGCCGGGCGCTCGTCAATTGGAAACGTTCTGTGCCTGAAGCAACTTAAAAGCGCGCACAAAAATCGGTCTATGTCATAATCAGAAAGAAACAATTAACGCGGTTCCTGGCTTCGCATGACGAACTCACTTGTAATTGGGGTTCATATATCTACCGTCTTTTCCCCGATATGCTCTGATCCCCGAAGCAACGCTAACGCCTGCACCGGTGAGTAGCGTCGCTTTTCCTGGCGCGAGGAATTCTGCGATACGTTCAACCGCCGCACCTGGTGAAATTGTTCGTCTTGGTGCTCCAGAGCTGTTGATAATGGTTGGTACTGAGATACGCATAATGTCAGTTGTTCAAGTTAGTCTCTTGCGGGAATCCGAAGTAGCCGTAATAGCCGGATGGATATACACGAATATACAACTTGTTTCTTGATCAACGACCTCGACTGCAGATGAAATGAATCCTGCTCGACCACCTCCTGCTGTGCTGCAGACGCCAGGATTTGCCCATTACTCTGTGGCATGGTCCCCTTTTCACAATTCTCGCATCGCACTTGCTTCAGCTGCCAATTTCGGTCTTGTGGGTAATGGTCGCCTACACATGGTATCGCTAATTCCAGGAGTCGGTGGCTCGTCTGCGGTGAAACTTGATAAACAGTCTGTCTGTCGACTCGACTAATAAGCTGGTGCTTATCTTTCTATCAAGATACGAGACCCAGGATGGCATATACGACGTTGCATGGTCAGAGATTCACGAGAATCAACTGGTTACAGGCTCAGGAGATGGAACGCTGAAACTATGGGACATATTGTTGAATGTACGTCCAATATCAACTCATCTTCAGATCTGTGTGGATCAAAGCCGTTTTTCATGCCTAGGACTTTCCAATACGCTCTTGGCATGAGCACAGTCGTGAAGTTTTCTCCGTCGATTGGTCGAATATCAAGAAAGACACGTTTGCCTCCTCCTCATGGGATGGAAATGTCAAATTGGTAGCTACATCCAGTGTCTCGCACTGAATTCAACTTACAGAGGATATTTTGTAGTGGACACCAGAATTGCCTCGTTCAGTGACAACACTGCATGCGCACCTGTCATGCGTGTACCAGGCTCTATTCTCTCCTCATCAACCAGATATCCTCGCTACATGTTCAACGGATGGAACTATGAAAATATTCGATCTTCGTTCCCCCGCTTATGTCACCGGCCCCACCACGAATTCTTTCACGCACCCCTTGTCTAATGCAGTCCTGACCGTCCCTGCATCTGGCACTGAGTTGCTTTCCCTCGATTGGAATAAGTATCGACCTTTTGTGCTGGCAACCGCTGGCGTTGACAAGATGGTGAAGGTGTGGGATTGTCGGATGATTCAGAGCGCCAACCTGAGTGCTCAGGCAATTGGTGGCGTCTGCGAGATCCAGCTTCCAGGTCATGAATATGCAGTGCGAAAGGTCCAATGGAGTCCTCACCGCCCAGACATTTTGGCTACAGCCAGCTATGACATGACATGTAGGATGTACGTGAATTTCTGCAACAGGTTGTGCATATCTAAGCAGTATGGGTTTGTGCAGATGGTCGTCTAACCCATCCGCAGGGGGATCCAGTCTCCTTCAGGTCCATGATCCTCATACGGAGTTTGCGGCTGGTTGTAGTTGGTCCCTCTATGATGAAGGGTTAATTGCAAGCTGTGGATGGGATGGAAAGTTATTTGTATTTCGTGCTTAGATGGGCATTGTTACTTCTATGTTGTGCCTTCGTGTTGCTGTGACTGGACGCAGAATTTTCTGCGGGAGACGGTGGGGCAATTTCTATTGCAAATTTTCGTGGTGTATTTGACATCCTTCAAAACTCACACTCACCTAGCGCTTGATATGCGTCAAGTGATTTGTCGACACGTGTCCAAGTGCTCTCCCCAGCGTATGGTTGACGAGTCCACCTAATCTGTGATGCCACTCACGGATAACCGTGTCAAATGCATATCATCGACAAGAACCTATGTCCTTGATGTTATCCGCCGGTTCTTCCTTTTCCTATTGAATTTTGGTTTGCGTTATAGGTATGGATTCATACAATGTTAAGTTGCATGCTATAGGCGGTATGTCATCTTCTGGGTATACACGTCAGACCCACAATTGACTAGTCTTCGAAAGTCGAATCTTATTTTTCCTGCCGACTTCCCCATATCAAGGCGCAACAATTCACCGAGCGCTCGGTTCGATCGTAGTTCTGGTTATGCAAGGCTACATAATCTCCATAATATTGTGTGAATATTTTTTTTCTGTATTTGTATGCAGCGACTACGTCAGTCTGACTTGTGGTATCTATGTCATGTTTTATTGTACATAGGAATGTTAGCTCACATGATGTCACGGTAGCCTGCCCAGAACGTTTTAGCAGGACACCCACACGGCGAACTTGTCGATGCAGCATCTTCCCTCCGAATATTGTACGGTTGAGTATCGATAGGGGTTTGTCCTTCTTGAGCAGTCCCGACCACCTGTGACATGTGGGTGACATCAATGAAGTGCATGAGATCTCGACTTGATTCTAGCCTGTCCTTGACCAAGATCTTGAACTGCTTTATTCTTTTCATTTTGAAATCGAGCATTCAATGCAGGTACCTTCAACACATATTACCCAAGGGTGTTATTCGCGTAATACTAGAGTCTGCCAGGACATCATAGAGGATGATCCTGAGGATATCATGTCTGCTTCTCTCCATACTCTTTACGACTATATCCCAATCTCCCACTCAACCCCCGGATCGATATTTACTTACACGATAAAACGTAACGGAGGAAACTCAGCACTAAGACAGATCACCCTTCAGATACCAGACACGCAAGCAAGCAACTGGTCTTTGCATGCTTCATCCATCTGGCAATCCTCCCTTCACATTGCAGATCACATCAAATATCTGCAGTTGGATCGCTTCAGCGATCGAAAAGTATTGCGTGTCTTGGAACTTGGCGCTGGTGCTGGGTTGCCTTCGATCATGATCGCACGGACTACGCCCAATGCTGTTGTTGTTGCCAGTGATTATCCGGACGAAAGCCTTATACGCGCACTATCTGATAACGTTTGTCGCAATCATGCTTCAGAACGCTGCTGGACTGTCCCTTACGCTTGGGGCAGTGATATATCCCCACTCCTCATGCCCGCCCAGCAGAACCCTGAAGGTTCTGCTCTCTTTGATATGATCGTCGCGGCTGATACGCTATGGAATCCTGAGACCCACGTTCAGTTTATCAACACGCTTTGCATGTGTCTTAATCACACCCCAGACGCTCGTGTACATATCGTCGCTGGTCTACACACGGGAAGATACACCCTTCAATCTTTTATGAATGCTGTTGTGATGCACAAACTTCAAGTAGAAAGAGTGGTGGAGAGGGAAGTTATGGATGACGTTCAAAGGCCATGGGATGTTACGCGCGCTGAGATTGAGGATGAAAGGGAGAGACGAAAGTGGGTAGTCTGGATGGTCTTGAGATGGGCATGAAGTAACGAGTTTCGCAATGTGAAGTACAGTCCAGTCGTGCCTAAATTCAGTACTAGGAGTACAACTAGTCATTAGTAGGAGATAATATTAGCGCTAATAAGCATGATCGTTATGTAACAGGCTATCATGACGACATTAAGGTACATGCTGGGGTGTCCCGAAGGTTAGCACACGGATGACAGTTTGACCGTCGCGTTCCTGTGACAAATTTTAGGGGCCAGTAAAAACGGAAGGCAGGAATACGTACGTTGTATAAGATCACCGCATCTTCTGTGGCGTCAACCCAAGTGATGCTTTGCACTTGAATGGTGCTCGTTCTGATAAACTCAGCTGCGCCAGCCTTGAATATTTTACTGGCAGTAGCCCATTTCTCATTCCACGACCAAGTAGAGGACCGCGGCGCGATTGATCGTAGGCACTCTGCCGCATGGTCGTTAAGGTCGAGCACGTGAAGGCGACTTCGGGAATCGGCCACACAGTGTTCTTCACCGACGCTCTGGAAAAAGACCAGTTTTCTCCCCACAACCTCGAAGGCATGCGAATCATCTGGTAAATGAATCACCGTACAGTGGTCCTGCCATTCCTCCCATGATAGAGACCTATCGCCAAGACCAGGTGGCTGAAAGAGCGATTCCTTCGTCACTAATGCCACTTTCTTGGAACATCCTGCCGGTATTGAATGGGAGGAGAATTCGAGGAGGATAACAGTTGCACGTTGAGACGGATCAGAGTGGAAGAAAGTTCCCGCCGGAGGAGTAACATTGGGCTTGAGAGACGTGTTCGGACAAATTTGCAGAAACGATATTGCCTTCCACGATTCTGGTAAATCATATGATATCACCTGGGCTGAGCACAATCGTCTATCATCCACTATATGGTGAATAGTGATTTGAGGGGAGCGCTTGCCACGTTCGTGAAGGTACAACCCGTCTGGTCCGCGTTCCCAAGTAGAAGCGGCAGATTCTCCACTATCGTCGTCCTCGTCCTCGTCAGGATGGGATAGTACCATCAGACACGATTCGCCGAGGATGTCGAACGAGAGGAGGTCACCAGTAAACTGTCGGAATTTAGAACCTGACGGGCCCTTGTGGACTAGGGGAACACATTACCCGCTGTCGTTGATCAATACCAGTGTGCCAGTTGATTAGAACAAGTTCTGTTGTTCCTTCACCTTCTTCAACTCCAAGACGCACAGACAGACCGACCATGATTCCATAGATCTGGACCTGTTCAATGGAAATACGATGGCCTGGAGGCAAAGTGCCCCACCAGTCCGTCTGAAATTGAAAACGTAGGTTTTGAGCCTGCGAGTGTTGCTGGCATGTCCACATATCAAGAAAGTGAAGTGAAACAGTTATGGGTCCATCCCTAGGTGTGTTGGTCAGCATGGACGGAGACACCAACTGTAATCATCTTACTGTGAAGGAAAATGAAGTTCTGCAAGCACCAAAAGATTCTGAACAGCATCAATGGCGACCTTGCGGATTTCGAAAGGCAAATTAAATTTGCAATATTGTAATTTGGCAACCGGCGGTGTCCTGTACGAGCGCAGCTCATAGATATGAAGTGACCACTGAAATAACCCGTGGTAAGAACTTTCGCTAGCGTGATAGAGGAATCTTCCGGAGACGCCAACGATCGTTGGGGTTGGAATACAGAGCCTGTCCTCTGAGGTCCAGTTTAATGACAACCATCCTTTCCTGTGGCGGAGGAGCGGGTCCAGCCGCGCGCGGGGTGAATAAGAGCTTGAAATTCCGTCCTTCATCCCAGACAAAGCAAGTTCGTATCGATATAGCAACGTCGAATAATTTACGACGATGATATGTATATATCGAGAACTCTATTAATGAAACGTTAAGCAGACGCACATTGACTGGCAACTCCGGCAATCATACCTTGCAGAAGTGCAGTAGTGAGATAGGATCGAGCTCTTCTAGAATAATTAGAAGGAGCTCCCTAGAGAGGCTAAAGAGAGACATGACCAGCACGCTGATAACTAACGTGGTGTTCGTGAAGTTCGTGGCCTCCCGTTCTTCGTCTTTATAGTGCAAGGCCGCCCTGAGGTGCTTGACGCTGGTGACCAAAAGACAAAAGCATTGAGGCGCACAGTGTGTTTCGTCGAGAAGGATCCAAGGGGCAAGCCAACAGAAATCTTATTGACGCAAAACATCAGTACGTAGAGCGAAGCCATCATCTGCACGACGTGACCACACCCTCGGACAGTAACTGCCTTCTCCGTTCGAACAAGTTAGAAGTGGCGGGACCGAATCAAGTTTTGCAACGCTCGCCATGTCAACCATTGAGTAGAGATGTCATCGTTGTAATATTGCCAAGAAGTAACATAGGTTGACAATAACGAAGTTGGCTAGAACTGGAAAGAAAGACGGTATCAGTAACCCTGGAAATTTTGAATACTTATTATTTCATCCTATCGTGGGATGGCGTTCTAGCGACGCAACTCGCCTTGGTGAATTTGACAACTAGAGCTAGTACTCTTAGACTGGTGAGGGCGCCGTGCTCAATGAGGCCTGGTCTGGCTGACGTTGGAAACCGGCGGACATGATTACTAATGTGTTACTAATCATTAGGCTATCCTTTGCTCGGTCATCCTGTCTAACGACTCGGACATCCATGGTCTGCAAGAAGTGTGAATCAGTATGTCACTGTTCATGGTTTATGAATGTGGATCTCATGAAGTTTCTTTAGAAACTGTCCAAGGTTGCCGCTCCAGATCCGTTCACCTCCACATCTCAAAGTGTAAAGGATGGATCACGAAGAGTAGGCGAGAACAAGCTACTAAGCCGACCCGGGAGCTCGAAGAACAGGTTTCAGGTGAGTGGGTTATGGCCCTCCCTTGGCATGTACTTAGCGAGGAAATGGTTGTCAGCCATATCAAAGCAAATGCAAGGATTGTAAGCAGCCCGTGACGCAAAATAAAGCAAAGTATTGCCACGGTGAGTAGCGCAGCACTATCAGGCAAACCTGGAGCTCATTCCGTCCTAGGTTGTGCATATAAGAAAGGCCTCTGCTCTATCTGCGGCAAACAAATATTGGATACGACTGGGTATGTGATGTCTAGCAAGTAAGTGAAACCCGGTGTGTTGTACTACAAGATCATACCACTGTAATATGATATTTAACAATAATGTCGCACCTGGTGTCTGGAACGTGAGCGCAAGGGCCAATTCAGGACTATCAAGAAGGTGCTAGCTATCATGATTCACGCACATCCTGTCCTATATACTTCTCATATGGGGTCAGTCGCAGCCTACGCTTGATTCCAGGGTCCAGGTGAACTTGATTGATTACTTCCAGTAAATATGGTGTTCACTGTTATAATATTCAGCTCAGCTCAGCCGATGACGCAAAGGCTGCATATGAACGAAAAGAACCCCGCTGGAACACATCAGCAGCATTGTTGCACGTTCAAGTTGTTCACCACCGGCCTGGAGATTTTATTCTAGAACATCGTGTTTACAACACTGTTGAAATGTCTGGTCAGGGCACGTTTCAGAAGGGTCACTTGTAAGCTTCACTTGTAATCCTAGGAAACCTGATTGTTGGTGGCATTTCAATTGTCCTGCGTCTGCCCGTTCAGGACAGATCTCCTTTAGATATAAAAGGCATGGAAGTCGTGGTGACCGCGCCGATAAACGGTTTCGTGCTTATGTACTGCGGAGTGGGCGAGCTGGCAGCCATTTCTGGTTATACCTGGGCAGATGCCGGCAGACTCAGCACTCGTACGAAGCAGCAGAGTATACACCGTCGTTCAAAGCCTCGCTGCAACGAAGGGCTAGTGAGGCAGCGGTGAATCAATAGCTGATGAAGATAAGTCGATTAACACGCACCGATCCTGATTGCTGAACGTCTTGTATCTGGAAGTTGAGAGATTCACGATCAAGACGTGAATCTCTCAAGACAAGTCAGTGTAAACTGTGAAATGAGAAAGAGCTCACGAATCAATGCAGTACGACTTGTTTTTGTGGCGCAGTGTAGAACTACACGGTTCTTCCTTTTTTTGACTGTGATGTCTTAGACCACGTTTTTTGCAGTATTACGAGTTGTCGCATGTCAGGGGCTACGAGTTACGTACTCCATGATAACGTGAACTCTTAAAAAGACTTGCTGTGCTTGCCCCAACGCCACTCTCAAGTTCGTTATCTTTGTCGCCTCTCCAAATATTGTGCCACAGTCATGCAGCCAGGAATTTACACATTCATAAATCGCCAGAGCGGTACAGCAATGGCCCTGAACAAACATGACTACACGTGTGTCGTCGGTGAGCGCCTCTCAAATGGCTTCTGACTTATAAACATCTTACCTTCAAACAGGCTCTCCACCTTGTGATGATTCTATCCAAAAGGTAATCGTGCCTTTCTCTTCTACATCCTGAGTAACTGGATGATTGTGAAATCAGTGGGAAATAGCACCTTCTGGAGCAGGATATACCATCCGAAATATGCAAACGGGGACTCACCTCTCTGTGAAAGGACTCAGTCGCAACACTGCCATCTTTGCGGGGCATTTTCCCGCAGCGTGGCAAATTATCGACGTGAAAGTGGATGACGAAAACTCTGAATTGGTTGAGTACGTCTCTCTCTAGCAAGTATCGTAGGGTTGCTTTGACGTCACGAGTCAGAATACGCTGGCCGCATACAGAATACATGTTTGATTTGGCCGACTATGGAAACTCAGCTCCTGGAACAAAGGTACGGTATATAGTCTCGACCGGCGTTGGAATCTACTTCATATTGTTGCCTTGCTCCAGGTGCAGCTCATGGACACTAAACTAAATGCCGTACAGCATCGTTGTAGATTGTGGAAGCCCATCCTCATGCAACACACTCTTTACTCTGGTCTTTCGGAGCGTGTTGAAGACGACACATCAAGCACTACTACTATAAACGCTGCTGATGTGCCAGAGGGAGGGGAGCTTGTCTTGGTTACGACCACCACCACAAGAACAGTGGTAACAAAAGTTCCGAAATACTGAAGTAGGGGTTTTAGGGTTTTGGGGTGAGCGCAAGCTTTGAGAGCCGTGTAGCACATGTCCAAAAGGCTGCATCGAACGAATCAGCGGCATTGTTGCATGTTCAAGTTGTATACTACTGTATTGCAGATTTTTTCTAGAACATCGTGTTTACAACACTATTGAAATGTTCGGTCGGGCACGTTTCAGAAGGGTCAGTTGTAAGCTTCACCTGCCTTGTGATCCTAGGAAACCTGATTGTCGATGTGCATTTCAATTGTCCCGCGTCTGCCCGTTCAGACAGATCTCATTCAGATATAAAAGGTATAGAAGTTGGGGTGATCGTGCCGATAAACGGTTTCGTGCTTGTGTACTACAGAGTGGGCGAGCTGGCAGTCATTTCTGGTTATACCTGGGCGGTGGCATCATGCCGGCAGACTCAGCATTGGTGCCTCGAAGCAGCAGAGTATGCACCATCGTCCAAATCCTCACTGCAACAAAGGGCTAGTGAGGTAGCGGTGATTTGATAGCTGATGAAGGTAAGTCGGTTAACACGCACCAATTTTGATCGCTGAGAGATTCACGGTCAAGACGTAAAATTCTCAAGATAAGTTCGTGTAAGCTGTGAAATGAGAGAGAACCCACGAGTCAATTTGGCGCGGTATAGAACAGACTGCTAAAGCATGTCCGATCTACTCGTAATAAATCGATACACGCTCAACAAGGTTCTTCCTTTTTTGACTGACGTCTTGGACCTACAGGACCACGAGGTGTCAGGCCTGTCAGGGTGTCCAGACTCATGTACTCCATAACCCTTAAAAGACGCCTTTGCTTGCTGTGAGCCTCTCCCAAATCCGTTCTCTTTGTCTCCTCTCTATTGTGCCACAGTTATGCAGCCAGGAGTTTACAAATTCATAAACCGCCTGAGCGGTACAGCAATGGCCCTAGATAAACACGACTACACATCTGTCGTCGGTGAGTGTCTCTTAAATGGCTTCTGACTTAAAAACATCTCACCTTCAAACAGGCTCTCCACCTTGTGATGATTCTGTCCAAAAGGTAATTATGCCTTTCTCTTCTATATCCTGAGTAACGGGATTATTGTGAAACCAGTGGGAAATAGCACCTCTCGGAGCAGGATATACCATCCGAAATATGCAAACGGGGACTCACGTCTCTGTGAAAGAACTCTGTCGCGGTGCTACCGTCTTTGCGGGGCATTTCCCCACAGCGTGGCAATTTATCACCGTGAAAGTGGATGACGAAAACGCTGAAATGATTGAGTACGTCCCTTTCTAGCGAGTGTCGCAGGCTTTCTTTGATGTCGCAAGTTAGAATCCGCTGGCCGTATACACAATACATGTTTGATCTGGCCGACACTGGAAACTCAGCTCCTGGAACAAAGGTGCGGGTCTATAGTCTCGATCGGCGTCAGAAATCGGTTGACATTCTTGTCTTACTCCAGGTGCAGCTCATGGACACTAAAATAAGTCCCATGTATCATCGTTGTAGATTGTGGAAGCCTGTTTTCGTTCAACACACCCTTCACTCTGTTTTTCCGGAGCGTGTTGAAGACGACGCATCAAGCACTACTACTATAAACGCTGCTGATGTGCCAGAGGGAGGGGAGCTCGTCTTGGTCACGACTACCACCACAAGAACAGTGGTAACAAAAGTCCCGAAATACTGAAGTAGGGGTTTTAGGGTTTTGGGGCGAGCGCAAGCTTTGAGAGCCTAATTAACTTAGAGAGGAGGTGTAGCGCCAACGACTGTCCGAGTTAATCAAGTCCGACGGTATCAGTGGATAAGATCCTGCGGAAGAAATTCGCGTGACTCCCATGTCCACCACTCCTGTCACTGTGCGCGTTGCCATGGCCAATGGCGCCGCAGTCCAGCTGCATCAGGGACGAGATGGACCGAGCTAATATGTTTCTTGGCAAGTATCAGCGTGAATTTGAAAGTGGCTTTATATAGAAAAATATTCCTTGGCGTTCTTAGATCCCTTGCGATAAACTTTGTTAATGTTGCATGACACCGTGCGTGGAGATAGTACGATGACGTCAGGGCGCAGTAGTTTGACTACCTCGATGTAGAGTGAATCAGCCATGGATTAAAACGGACGCTTGTTGACGGCGCAGCGCATCGCAATGAGGGCGCGGTGTATACTAGCTTGCGCAGCAGTTAGCTCGGTGATTTCGAGAAGCTGGGCAATCAGTGAACTGATTGAACAATGATTTAGTAGCAAACAGTACTAGCAAGTAGGTAGGCAGACGAACCGGGGTACATGACAGTTGAACTGCTGTCGTCTGATGGCCTCGGTATGATCCCACTCAAGGAAAAAGTGCCATGTGCATCATCATGGTGCTCAATATGACACATCCACTGTCAGGACGTTTTGATCAGCTTATTAAACGCGCTGAACAGCTGCTACAGCACAAGTACAGCAAAGCTGAAGATGGTTGAGTCAACCGTTTAGTAAATTCCTTGCACCTATTTAGGTTAGATAATCGGTTCGGGCACTTGGCGGGGTAGGCCGAGCGAGTAATTATAATGTCCTCTTGGCGACTCATATTTGATAATCATTGGCCCTTAATGTTAGGACATTTCCCTGAGGGTCGGATGCTGTTCTGAATTTCGGTAAACACGCACTGCCTGGGCCATGAAGTCCTCATATTTAATTCACTCTTCTCTCCCTTTCTGCCGGAACCCATTTCCCTTCCTTGCGACTTAGGATGTTTTCGGAATCATCTCAAGTTTCTAAAGCTGATATAACCATACTCACACAACAACTTGACACCTACCCTCAACAAGTATGGGTTTTCATCGGCGTGTCTCTCTCCATAATTGGCTGCTTCCAGTGGGGCTCACACATTCACTCCAAATTCGCCAGGCGCAGACACCATGAGTCTGACGAAGAAACGGCTCCTATCCATAACATTCAATACAAATTCTCACTCCGTCGTATCCCGCTCGCGATCATAAATTTCTATCGCGTTGTTGCTTTCCGGTGGACCCTAGAAATAGGAAAGTCTTATACCCTCAACATGGCAGAAGTTCTCGTCACTATGACATACATCGCCCTTCTGTTGACCTACGCCTTCATTAACAGTAAGCTCACAGAATCGTATCCGTCCCTTTGATACTGCATTAACAACTAAATCACACAGCCACCTCAGTCGAAGGCCAGAAGCTTGATATCTTCTACTGGAGCAACCGCATAGCCGTTCTGGCGTCCAGTCAGTTTCCCATTGTCACGGCTCTTGGCACAAAGAACAATCTTGTATCTCGTAGGTGGAAAGCTACGAATCCGACGTGTTGCTGATTTTTTTCGCACCAGTGGTCACAGGCATCAGCTATGATAGGGTATGACCCTTAATTACTCTCGACAGGGCAAATTACTCATGGGTATGAAGCTCAATTATATTCATCGAATGATGGCTAGGACGTGCTTCATGCTCCTTTGCATACATGGAGTGGGCGAAGTGATATATCCCTCGTACGTACCTCCAATTCATGCTTGCACTTTTCTAATCAAGTTTACCGAAAGCGCCCAGAAAACTTCGAACAACGATTGGGTTCAGGCCGGTACTATTGCCCTGATTGCCCTCGCTGTTGTAATCGTAGTATCACTGCGTCCCGTCCGCAGTAAGGTCTATGAGCTCTTCTTTTACGTCCACTTTATTGGCGTCCTGTGAGTGTAGCACTTCTACTCCCTTTTGATTGTTGTTGTTGACAGACAGAACGCAGGGCATTTCTGGTGGCAGCATATTTCCACGCCAATGGTATCTAGTAAGTGGAAATTAATACAGACAGTTAGGTTTCTGACTTGCAGCGAACAGTGGGTCGTACTGGATATGGCCATCGCTTGTGATCTGGGCTCTCGATCGCTTCGTCCGAGTGGTTCGCCTTGCTGTATTCAATCACTCCTACTTTGGCTTCAAGTCAGGATCTGGGACGATGGATGCAACGACGGAAATGCTTTCCGAAGACATCGTTCGAGTGCGCTTACGTCGACCCCCGCATTTCCACTGGTCCCCAGGACAAGCGGCATATCTAATCATGCCTTCGGTCTCGACACTGCCATTCGAAGCGCACCCCTTTACTATCGCGAGTTTCGATTCTAGTCTGCTCTCAACCGCAGAAACCGAGGATCAATCGGGAGGCGGTGAAAATCACGAAACCCAGGTTCTGGGATCAAGCAATTCACTCTGGAAAGAGCTAGTATTTTTGGTCAATGTACATGGAGGGTTCACGAAAAAGCTGAAGGAGGTAGCTGCCACAAAGGGCACAGTTAAGGTGTTTGTAGATGGTCCTTATGGCCCGTCTGTTGACCTCGGTTCTTACGACACGTCTGTATTCGTGGCAGGTGAGCTGTGCGTCGTCTCATAATCACACAGGACTTATCGAAGGCAGGAGGGTCTGGTATATCGTATACCGTTCCAGTCTTGCTGAGCGTTATCGAGTACGTGAAATAATTTAATCGTCGTCATTGATGTCTCATTGTTCCCACAGGCAGGTACGCAAGGGGAAAAGCTCCTGCAAACGAGTGGTGTTCATTTGGTCAATACGCCAGGCTGGTGCGTAGATTCATGATTCATCCACAGTTCATTATGAACAATACTATGTCATATGTTATAGGGTATGTTCGATGGATCGAAGAAGCGCTCATCAAGGCTGTTCAGCTTGCCCCGCCTTCCTTGACAGTATCCATCCGCATCTTTAATACTGGTTCTCCATCAATGACACAGTCTATGGAAGAAGTTTCTGGCCTTCCAAATATAACAGAGAAGATCGTTACTTTCGAACCAACGTCGTCAATGTTACTGTCGTTACGCGGAGTCAAGATGGAAAGTGGTCGATCGGACCTGGATGCACTGCTCAAAGAAGAGGTTAGCATGGCCTCGGGGCGTATGTCTGTGAGCGGTAAGCACCGATTCCGCTGGCCTCCAATTATGTGCAACTTACGGGGATTACATTAGTTTGCGGATCTTATGGTATAGCACGCGCGGTCCGTCATGCACTTCGCTTCCCTGTTTCTGGACCTTCCAGTGTTCTTAGTGGAGGACCGAGCGTGACCCTATATGTTGAATCATTCGGATACGCATGATATTATCGTTTTCAGTGGCTGTTTGACAAGTACGGTGGACAATGGTTACGGCTTATTTAGAAGTCTGATCGATGTTTGTTCTGGATCTTCTGGTGCGACCATACTAAGTATACTTAGAGATAACATATTCACCCCAAGTTACTTAGCACAGAGAGATAATTGGTATCAGTACTGCTTGGCTCGCATCGAATTTCGAAATTTTTGCCAAGAAGCTCAAGCGCTCAGAGATTGGACCGCAGTCGTTCCTGTGTCAGGCGGGGACCTGATTTGTAGATTAGTCAGCGGATAGCTCTGGCGTTAGTGGCCCAACACGGAAAGAGGCCCCTATATTTAGACAATGATGTTTTGCAATTTAAGCACAGCGGCAGCAAGTATATATATTCCGTAGTTGTTCAATTCGGCTACCAAGGTCGCCCGAGTAGCCCGAGCCTATCACATGAATGTGATATTATGTCGGTGCGCACTGCGACATTTGAACATTCTCTGGGAAAGGCACAGCAGCACATGAACGTAGCGTACAAACATCTCTTATTGTAGTCCGTTCGACGTGAACGGGATAGAAGATACTGAGTTTGATCAACCTTTCAGTCGTAAATTTACGTAGATTTATTGTACACATAGATGTGACCTATATATTTGTGCTAAATGCTAAGTATATCTCTCCTTGGTATCCTATATGCTAGGGTTGTGCCAATCCGTCAATTTCCATACGCAATGCTTTACCGTGCCCTAGACTTTCACCTTGGCCCTCTCCTCGAATATCTCAACGTCGATCGTGTCCGTCGTTATGAACCGGTGAATGCTGACATGCTTGATCTGCCCATACCTCCTCAGTCGTCCAATTGCCTGGGTCTCGCAAGCGTCATAAATCTCCTGGCTCTGAGCAAGGAGGGGGGAAAGAAAGATTCCATGATTGGCAACCGTCAAGTTTGCACCGCTGGCGCTCTCGTCCATGACGTTCAACAGAAGTACACGTTCTTTGCTGTCGTTCTGGAATTGTTCCAAGTTCTTACTTTTCTGGGTTGCAGAGCCGTTGATTTCCAAGAACTCGATCTTGTGCATCTTCAATGCATGAGCGACTTTTGCCATGAGATCAGGGAACTGGACGAAGATGAGAACACGGTCCTTTTTCGGGATTTGGTTCCTAAGGTTAGATACCGTTAGTATGGTCACGAAAGCATAACGGGACCACGTACTTGACAAGGTCCACAACCATCTCCAGTTTCTTCCCATAGTGCTTGCCGCGTCCATCGCGGGCTTCGTCATCAACTCCCAGAGTTTCTCCCTTGACGATGTTGAGAGCACGAGCGGCAGCATTGCATTGACCCGAGGGATGGTAAACACATTCCTCTCGGTTAGCAGCTTCCTTGACACACGACATGCAGCCCGTGTGGCCGCATGAAGACAGTACAGCAACTTCGTCCATGGGTATCTCGCTGCGCTCGCATGCTGGACACGAGACGACAGGAGGCGTATCTCTTTGTTTCTGCAGGTCGCGCACAACAGTGAAATAACGAAGTGACCGGACGCGTCCAACGAGTTCCTTCGTGAGCTTGCGAATAATGTGCGTGTGCTCACGGTGTTCCCAGACAGCCTCCTTCGTTTTCTCCGCTAGGTTCATGTCGCCTTTGGCCTTGTTTTTCCAGTAGGTCGAAGATAAAACTGGGACTTCAGCCTTTGTGAGAAGATCCCGAATCGTATCCGTAGCTTCATGGTCTCCAACACCGCCTTTATCTCTGGAAACGCGAGCGTATTCCTGGAACATGCTCTCTTCTGGGAGTTTGCCAATAGATTTCTCTTTCTTGACTGCCTTCTGGAGCTCCTTCTGCAGTTCTTTCTTACAGGCCTCCAGCTGCTCGGTCCGCTCTTCGACGATGATCTCACAAGCTTTCATGGCGTTCTCCTTGTCTTTGGTTTCAAGGTCAAAATGAGAGCAACGCTTCAAAAGAGCTTCCTCTGCGGTCCTGAAAGTGAATGTTAAGCAGTGGTTTTAGCAGCGTATGTTTGTTCTTACTTGCTCTCGCCAAGTGCGATGTTGAGGCGTTTCTCTCGGTCACTCTCTGACTTCCTCGTGCGTTTGGCAACCATGTCGATAGCGCGAAGGTGATGTTCCAGTTCCAAGTAGATCGCTCGTTCTGCGGCAGGCAAAACGACTTTGACAATTTTGAATGTGCATGGTATCTCGTCGATTTCTGCGATATTCTGAAGTGCAAATTGAGTTCAATTACAAGGATCATGAGAAGTATATCTGACCTGCCGCACGAACATGTCAAGGAACAGTTGGCCGAGACTGTGACGATGTGCATGCCACTCCTGCGTGTGTACCTCACGGAATGAATGGAACTCTTCAACCTCTACGAAAATGGTCAGCATGTCCTATTTGTCTGATTGTAAAAATCTTACTCGTTTGTTCACGGATGCGTTTCTTGATCATCGCTGACCTACCCTCACCACTATCATCAATACCCAGATGAATGTTCAGATGTGCAGCAATAGTCTTCACAGAGCCGAAATCGTGAATCGGTGGGGTACCAGATAGCACCCAGCGTCGATCGCCAGTCAGTTTGGTGACCATTGAGTGTACCTTTCCGCTCAGGTAGGTATACTCGTCGACGACAATTCGTGAGAAATGGAATACTTCCAAGGGTGGAGCGCGAGCTTGTGTCCAGTCTTTCTTGACTGCGGTGGTTTCGAGTTTCCATGGGTCGGTATCTTCTCGCCGCTTCTGCTTTTTGGCGGGTTTGTCGTCAGAAGCCGTGGTCTTGCGCTTTTTCGAGGTTTTAGAAGACACAGGAGATGAAGGTGGGTCATCGACGTCCATACTGTCGGTATCTTCACCAGAGCTCTTGGCTGCCTTCTTCGTTGCCTTCTTCTTCGGGGCTGCCTTGATACCATATTGCCTACCCTTACCCTTGCTGCCTTTCTTCCCAACATCATCATCCGCATCGCTCATCTCTGCGTCAGACGAAACTCCGACCGAATGTCCATCTTCAGATGACGAGGTTGGCGGGGGTGATGGTTTCCGTGACGGTTTGGTGGTAAGTCGTTTGGTTTTCGACGACTTTTTGGCGGGAACATCGTCGGCCTCGTCTGAAATGTCTCCGGCGGATTCATCATCTGCATGATCATCCTGGGGACCCGCGTCTTCATAATCACTCCCTGCATCACATCCTACTTCGTCATCTGAATCAATTACTATGACTTTCTTGGAAGCCTTGCGTCGGAGCCGCTTTCGTGGGCGTGATGAGTCCGAATTCTCGCCTTCCGAAGTCTCCGGGGCGACCGGTTTCGTCTTCTTTCGAGGCACTGTGATGACAACTTCGCAGATTTTGCCAGACGAGGTCGGTTTGGCAGGGAAAACGTCTCTCTCCGACGAAGAATCGCTGACATCGACCTTGACAAGAGAAGACTTCTCTTTGCTTACAGCTTCCTGGTAGGCCTTCCCCTTGAGACGCTTTGGTGCAACAAATAGTTGCGCCTCCAACTCTTCCTCTATTGCTGGAAGTGAGTTACGTCATGCAGAAATATATTAAACTTACCGCGTTTTCGAACATCTCGGATATTTGCCATGACGCTCGCGGAACCTTCGGTTTTCAGCCGTTCAACTTGATCCCGTAGGGCTTGCAGCGTGATGTCGATGCGTACATTGAAGTAACGCCCATCTTGAGTAGGTAGGGAGCCTCCAGCAGCGAAGGATTCCAAGTTGGCAAGATATACTGAGCTCTGGAACAGATTGGAGGCGACGATGACTAGGTCCGCATCCTGAATATCTTCAATGGTGAGATTGTTGATCTGTGCGGCGGTGGAAATCTCCACAATGTTCTTGAATCGGTTGCGCGCAAATTTCTGTGCTTCTGAGCGCCATTGTCTTGTGAGATGGGGAGGAACGATGACTAGTGTAGCTTGAACAGGAACCTTGCCAATGATATCGCCTTTCTCCTGGAACTCCTTCTTTACGCTCTTCGCTGTACAGTCGATAAGCCCCAGAGTGATTGCTGTCTTCCCATAACCGACTTGGTCTGCCAAAACACCACCTCGAATATGCACAGGCCGCTGTGCCCGACCTTCTGCTCGCCACCCCAGAGGCTCCAGTATGGCCTCCGATATCTCTTCCTCAACGAAGGGTTCGGAGTTTTCCGTTTCTCGAGCGATCATCCAAGTGAGGGAACGGAGCTGTTCAGGACGCAAAGGAAGTTTGTCCACATCAAAGTTTGGAGGCTGCGAATGCTCTGAATCGGATTTATTACTGAGGAGTTTGAAAGGAGGGTTTTGGATCTTTATAGAAGAAGCGAAGTCAGTATCTAATCGCCAACTGAGCACCGGTTGCTCAGGGCGATTCGCAGTAGGGAGTCGTGATAGAGCCCTGTGCAGGATAGAAGCAATATTGAGCCCCACTTTCACCATACCGACTTGGTTATCCATCTTCAACTGCGTGACGAAAGGACTCGGACGAAGCTTGAGATCCCTTTCATACTGCCCGGCCTCCTGGCTGTCTTCAATAGCAGCTACTTTCTTGCCATTCTTAGTCCACTTAACAGTGGGAGGGGTGGGGGCACAACGTTGGCAGTGGAACAAGTCATCTGGAACTTTGACGGTCTGCCAATGACCGAAATTATCATCCACATGTCGTATACGCTCCAGCAGCCAAGCCAAAGCCTTGAAAGTACCACGCTCGTGAACCTTGTCGACTTCTCTCCAATTGCCGCGAGGCCACTCTGGACCCGCATCTTCAAGAAGAGGCACAGTGCACGTCAGTAGAGCATTGGCACTTGCGCATGCGTCAGTCGTAACGCTGGCCTCAAGGGTGCCTCTAGGCACAGCAAAAGATGCATTGCCAAGCTCGAGGGGCTATAGTTCGAGAGTGAGACAAAATTGGGAGGCAAGCAGGTTGTGTTGTCATTAACTCACTTGAACTTTGACCGACTCCGAGTCCATCCAGTGAAGAGGGACATGACATTTGACGCGCTGTTCCCCCTGAACATCCGACTGCCTCCATGAAGGGTCGAGCTTGCAAATTATGGGGCGGAACTCTCCGAAATCATATCGCCGCATGCTCGTGGTAAAGACGAATGGATCTTCCGCAGGACTTCCGCATCTTGTGGGATCCAGCATCATGAAAAGTGGCGGCAAAGAGGCATCATCGTTACTAGGCAGCTTTTTGTGTAAAGCACCGTTGGCTGTCCCACACTTGTCGAGGAGAACATACACTCCGGAAATATCACGATCAAAATGAGATATTTGAGATTCGGGGATGGTGATATGAAGCTGTGAGTGCACCTCCTTGTCCTTGAACTCGTCATCTAGTAAGCCAAGACGAGCTTCCCAGGAAGGAACCGTGCCTCCACTGCCCTCGATAGTAATTGTGACCTCACGTGCAACAGGAAGAGCAAACTGCCAAGATCCCTGCAGAAGATCCTTTTTGCATCTGAATCTCGCGACGGGCATCTGAAGTAAGCGACGGATATCTGCATTCGCAGGCTCATTGTCATTTGGCTTCGCGTAAAGGCGCCACTCGGTCTGTCTCGGCTCGAGGTATAATTCGAAAATAGCGTGAGGTGATTGATAGACAGCAGACCAAATCTCCTGGCGCTTAGGTTCGACAAAGCGGAGCTCTGAGTTAGTCGCCCTCAACACAGCGGAGGACCAGCTGTTCCAGCGTTTTTCCGGGATTGTGACGCCTGAAGTTTCTCTAAGACTGTCAAGAAGCTTCTTATCGACACCGGTAAGAGAGATGCACATAGGCAGAGTGGACTTCAGCCCCCGCACGAATGCTGAAGGACTAAGACGTGGCAACTGCGTAATATCAAGAGGCGCGAAACTGTGCTCAGGACGGCCTGCGCATTTCTTGCAAGATGACGAGTCGCAATCTACGCAACGCAGGAGGTCACGCGTCGTGATGTCCTTGCGGCCCTCGCATTGACAAAGACGGACACTCTTCTGTGCATCCTCCAAAATACGAGCAATGGAGTCCGTCTGCGTGGCAGCCAAATCTAACGGTCTCTCCACAAGGTCCTCGTGTCCTTTGATGCGTTCTTCAAGACCACCGGCGGTAGATAGGCTAACGTCAACATCCATAGCATGGTCGTTGTTCTTGTGACCGATATCCTTCTTCATCTCGTACGTCTCCGTGTCGTTACCGGCCTTGAGTAACTTCTGACCAGCGACTAAAGCCGAGAGTATGCATGCACCAACAACGGTAGATGACATAGCATTTCCCGCAAGGTCGGCCAATTCGTCTTGGCTTTCCCTCGTCAGAAGCAATTTATCAATGGGAAGCCCCTGCATGGCCAGTGCCTCAACACCAACCATGGGCCCACCGCGATTGGTGATGTATGGAATCATGGACGGGGTTAGACAAGGGCAGATACCGGTCTTGCTCGATCCGGTTGAGCGATCGACATTTTGCGAAAGGTTCCACACGAGACTGTCAGTCAATTAGCCACTTAATGACGTATATAAGACATCCTACGAACGTCTTGTATGATGGGTCAACACCAATTTTTGCGGATCGAAGTAGACTGATATCCATTAGGTCCCAGACTCGTTCTACCTGTCGTATTCCCCAATCTTGCCATGCAAAATCAGGTAGTCTGCAAGTACCGCCTGTTCGATGTCAGCGAGGGTGAAAACTACGAAATCCAATAGGTGCTTACCTTCTTCCCAACTCGTTAACGGTCGTTTCTGCCCCAACTTCTCATCTAACCTAGCACGTGCGTGGCGCGACTCGCATCTAGTCCAGTCAGTGCGACCGGCTCGAGGTTCTGGGCCACTGCCATCTTGAACAAGTAATTGTCTTGCTTGATGAATGCGAGAATCGTCAGATGGAAGAAGGAACGCGTCAAGTGTCGACGAAGCGGGCCGCTTCAACTTGTTCATCACTAGGTCCTTCCATCTTGCGGGTATGCCTGACCCTCTCTTGTCAATAGCCAACAGATACTTCCGCATCCGGGTATGCGGGATATAGTACTGTTTCGTATCCACCTTGATGTGTTCCGCACTGTACCCCTGCTTCTCGAAATACTCTTTTACCCTGTCCCACGGCGCTGAACAAACATTTTCCAGGATGACTAATGGAGGTCGGTGATTTGTGACCCACGACATCATGCCATGAAAAGTGCGACCAGATTCGCCTCCACCATCGATTGTCTTCTTCTCATTATTGAGGTTAGAGTAGTCAACGCATGATGTACCTGCAACGAGGAGATCGGCATCTCCAGGAACAGTGGCCAATGCGCCATAGGCCGTCGTTCTAAATGAATTAGTTTGTTCAACGGACATAACACAAATCAGTATAGGGATGACACACGCTTGAGATTCTCCCAGTTCGCATACATCTCTAAACAGTAGCGGCGGTTGGAAATTGCGTTCGATATATGCCTGCTTGAATGGCTCGATCTCACAAGAGAATACGTGCTCAAATTCAAGAGGAACGCCATACTGTTCAAGCATAACCTGGCCAATGAGATCGAGAGCAAGTAGAGGTGATTCTGTGCCAGAACACATTGTAGCTACGCGCAGTTTTCGACCTTTGATATGCTCAGCGACACCTTTGATTCCTGGAAGGCGAGACACCAGGTCGCGGAACATGGCGGGAGTTTCATAGATGGGTGGTAAAGTGGATGATTCGATTTTGCCGTCTGTCTTTGAAGATTGAGCAGGAACATCATCATCAGATGCTTCTTCTTCATCGTCCTTGACTTTCTGCTTCTTAATCTTCTTTCCAAGTGCTTTCTTTACAACGGCTTGAGGTTTTCCCTCATCATCAGATGATGTCTCCTCTGCGACAATTTCATCGACGGATTCCTTTGGCTCCTTCTTCCCACCAAAGAAGGAGGTGATGGCCTTCTGCTTGGCATTAGCTTTGGCCTTGACCATGACTGAAAAATGTGATGGAGTAAAAAGAAAACGAACACGTTGATGCAATATGACAAACGCGTCGCGTCACGTATGGACGCGTGCCGTAACACTCGTGACATCGTGACAAACGAGTGCGGTAAACCACTGTCCCCGGACCGAGGTCCGCTAGCTCACGAGGAAGGCAATTTCACTACCAATCGGTAGAATTGGAGGGAATCGCTAGGGTTTCCTACTGAGTAAACAAATAATGTAACAATGGCCACAGCGAAAATGAAATCCGATGCAATACAACTCGACAGCAGACAAAATTATACGAGATTCCGATCAACATAGAGAGGGTTACGGCACAGAAAGATTAAACGGAAGACAGTTTTCGTTGACTACAGAATTACCACAGGGTCAGCGAAAAAAAAATGACCGCATGCTTGAGTTATACGTACCCATCTCCATTCCCAAGCAGTTCCTCGAATCTGGACCGGAACTCCTCCACTCTTTTATTGAGCCCATTCTCAGCGGTACCATATTCGTTCCCGTGATCTAGCTGGAACGCCCTGCAGTCTCGTAGAAATTGGTCAAGGTCTTTTACTCGGGTGGTTGAAAGCTCTGGTTCGTTTGAACCACGCATACGAGCAAGGTATGATGCGACTAAAGTAGCAAGCGCCCCTGAAACGAGTTAAACAGTCAGCTATATATAGAATACTACGCGTCGCTTACCAAGTATTACGATCACGACGGAGCCCTGTGGTCGTTCATCAGTTGAAGACATAACAAGTTCCTCAAGTCGTTCACCTGTTTTCCAACTGCGACAGCAGATAAACCAGTAGTCAGGCTAGCGAGAAGAACCTGCAGACCGATGGCAATGTTCAGCGCATAGCCTGTCCACATCGCTGAAGGCACAATTAGGCGGTAGAACATGTTTCAACTCGAAAAGGTGAGAAACGTAAAAATGCACCTTTTTTTGCGTACTTGGCTCTTTCATCTTCAGCTGCGGTGACAGTTGGTTGTAGGCGGTCCCCGACGGTGCGGTTGGGCTGGAAGATAGACAGTTAAATATGTGTCCCCTAAAGAAGAGTGATTCAAGCTCGCCTGCAAGGTAGTCTTTGGAACCAAGTCACTTGGGATACTGGGATACCGCTGTGCCAACAAAGTCGCCCTCCGAGGGAGGAAATCTCTACCCCTACTCGTTCCACGCGCGAGGTGGTCAAATTCTCCCGAAGAGGCCCGGGTTTGGGCACCGTGCCTTGAGTACCTAGCAGGATATGGGTCATCTGTTTTCGACGACAAATGCTTCTCTGATGGTTGAAGAGTAGGGTCCGCCTGCGTTGAACTAGAGCCAGCGCCGAACTCTACGGCTTGTGTGTGATCGGCGTACGAGAGAGGTCTAGCGGGCAAGGGTGTGACAGTAGACTCGGATGTAGGCCGCCTAGGTGTCGCGACTTGTCCATGCGTCAATATAGCGGTCCCTGTCCTAGACTCTTCGGCAGCTTCGCGAGCTGGATCCGTCAGCGTCGCAGGGACATCAGACTCAGAACTTTTGGTCACTGGATCCATGATAAACCGCCCAAAATGAACCACTTAGATCTCGTAGTGTCGTAGTACTTAGAGGTAGTGCTGGGTGCTAGCGCTGAGCTCTGGCTCGCACCCGGCACGTTGTGAATCGGAATGCATTCAAGTTGTGCATGCAAATCAAATCACCTCGGAAATTAAGTAGATTGGCGAATTGTCTGCCCGGGCCCCGGCTTGCCCAACAATAGACAGAATGGTCACGAGTCTAGCGTGCTTGAAAATGGACAGGCTTAGCTCGTGAGACTTGCAGTCATACTCGAGTTAAAGTCGTGCTGGGCAAGCCTCCGAGTCATGGGCCACCGTGGTACCGCGTTTATCATACTAAAAGATAGCACCCGGTTCGAATTTCGCAGCGCTGTTTATATATCAGACATATCAGGATAAAATAACTATATTTTGCCAATGTTTGTGTATACATGCAAAGTGCGACATATTAGTTATCTGTGTAGTCTACAAATGTAGTCCTCCCTCTTCATCCAAAGGACTTCGAATTACTCCCAGTACCTCGGCATTTTGTGTTCACTTTCACCAGTGACATCTAAGAAATCTGAAGGACGGTCCCGCTTCAAGTTCCGGCGGCGATTGTTGACGGGCAATCGTTGATAAGCAGAGTCATGGCCAGCTGGTTGTTGGCTCGGAAACTGATTGGTCCACTGCTGACTTTGCATCCCGTAGGCCAAGGGATTGACGTTCTGCTGTTGTTGCTGTTGCTGTTGTTGTTGCTGCTGCTGCTGAAGACTTGTCGCAACAGCAAGGGTCGCGGCGATGGCTTGAGCTTGTTGTAGTTGCATCTGGAGCTGCTGATACTTGATTTCTGTGGTCTGCCGCACCTGGTTCGGTAGGGATGGATTCTGAAGCATGATTGATATTTGAGAAATCTGAGCTTGAAGGGACGGGATGTTGTCAACAATCATCTGAGACATATCCATGCTAGGTTGCTGATCTGAGTAGAAGTCGTCATTTATAGAGTTGTCCGCATCACCCTATGGGGGATATGTTCATTCTCTAAACACAACAACATGAACAGTGAACATACCTGGCCGTTAGAAAGGAAATGTGCGGAGCTCTCTTCACTTTCTTTTCTACTCTCTTCCATAACCTTATCGATATAGTCAGCGACTCTAGTTCGCATTGGCTTATCCATGACAACTTTGTCAAGTGAAGCTATCTTCTTGCCGCACTTGGGGCAGGTAAAATCGCGCTCAAGTAAATATGTCTGGATACATTCCTCGCAATATGAAGTGTCACAGCAAGGCGTCTTGACAGCGTCACGGAATAATCTGTTGTCTATAGGACAGGCAAGGGAAGCATCGGTAGGAGGGCGTTCCCGAACGTCAGCAGCAGTCAAACCCTTCGGACGGGATAATTGTTTCTGCCAAGAAGCCCTGCCGTCGAGTTAAAATGCATACCATCATAGAACGAATTAAAAACCCACAAGTCAGGCTGGGCAACGACATAACCACCTTCTGGTGTGACCATCACACCTTGGGTGATCTCGCCTTTATTTGGATTTTCAACAGCTTTCAAGAAACTTCGCGGAATACCAGTAGTCCTTTTGATTCGAGGCTTGTTGTCGAACTCACGATCGCTATTCGTAGGACAATCTTGTATCCAATGACCTGTGAGAGGTTTACGTGTAAGACAGTCAGTCTACAATTGCGCAGCGACCGACCTTTCTGCCCACATCGGTAACAAACATAGCTAGGAGGCAACGGTCGTTCTGGCTGGGGACGTTGGTGAGGAGTAAATGGTTTCCCACCACGACTAGTAGATGTTCCCCTGGGGTTGTTATATATGGGCACAGCGCTGTTTACACCCAATTGATGGGCACAAGAAAGCAAAATCACGTTCATGAGACTTGTTCTACTACTAAGACAAAAAGCGCGAAAACGCGATACCAACTGAGACATCTTTTCCTGGGTTTCCTCCCAGTTAGCAGTCTGGGCCTGGAACATAGCAGCCATCGCGGCTGCCTCATCGTCCTTTGTGACGGCATTTTTGGGAATAGAAGTTGGCTGGATTGGGTGTAAGACTCGCTCTCGAGCGAGATGTGTATGTTTCATATAACAACTACGCACGCCAGCTAATTTTGGTGTAGGAGATGATTCCTCTTTGACGTCAAAGCGCTTCGACATCGCACCCTTGTGCCATAAACCACCACTTCCACCAGGTCTCTGGATAATATCAGAAGTAGGAGTGTGGGTACTAGCATTGGTACCACTAAGGTACATGGCTGCCTTGCCCTTTCCTGGGCGCGATGAAGGAAGACGCTTCACAATGACAGACGAAGAACGAGGAATGATCTGAGAATCATCTTTATACTCTGAAATGCACATGAAGTCTCAGATGTGGGATGATGCATTTACAACGCACCTTGCTGTGCCGAAGCATCATATACATATAGGTCGAAGTCATTTGCCTTACCCAAGTTATTGGCCAATATGATTTCCTTTTTCAGGTCAAAAACAGAGATCCCGGTGCCATCAAAGGTCACCCGAGACTCATCCCTCTGGGACTTGAACTTGTAAAAAACTGAAGAAGCCATGAAGAGGCAAAGAATGGATTGTTGGACGGCTGCTACGATATACACGACAATGAAATCAGTGCAAAACTGACCAACACGTTGACTACAGACAGATGAAGTGGGCACACGTCGTCTGGTCTCGCCTGGGTAGAAGATGATGAGCGTTTACACGAGAAACGTGGCTATCGGGAAAGGAGATCAAAAACAAAGTTCAAACGGAGATTAAAGTATAATGCTAACTCCGCGAATGTTTAACATTAATTCCTGTCTCGTTCCACTTTGAGACTTGCAAGTTCTGTCTCGTTTTACAAATGGTCCAGTCTTACGGCGGCACAGGGAACGAGTTGAGACAGCGCAGTGTCGACGCGTCTGCAAAGTCACTGACGACTACTGATGAAGGCCGTAAAGTGGACCAACTGCTCGACGAGCATCAGACGTACGTTTTGTCTTAGTTGCGCGTATTTACTATTTCACATTAACGTCTGCTAGGTATGAATTTGGTGGACCTGCAGGAGTAACTGCAATGATGCTCGGCTTCCCCATGCTCATGTATTATCTCTGGATATGCTTGTGGTTTTATGACGGTAAACTTGTGTACCCTGCATCATTTGAGGACACTGTTCCGTTCCTTGGGAGGATGTGGGCACACATTCGCGACGTATGTACTCACGAAGGTTTGGACATCTTCCTAACCTCAACTGGCTACAGGACGCAAGCCCCAATGCATACGCTTGGAAAGTCTATACCGGTCTTGTGATCTACCAGCTCTTCCTCGCATTGGTCATGCCAGGGTACCAACAAGAAGGACTTCCTGTACCTTCTCTTGGGTATAAGACCCTCGTGTATAACTGCAATGCGCTCTACTCTCTCTACGCAACTATGCTGACTGCTGCTGCTCTGCACTACTACCACATTTTCCGTCTCACCGAAATTATCGACAATTATGGCCACATCATGTCTGTCGCCATGATTTACGGTTTCGCTGTGTCCTTTGGTATGTATTTCATTACAGTTGCAGCCGGAAACGAGATCCGCATGTCTGGGAACTTCATCTATGACGTCTTCATGGGTGCTTGTTTGAATCCCCGTATCGGCTCTGTTGATCTGAAGATGTGGGCTGAGGTTCGGATTCCTTGGGTAATTGTCTTCTTTTTGGCCGTGTCCGGAGGCTGCCACCAATATGAACAATATGGTTATGTCACCCCCGTGCGTCCCTTTTTTTGGAGCTTCCGTTACGCAATAGCCTACAAAACATATGTAGAACATGGCATTCATGATTCTGGCAACATGGCTCTACCTCAATGCATGGTGTGTCTCAACGCGAGAATTGAAAACTTGCGTTCCTGATCCAATTTTCAGCGCGAAGGGCGAAGAGTGTATCCCCCAAACGTGGGATATGTATCATGAGAAGTGGGTAGTAATTCTCATGCTCGTTTATTTGATTGACATTTTCTTAGATGGGGCTTCATGGTCATCTTCTGGAACTTTGCTGGCGTTCCCTTCGTACGCAACTCCAATCACCTTTTAACTTTTACTGATCTGTGGCATTGCAGACTTACGTGTACTCTGTGGTATACATGGCTTCGCACGATCCTTCTAACTATCAATTCTCTACACCTACATACGTCGTTCTTTTCACCATTCTACTGACAGCATACTACATGTACGACTTTACGATTTCATTTTCCATCATTCGACTGACATTTGTCCTCATAGTTGGGACACCTCAATGTCTCAAAAGAGTCGCTTCAAAATGCAAACACAGGGCATCACAACTTTCCGCAACACATTCCCGCAGCTTCCGGGGGGAACCCTCAAGAAGCCTGAGTTTATCCAGACCGCACATGGGCAAGTCTTGTGGCAATTCTCAACTGATCAACTTTCTTACCTTGCAATTTTAGAAACCGCCTTCTCATCAGTGGCTGGTGGAGATACTCTCGCAAACCTGTAGGCTAGATCCATAATAATGTGTTCGGTCTGCTAACCTCGTTGCTCTTTCTCAGAACTATGTCGCCGACTGGACCATGAGCTTCTGCTGGGGTGTTGTTATCGGAAGTGCAACCATCATTCCCTACTTCTACTCGGTTTTCTTCATCACAGTACTCATCCATCGCTGCGGGCGTGACTTTGAACGCTGCTCGATCAAGTACGGCAAGGACTGGGAGCGTTATTGTTCTATCGTTAAATATAAGTTCATACCCGGAATCTACTAATCTAGCAAGCTTTCGTATATTTATACCTGTTTTCTGTAACATATACTTCGGATTCTAGATACCATGATACCATAAACCTTCTTGGAGCAATTTGATTTGTTGTGAAGACTCATTTGATGACAAATAGATGTTCTGGGAGGAAATTCAAATCACATCACAACATGAATGAAATTAAAATATGCACTCCCGCGCGCGGCCGCGACCCTCCCTGTTTTTGGTACTTATCTAAGGAATAAAAGAATAAAGGCCGTACCTAGCCATAACCCCAACCATACCATCGATCCCACCTATTTTGTTGTTTTGACCTGCCTGCTATCTCCCGGGAAGAAAAGAAAAACAGAAAAGAAAAGAGATAAGGCTTGTCGTTCTCTCAGAAAAAAACGAAAAAAGAGATTAGAAAGAACGTTCCAAGAAAAGACAAAGACGATGAGATTATGTCAAGGATGAAATAGCGACCCTGAACTTCCGATGAGCGGAGACATTCGAAGAGGAGTAGAGATGATTACTTACAGGTTTGTCCCACAGCGACGCCGTCCGATTTTGCCATGTCGTCGGGATGGGCCGTTATCTTGAGGGGATCCACGTTGCGACGTCGAGGCTGAATTTCCGGAGGACCGCGAATGGGACTAGGAGCGTACATACGTACCACTGACAGCATCGAGTAGAGGGTAGCCAAGCCATTGCCTTCCGCTATTACATCCTCGCTCGGTTCCAAGAGTAAATCGACGCCATCGTCACTGAAGATTGACACCGTGGAGATATCCAAGTTGTCGTTGGGAGGATCTCGTTGAGATGGCTTAGCGACAGAAGGATTGTTTGATGGTGACGAAAGCATCCCACGGGCATGCTGTGAAGTGATGCCACCAACCTTGTGAGCGGAGGAGGGTGACGAAGAGGAAGTGCCAGTAGCGGCAACATGAAGCTGCACTTTCTCACTCTTCATGATCTCTTGAGTGACGAGTGGGGATCCTGGATGTAATACTTGACGAGGTCCGTTCTGCGACAAGGGCTTGCTGAAGTTTCGAATTATGCTGCTGTGAGCCTTCGGTGGGGTACTATGGAGTAGTTCGATGTTCTCCCGAGCTTGTTGGGACGCAATTTCCATTTTCTGAAGCTTGAAAATATAAGCACAAACTGTGAAAGGCGTAGATGTTTGCGTACTTTGCGCTTCATAATCGCTTGTGCATTGTTCGCAAGGTCCAACCGAATATGCACCTTCTGGAGCGTAGTACGTTGCTCTGCGGAATCCCTATTGAGGGTTTCGATCAAGTTGGCCTGCTCCGCATTCTCCCTGAAGAGCATGAGCATCTCATCCAGATGATCTGCGTGGTTCTGCGCCGACTGTGTGCGTTCAAGCTTGAGCTGCTCTTCGACCTCTAGAAGTTGTTTGCGTTCCGCTTTGCAACGTTCCCTGGCTCGTGAAGCTGAGGCGGTGGTCTCCTTGAGTCGGATCTCAAGTTCACGAATTTGTTGCTGCGAGCGTGCCTTTTCCTGCTGGTGCTCAAGGATAAGTGCATCATGCTCGGAGAGTAGACGTTGAGCTTGCAATTCTACGCTATTGAGCAAGAACGCATTCGAGTTCGCCATTCGAGTACTGCGCTCGAGCTCGCGAGAAAGCGTATCACGTTCCGAAGTAAGGGCAGCGATTCGATCCTGATACGCTGCGAACTCCGCCTGGTGGCCGTGGCAAGCTTGGGAAGGATGCTGTTTATCTTTCTTGCGACGAGCATCCTTTATTTCCGAATTGGTCGCCTGTGTCCTAACTCCAGACTCCTGCACATCTGCCAGTAAGCGTCGAATATCCTGAAACGCTGTGAACTCTATCTGGGGGCCGTGACAAGCTTGAGAGGGCTGCTGTTCATCTTCCTTGTGACGAATGTACTTCAGTTCCGAGATTGCAGCAAGTGTCTTGTCTCGCGCATCTGCCAGTACATTTCGTATCTTGCGATGTGGTGCTAGATTTGGCTCTGAAGCGAAGGGATCGTCATCCTTGCGGCGCTCGGATGCATCATGACCAACATTGCGTTGTCGTTTGATTAATTTCCCCCGGCGCTCCGACTCGTGCCTCGTCGTTGAATTCCTTTTGACAGCCGCCGCTGGCTCCATCGACTGAGGTTTCGATGGACGTTCCGCGATGACTTGGACCTCCAACACACAGCCTTGAGAACGAGTGTCCGCTTGAGATCCGCTTGAGATATTTCTGGCACTGGCCTTGCGAGAAACAGTTTCAACCAAAGGACTGGATATCTCAAAGCCCTCCGGATGGGCAATCTGTTCGTCCTGGTCGAAGAGCTTTGACTGGAGCTCGGTGACCTGAGCACCCTGTGGCATATTCAGCTCGTTTATGTTGAAGTCGTATGACCGGATAATCTCAGGCACCCCTGACTGCACTTTGAGATGATCTTGAACAGCATGGCTATGGCGTTGCGCTTTATCGAGGGCTTGGGAAGCAGCCTTCCGTTCCTCGTTGACAGTGACAAGCGAAGTGCGCAGACCCCTAGTTTCCGTTCTTGACTTCCGCGTCTCCGTGCAGTCGAGTTGTGCTTTAAGGTGAGGAAGGATCTGAGCCTTTGTGGCAAGATAGTCGACATTAGTGGCGGGGTCAACCTCTGGATGCAACTCAGCAGTGTCACGATGGGCAACTGGCTTGGCGCGGAAGATGGCTCGATCGACGAAGCTTGGAAGAAAGGAGCGAACTTTGCCCTTGCGCTGGCCTTTGGCTGGACTAGGCGGTCTGAACTGGTCGTATGAGGGAACGCTGGTGTGTTGTTGCATATCGGGAGGCATAGTAGAATGAATAAAGATGTTGAAGATATCGATATGCTGGATGTGTAACAAACGTGAAGCAACGATAAAAGATGGACTGAAGAGAGAGTGGGTGGGTGACGAGCCTTTTGTAAGAGTTGGAGGCTGACTGAGGCTGACATCCGGGAATGAGATTTGAGCCTGGTCTTGTCTTGCTGTCGCACGACTGTTTACGCGACTGCTAGAAAATACAGTGCTTGTGTATATTGCAATAGGAGCAAAATCATTGTACCGTGAATGTCGGTTCCTAGTAACATTATTCACGAGGACATAACTAGGAGTGCGCCGGGTCGCAACGTGTCAATCATGTTTGCAAGGCGGGTTTTTACAAACTGGGAACCGACGCAAGTGTGGACCTATGCGGACTTTGTAGCTAGACCAACGCCTTCTGTGAATTCCGAAAGAAAAGAGGACAATGAAAACGTACAAGTCACTTTAAGAACTGAACGCACAACCATACGAGATCGGTCGAGCTGGCATTAAGCACTGCACTGCATTAACCTGCAATATGAAAGGCCATCAGTGGATGATCATCATAATCTATCACTGTCAAGACTCAACAAAACCTGTGACCTAATCCTTTTCGTGGCTCAGGCACTGCAATATTGAATCCGAAAGGCACTTGCCGAATAGGGACACGTTCACTCTTACCGAGAAGCCTCCCAAGTACCCAACTCACCAGCGACGTTGGTTTACTTTCAAGCGATGGAAGGTAACAAAGACGAAGCCATCAAGTGTCTTTCAATCGCACAAAAATACAAGGATGCTGGCAACCTCCCTTCAGCCCGCAAATTTTGTCAAAAATCTATAAACTTGTTCTCCACACCTGACGCTGCAAAGTTTCTTGAGTCTATCGAGGCCGCGGAGGCATCTGGATCGTCTTCCTCGTCAGCTGGGGCAGGCCCTTCAACATCAAATGGCAATGCACAGGCGTCATCGTCTTCTACAGAGACACACCCATCCGCTTCTGGTGCTAAGCATCGGAGTACGGGCAGTGCGAATGGCACGGCTGGAGGAATGGGAGGGGAGAAACGGGAATTCACTGCTGAGCAGGTGAAGGTTGTGAAACGGGTAAAGGCTTGCAAGGTTACAGAGTATTATGAGATCTTGTCGGTCAAGAAGGATTGCGAGGAGGCTGAGATAAAGAAGGCATACAGAAAGGTACATTAACATGCATGATCTCGCATGCCGACTGATATACGTTCTAATGCTGTGACTCATCATAGCTTGCCCTTGCGCTACATCCTGACAAGAACGGTGCTCCTGGAGCAGATGAAGCATTCAAGAGTACGTCTAGTATTGTCATCACGTACGCGAAGTGTCTCACGTGAACTCACTGCAGTGGTATCCAAAGCCTTCCAAGTGCTTTCAGGTATGCTTGACTTATTCAATGTGCTAGACAGTTCTGACATTCACTCAGACTCCCAGAAGCGAGCAATTTACGACCAATCCGGATCGGATCCAGAATCGCGTTCTGGTGGCATGTCCTCCCGCGGGCCCGGCTTCTCCGCAAGCCCATTTGGTGGCGAGGGCGAGATGAGTCCAGAGGATCTTTTCAACATGTTCTTCGGAGGAGGCGGTATGGCGATGAACCGTGGATTTGGAGGCAGTCCTTTCGGCGGCGGTCCAGTATTCACTGCATCGTTTGGTCCAGGAGGCTTCCGTACGACACGTATGCGTACAAATATGGGGGGTGCGCAAGCACAACAGCAGGGTGAAGGGGCACAGGGTCGTTCGCTGCTTATGCAGCTCCTGCCCCTCATATTGCTTATCGCATTCTCATTCCTGAGTGCAATTCCGGATATGTTCTCTACGTCGATACCCGACCCCCGGTATTCCTTTTCAGCATCAACACGCTTCAATACTGAACGGCAAACGAATGGACTGGGCATCAAATACCATGTTAATGAGCATGAGTTCAAGAATCATCGGCAGATTGCAGCTGACATTGCTGGGGGCACCCATCGACGCGGATCGGCCTTGTCAAGATTTGAAGGGCAAGTGGAACAAGTTTACACCAATACTCTCTACAACGATTGCCAGCGTGGAGTTGATAAGCGGCAACGGAGGAGAGACGCAGAAGTTGGTTTATTCGGTGTTGGCACGGACTGGGAGAAGGTAAAAGCAATAGAGGCGGAGAAAATAGATAGCTGTGAAGAGCTGAAACGTCTGGGTGTCATAAAGTCGTGAAGGTTACTTTGACACCTTGGATTACCCTTGGACTTATGCACACTGCTGGCTTAATTAGTATTACCCTGTTCGATTCTCCATCGTATTCCCCGCCAACGCGGTCGCCCTATGCTTTATTTATGCCAACAATGTGGTCTTCGCTTGCTCTATACTCGCAATGTCACCATGGCTGGATTTCCACTGTCAAAGCTAGTGATGACTAGTTGACTACCTGGTCAGCGAAGTTGGCGGCCTTTTGCTTCCGAAGTTTCGGTACCGGCGGTCACAAGTAGTATTAGTAAAAGTAAGACTCACAAGCGCTTCTGAATTATATTCTGACGCTTGTCCAACTAGCTGAACATCAGCTTTCAGGTGTGGAATGAGCGCAGGGACATCAGATATACTGGCACCAGAACAGGAGCCCGTAGAACTCGCACGTTTTAGAGAACAATGGAAGGCAGAGGTCAGGGAGCGGCAGACTGCTACGTCGGGTGTGCAAACCCAACCCGTTCTCGGTGCCATCACTGCTGCAGAACGCATCATTCCCGCAGCTCGGAGTGATGCCAGCGCGAAACCCGCTACTATCACTAACACACTCTCAGCATCTCCGAGTCGGGGGCCTGCCACCCATGTCGTCGCAGGTGCGCCTGCCGTCACAACGCACGCATCTCACGGCCACTCTAATCTCAGTCCCAATCTGGCTCATGCTATCGAGGTCTACCGCAAAGCTGTTTTTCATGAGCAGCACAGCCAGCTAGATGAGGCTCTTCGGCTCTATCGTCAGGCATTTCGTCTCGATGCGAACGTCGACCGTGCGTACTTCATAGAAGAACAACGCACACATGAGCGTTCTGCTGCTCAGCCACCTAGTCACAAGAAGGCTCCATCTACTGTCTCTGTAGATCAAGTTACACGGGATGTACAGAAGCTCGAAGTGCACAAGTATAGCAAGGATAAATCCTTTGTGACGTCAGGGTTTCTAGCACAAGTGCTCAAGAACTTTCCTGATAACCTTGTCTTTCAACCGGAGAATGAGAAGGAGGGACTACCCATTAATCTCATCCCTGACGAGCTTTTGCTCCAAATCCTCCGAATTCTTGACTACACAACGATTGAGCGGTTTGCGGCTGTCAGTCGTAAGGCACGAATACTTAGTTTGGATTCTGCGATTTGGAGGTATAGTGCTCGTCTCTTGCATGTACTTTGCGTTATAAATATTTGCAACAGAGATTTTGTCCATTTGGCATATAAGCCTCCCCAAATTGCTGATAATGACTCTATAACGAATATCGTGGAACTGTACAGTTCGGACTACCGGAGAGCTTATATTGAACATCCCCCGCTTGCGGATGGATGGAGTTTACATTGCTGTTTGCCATTACATGTAAGTCATGCTGTCAGAGATGGATTGTCTCCACTTTCTTACAAAACCCGTAGGCGGATGGGCTCTAGCGAGAACCCCTGGGTAAACGTACGTAGAAAACTCCCCGACATTTTTGACGTGCTGAGTCGTCACTCCCTTGTAGGTAACTCATCTCATCACATATCATCGATACCTGTAAGTCTCGTGCCCGAGCCATCTCTTACCTATGTTGACATTATCCCAGCCGATTCTTCCCCAACGGACAGGTGTTATCCCTCCTCGCTAACGAGGAATGGCAACCCCAGACCGTTATTCCAATGCTCAAGCCGAGCCTGCGCATGAAGGTATGCACACACCCATCTTATCCCAACCCCAAACTCAACCACATCCATCCTAGGGTTTCTACATTGGTAACTGGTCTCTGTCTGGTAGTACTGTTTACATCACAAACCTTGTCGAGAAGCACCTTTCGCATGCGCACGCCACTACAGAGCCGCAGCCGAACAAGTATTTCTTCCAGATGACGCTCGCGTTGCGTTCACGTCCCCTCGGGCGGTGGAACAAGCTCGATTTTATTGGGTATGACTCAGTCAATGTGGAGGATGGGGAAGCGGTGCCGCTGCCGCTGAGGAACGAACGGTCGTTTTGGTTCTCGAAGGTGAAGAGCTGGGCGGGGTATTAGAATGGGTTGATATACGAGTATGATGAGCGCTGGAAGTTTCTCATGCACGAGACCGAGTATATGTGTTGTAACATTTAATATTCGATGAATGAGTATCAATGAGTCGACATGTACGCGTCCAACCAAACATCGTCACCACTCGTAAGCTAAACATCATAGCAATTCAATAGCAAGCTGCAACTAAACCCTGGCCAGGATAACAAGAATTAGAAAACTGCACAAATCGTTAGCGGACATAATGAACATGAGGATATAATCGTGATGCAATACAGTAAACTTGTTCTGCGACTAGCGATTCTCTATGTGCGACGGTTCTGAATCGTGATTGATAAAAAAGTGCAAAGTGAAAAAATAATTCAGGTCTGATGCATGGGTATCGATTCCTTGTTCAAATCTACATGCCTGACTGACGGTTGAGCATGTAGAGCTGCAAATCTTGCCAGCCTACAAAAATCCATGTTAACACCTTACACTGATAGAAGAACAGACCAGGTACTCGCCTCCTCCAACCCGACACATGACCTTCTTCGACATCCCGCCACCCCTTGCCCCGGAGCGCGTCAGCGTGGTCAGCTTACAAGTCACCACTTTCCTACTCAAACTATTCGAAAACGCATACGACGCCCTAATCTCCTCTCCCTCCTTCGGCGGCGTCTTGAGCGGAGGATCTACACGCTCAACCAGCAGCCCGTGCGGAATCGCATTCACAATCGCCGCCACCTCCACGTCGAGTGGGTCCTTGTCACTCGCAGGGACGTACAAGTGTATCGGGTCGCGCTCCATGGGTGTGTACGACCCTGACCGTGACCCGGGACGCGAGTTGGGCGTCCGGGTCGTCGACGAATCACGAAACGATGAAGGAGGGAGCTTCCCCGCGACAGTTTGCCGCGCAGATGTACGCATCCCGCTGTTTCCTGCACCCCCGTAAAACGGGACCTGTTGAGCTTTTGCTTTCAATTGTGATTCGGGCGTCTGTGCCCTGAGGAGAGACCCTGGAGTAAGGGGGCTTTGGGGACGGTAGAAGGACATCGTTGACGAGGGACGCGATTCAGAGGAGACGTGCACGCTGGGAAGGGGTATTTGTGATCGGCTTGGAGGGCGTGGTGGGGGTATGCGTACGCCGCTCGAGGTATACGAACAGAACGTGCTGGGAGATGTATTGGCATGCGGAGGCGAAAATGCGCGCTGCATCAGAGTCGTAAGCTCTTCCTCGTCATCAGCATCAGACTGCCGCACAGACACGGGACGCCAGTGTACCGCGGGGGCGGGAATTTGACTTGGGGTCTTGGGCCGTGGGCGTGGTGTCGCCCCAAGACTGGGCGTTTGAGCTCGTGATGGTGGACGTAGAGGTGGAAGAGGAGGAATAGAAGGGTTTGTGGATGCAGACGAAGTTACGGGAGACCAAGGCCGTGAAGACGCATTTGAACTACGGCTGAGGCTCCTTCGTGAAGGCGTGCTCGGCACAAGAGGGGCACATTCCGGGATGAGGACAGACTTTGCGTTTGGCCGCTTTGGAGGAGTGGGCTTGATGGTCGCTGCAGGATCCGGTGCTTCTACTTTTGTTGAGCTGTTCCATGGTTGTTTAGACGTTTTCAGTTTCACAGTTGAATTCGGGTCGTCAATACGGTCAAGGCGTTTGGGGGCGGGGGAAGATTCGGGCGTGAGGCTGCGGCTATACTTGTGTTCCTTCTCTGGTGTAAGTGGGGCACCACTGGTAGACCGATTGAATGCGAATATAGAGGTGCGTTGTCGTCGAAGTGCTTTAGCTGGCTCCGATGACGGACCCTGTGATTGTGAAGAGTCTCTTGACACCGAAGACAATTCTCGTGATACGGGCAAGGGAGTGACGGGCACCGGAGGCGACCGCACATGACCAGCAATCTTCCTTGCAAACTTCCTCAGTGGCGATATGCTCCGCGAAAGAGTGCTCGTAGAACTCGTTGCTCGGCTCGGTGCACGACCTTTCGAAGAGCGATTCGCGGGCGTTGCAAGGAACCCGTTTGCTGTATATCCCGATGTTATGGAACCTGATTCGCTTGGCACCACATCACCACCCGTGAGGATCTTTCGCACGGCTTCCATCTCTTTTTCTGTCTTGGCCATTCGCTCCTTGAGGATCCGCCACCTCTTAGCAGATTCCCCGTGACGTCGGAGTGTCTCCCCGTTCTTCGTGACACGATTCTGCACGCCATTGTCAATGATTGCAAGTACCTTGGACGTGGCTGGGACGTAATGCCTAGAAGAAGTGTGAGTGAGAAGTAAAATGCAAAAGGAGAAAATCCACTTTTTCTTTGCTTCAAACGAGCTGAGCAACTCGTTGAATACTTCGATGCTCAATGGATTCTTGTCTGAACTAACTGAGCCCCTGTACGAGGACTGCGAGAGAGAATCTTCTGCGCCTCCCCTGTGTACCTGCCAAATGAAATCCTGCGCGGTGTTTGTGAAAATGATACAGATATCAAGAATACAAGAACACACACCTGACAACGATTGACTGCCTTCTCTAAGCTTCCCATCATTCCGTCTGCCTGTTCTGTGACGGTTCTGAACACAGTAAGCCATTTATCCTCTTTCAACTCCTCCCTGAGAACATCTGTGTCACTCTGCACGGCCTCCCACTCGGTAACGAGGACTACATGCTTGCGGACCAGTCCAACTTGTTCAGAGTCAGGGGTGGTACCATTGGACTGGTTCTGAAAGGGGGCGACAGATTCAGACACGGATTTCATGCCATGGGCGACAGCCTCAAGGCGTTCGTCAAGAGTCATAAGAGCTTTGTCGATGACGATGGTCGTGGCGGCAGCATCACCTGAAGACTGAGACTTATGCCGTAGTTCCTGTATTTCTGAGGGTTGTGTGAGTAAGAAATGGATGGGGCTAAGAAGTCGCGTACCAAATATACGCGTCTGAATGTCCGATATACTATACGAGAGTTCGGTGATGTGTGTGGAGATGGCGAGGAGACGAATGTCTCTGCAATGCGCGCGTTAGGTCACGAGCCAGATTGAAGTTAATTGGAAGAGAACTCACTCATGGCTCTTTCGCTTCCCCTTGTCTCTCCCAAGCAATGAACGCGACGCGGTGATGGTGAGATTTTCTGTTCTGCCGTAAACACCTGCCTCGAGGCAACGGACTGGAGAACGGAATGACGCACCTTCATCTGCATGATTCAAGGAGCCACCGGATGATGATGAACTTGAGGATGGTGTTGGAGACGGGCGGAGAGAACGGTACTGAGAGAACGGGGTAGAGTCGGAGGTAGACATGGACAAGGCTGGAGAAAGAAGGGTAGCCATCATCAACAGGGACAGCTATTATATGAACTGTTGATGTGAACTGCAGTTACTGGCTGTTAGTTGATGGGCCACGGCGGTTGGATGACCACGCCAGACGTAGCTAAGGCTAGCGAATAATTCAAAGACAAAGTTCAACTACACGGTCACTGATGCTCGTCTCTGCCGTTATTAACTGCTTGAAGTGTCGTGAATAGTGTGCAGCCAGTACCGTAATGATGATCCGAGTAGTAGTCTGGCGAAGAGCGATATTTGTAAACGATTAATCCTTATAAGCTTGATATTTGTGGTTATCAATAATAACGAAATAGCCTATATAGCAACCTTTGACCCAAATCATCATATTCAGTATTAATATTGTATTACTGTCCCCCAACAGCGACATTGCTGGCGTGGCTAATAAGTTGTCCAGGCTGCTGCGCTGAACAATAGGGGTAAGCCATCGTTGTTGCAATCGTCGTCGTCGACAATTGATTATGTTTCCACTTGTCATCCAGGACTCGGAATAAGTATACTTCGACCACGCCTGGGCCAGCTGCAGAGAAGTTGTTCCTTTCCCTTTGCTCAATACCGCTTGCCACTTTTCAATTGTGGCAGTGATCAAGTCGACGCCATCGAACGTTATGAAGGAGCTGAGACGGCAAAGCCATCAACAAATGAGCGCTGAGCTCTGCCCTTGATCCTCCGAATTGGACTTCCCATAAATATTCAAAGATTCTTCCGTTTTGCGAGATCATCATGCTGCGGACTGCGTGTCTGTTGACGAGGTATGCGGCATCCAAATTATTCCATTCATGGTCAGTGAAGTCCATTCCCTAGGCCTAGCGCCACAGAAAAACCGCCCTGCGCCTCGGGCCATATCAGTAGTGAGAGGTACTACGACGCACTTGCCTGATTCGTGCAACCTTGGAGTTGCCTTGGAGCAATTGAATTCCTTCACCTGCGGCCTCGGACATGTAATTGGGATGAGTATGGTACCAGTACATAATTTTAACGCCGCAGCTCGTCCCCGACAATTCGTCACTACTTTAGAAATTCCTACAACCCATCCACCAATGCCATCCACTATACTGCGGTTCATGCACGATCGACTTTGCCATGTGGTCCATGTTTTCTTCAATATGGCGCTCTTCAAAGTGCATACAAAGAGCACGCGAATCGTTCAATGTGAATAACGTCAAGTTCGTCGTCGTAACCACCATCATACACAGCACTCCGCTCTGGAGGCACCGAGGCACCCCGGGGGTTGAAGCAAATTTGACGTGCTCGAACTTCGTGTGCTCGTATCTCGGCATTAAACTCGTAGCTTCTCGGACAACATTTCAGGCAATGCTGCCCCGCGAACTAGACAAGCCATTCAGAAGCTTCAAGAAACTGTATATCCATGAGGCTGCTTTTTCGGACGGACTCTGAACGGTGGGCAGGGAGCACTGCGGTCTCATCAACTCGTTGCATAGTCTCCTAGTTAAACCAATAAAAAACAGTGGAAACCACAGATTTACTTATAGAGTGATAGGCCCAACTCATCTATGTAATGGGCTTGGTACATCAGAGACTGATTTCAAATATCCTAACCTGCCCAACTCATAACTCACCCCCACTGTTGCCTCGGAAACTGGATAAGTCAATCGGGAGAGGATGCTTTGGCAGATGGACAAGTTTCATCTGGTACGGTTGCGGGATGTTCAAGTTGATGGTTGAAAGGAAGTTGAAACGTTGATGATCGGACCGTCACGTTGCCGTACTTGCTGAAGCGGCGCTCCCAGGATCTAACTGCGCTACACCTACTATAGTTCAACTTCAACCGAGACAATGCGGTCCCCAGGGACGTTCCTACTACTACTACTCCCAGCAGTCCTCGCCTTTAAACCATCCGACTTCAAGACATGCTCCCAGTCCGGTTTCTGTCGCAGAGGACGCGCCCTCGCAGAACGCTCACAAGAATTATCATCATGGCATTCTCCGTACTCAATTGAACCCCCAGAACTTAGCCCTCATCAACCAGGCTTCACCACAAATGTCCATTCGTCTGTCTATCCCAATGTCAAATTCGTGCTTGATGTTATTATACACGAGGAGGGCATTGTGCGCGTGCGAATGGACGAAGAGAACGGACTGAGGAAACGATATAACGAAGCTACTCAGTGGGCGCTCATTGGGGAACCTTTGTTGAGTGATGATGTCTTCTGGACCGTCGACAGTAAAAAAGCCAAAGCTGTTTATGGACCAAAGAAGGATATGGAGCTCGTCATCGACTTTAACCCTCTCAAAATCACGCTTTTCCGGGGTGGTGTGGAACAGGTCGTATTGAACGGGCGCGGTTTACTGCACATGGAGCATTTCAGGACAAAGGAGGACTCTAAATTAGTTGAACATATCGAAGGCGAGGGACAATCTGTCCTCCAAGTCAACTCTGCAGCATGGTTCGAAGGCGACACCCAAGACGCCTTCTGGGACGAAACCTTCTCCTCATGGACAGACACAAAACCCAAAGGTACGTCCCACACTCACCATCGACGCTGAGACTACAGCACCCAACGTCCACAGGCCCCGAATCACTCTCCCTCGACATAACTTTCCCCAATCACGCCCACGTATACGGAATCCCCCAACATGCCACAAACCTTTCCCTCCCAAGCACAACAGGCCCCACCGCAAGATATACCGACCCCTTCCGTCTCTACAATTCAGATGTCTTCGAATACCTCGCCGACTCGCCGACTTCTCTCTACGGCTCGATTCCGCTCATGCACGCGCATTCTGCAACGTCGACGGTGGCCGTTTTTAATGCCATTGCGTCGGAAACATGGATCGATATCGCTCATGTAAAAGGTGGTGTAGAAACGCACTGGATATCCGAATCTGGGATCCTGGACGTGTTCCTACTCCCAGGCCCAACACCCACCGACGTCTTCACCCAATACGCACATCTGACAGGAACAGCGCCCCTCCCAGCCCACTGGTCACTCGGATATCACCAGTGCCGCTGGAACTATGTCAGTTCAGACGACGTGCGCGGTGTACAGGATAGGTTTGATGAGGATGATTTTCCGGTGGATGTCTTTTGGTTGGATATCGAGTATGCGGAGGATCACAAGTACTTTATGTGGAATAAGAAGACGTTCCCAGATCCGGTGGAGATGACGAAGGATGTGGAGGCTGTCGAGCGAAAGGTCTGTTTTGTTTCGCTCATTCATTCATTCATTCATCTTTCGCAATGAATCTTGCGCTCACGCATATACACGCTAGATGGTAATCATCGTCGACCCCCACTTAAAACGCTCAAACGACTACCCGGTATACAAACGCGCATCCGAACTAGAAGTCCTCGTTAAACCAAAGAACGGCGAGGGCGAATATGAAGGATGGTGTTGGCCCGGCTCCAGCTCATGGATCGACTTTTTCCATCCTGGTTCTTGGGACTTTTGGATTTCACTGTTCAAGACGGATACTATCGATGGTCAGTGGAGTTGGACAGAGAGCACTAACAATGTCGGTATTTGGAACGATATGAACGAGGTACGTTTTCTTCGATATTGGAGTGGCTTGCTTACTTATCAGCGAACACGAACTGCTAGCCGTCAGTGTTCAACGGACCGGAAATCACGATGCCGAAAGATAACATCCATTACGGTGGTTGGGAGCATAGAGACGTGCACAACATCAACGGAATGCTCTTCGTACGTCCCTCATCTCCTTTCTGAGTCTGTCAGTCAAGCTTACGATACTAATTCCCTGCAGGCAAATCTCACATTCCAAGCGGCAGAAGCCCGCACAGACCCCCCACGACGCCCATTCGTCCTCACCCGCGCCTTCTACGCTGGTTCTCAGCGTTTCGGTGCGATGTGGACCGGCGATAATCTTGGTACGTGGGAGCATATGGCTGTTGGGATTAAGATGGTGCTTGCGAATGGAGTTGGGGGGATGCCTTTTGCTGGATGTAAGTCCTTCCTCCTTTTCTCCCTATCAACTTCATTTCTAATTATCCACTTGCTCACAGCCGATGTCGGCGGCTTCTTCGGAAACCCCGAACCTGAAATGTTAGTGCGCTGGTACGTAGTGGGCGCATTCTCGCCCTTCTTCCGCGCACATGCGCATATCGACACGAAACGCCGAGAACCGTACCTTCTTGAGGAGCCCTACAAGAGTTTAGTGAGGGATATTTTGAGGTTGAGGTATTCGATGCTTCCTGTGTGGTATACTGCATTTAGGGAGACGAGTGAGAATGGGGTTCCTATTCTCCGGTGCGTTTTTTCTTCCTCCGTTGGACGATGTGATTGATGTGTGTTTGAATGGGCAGGCCTCAATATATTATGTTCCCCGAGGACGAAGCTGGGTTTGGAATTGATGATCAGTTTTATGTTGGGTCGTCGGGGTTACTTGTTAAGCCTGTGACGGAGAAGGGGGTGAAGGAGGTTTCTGTGTATATTGCTGAGGATCAGGTTCGTTCTTTTCCTCTTGCTTTCATTTCTCCGCACACCCAACTACCTAGGTCTACTACGACTACTTCACCAACCAGCCCCACCGCCCCAAAAACCGACAGATAACCCTCCCCGCAAACCTCGACCAAATCCCTCTCCTCATCCGCGGAGGCTCTATCATCCCCACCCGCGAACGTCCGCGCCGTTCCTCGCCACTGATGAAACACGACCCGTTCACACTCCGCATCGCGCTTGATACTTCGGGCAATGCGCGCGGGGAGGTGTATCTTGATGATGGCGAGACGTATGGGTATGGCAGGGGGGATGTTGTTTGGCGTGGGTTCGGTGCGGAGAGCACGAAAGGAAAGGGGAAAGGGACTGGGACGATGCGCATCTCGTCCGTTGATCTTGCCGTAAGAACGCAAGTGGGTGCGTACGACCCCAAGAACGAGTTCGCGCGCAGTGTGGGGGATGTAAGAGTGGAAAAGCTGGTCGTTCTTGGACTTGGGAAGAAGCCTTTGAGTGTTATTTTGGAGGGCGGAAGTGAACTTGAGTGGGAATTTGCGTCGAAGGATGGGGCGGGGGTGTTGGTCATCAAAGATCCTGCAGTGCGCGTGGTGGATGATTGGGCTGTCGTTGTGAAGTTGGAGTGAGATACCATCCTAATATTGTTTATATCACTCGTGCATTGTGAATGTTCATCTGCTTTCATGTTTTCATCGATTATCTTTGACGCGCAAGATTTGTTTAAAAATGATATATCTTTGAGGCATATGACATGCTTGTAAAACTTTGCCACATCGACAAGCATGGGTACATGCTAAGTGTTCTGGCGCTCCACTTGCAAGTACTTGCACTTGAGGTCTTCAAGTGTTCGCCATCAATTCAAATCGTGTCGTTAATAGCGTTCAATTAGCATATGTTCCAAGTAGTGAGAGCACTGAGAGGTGCTACGACGCACAGTGCACTTGCCTGATTTGCGCAACATCAATTAAATTCCTTCACCTGGTTCGTGGAGGGATGATGGTACCAGTACATGATTCTAACGCCGCAGCTCGTTCCGACAATCCGTCGCTATTTTAGAAATTCCGGTAGCCCATGTCTGATTAACTTTGCCATGTGGTCTCGATAGGGCGCTCTTCAAAGTGCATACGAAGAGCATGTGAACCGGACCTGGTCTCCACTCCGGAGGGATTTTGATACTGTTGCGGGATGTTCAAGTTGAGAGGTGTTGAAACGTTGATGGTTGAAAGGAAGTTGATGATGGGACCCGTAGTCGTTGTACTTCAATGCTGAAGCGCTCGCTACGCGTCATGACAGTGCTACGATGATATGAGTATTTTCTCGACGTTGACTGGCGATTGGGTACGGTAATAACGAATTACCTTCTGCAAGCCGTTTGTTTATAGATATTTTGTTTATTACGAGAAAGGGAACCACGGTAGTAAAGACTGGTTACGAGTCAACGTTCTACGTCGTGCATGTGACAAGTAGTTACAAGACAATACTATATACAAAGTGAGTGGATATATACGAATAACGATTTTGATAATGGCTTGCTTTGACCACGTACCGCGTGCAATCTCCGCCTCCATGCATTGCTTTATGCGAGCATCCTGCGGATGCGGTATATCTCTACCGAGCCTATACGAGGCAATGGTACTGATCACTCAAATACGGGAGTCACACAAAAAAGCAGAGAGCTACGTGCTTTTTCTCCTTTTCTTATTCGTTCTAGCCTTGTTCTTTGCCAACAGAACGATCTTCCGACTGTTGAGAATGCGGGAATCATTGAAGTCTGCACACTGACAGGATTTGCGCAAATTCGGGGATAACTAGCTTTGTTCTCGAATTAGAAGGTAAATCAGCGCACACTGCCGCGCTTATTGTTAATCATCAATGGATTGTCCACAATTGATTTGTGGATAGTACGCGGTGCCAACATACTTATAAAACGCAGAACTCTGAGTTAGTCTCTGTCCGACACCTTGCTAGGAGTCACGCCTTCAAGCCAGTCAAAGAGTGTGTACTACTTATTTTCGCTACTCTATCACGAACATGCCTTCTCTTTTTTCGAAACTGTCTGAAGCTTTAAAGGTGGATATATATGCTTAGATTCCATGTTCTCTCTCTAACATTTCTTAAAGACTGCGACTCCGCAGCAGACTGGACGTCCCAAGAAACGACGACCCTTCAAAATTGCCCGATCACCCCTGGCGCATAACATTCAGTGCTACGGATATGCAGTCTCTTCTGAATGGCTCGTCCGGTTCGCGGAACAACACTGCCCAGAAGATTTGCCAGATCGTGATCACACAGACTATGAAGACGTTGCCACGACGCGAGCCTATGAACTCCTTGCATCTTTGTCGGGCATCTATTACTTGGACTACAGAAATTGTTTGAATCCCCCGCCGGGAGGCGTCATCCCTCCAGAGTGGATCGGTGTGTTCCGCGGTAAATACGATGATGCACCCGACGAAGTACTGGATGCCATTCAAATTGACACCATTCAGGTGTTTTATGTGTGCTCGGATAGAGGAGATTTTGAAATGCGTCCTACGCAGAAACAGCTCAACACCTTGACCAAGTTGATCGGGCACGCACCGCAATGGTGGGTGGCTTATGGGCCTGGACCCTGGTAGGGGTTTTTGGAACCCTCTCTATCCCTCTCATCGTGTACTCTACCGCATATCTATCACAGTTCACAATCATATGCAATGTACATACATCTTATACGATTTCACCTAGTTCATGGCGAAGTTAGGCAAACCGAATATATGTATACGTATGGACTTCACCTCGAAATTACCTTCCGAGTCTACTCAGATCTGAGAGTTTGACATCTCTGCAAATGAAATGATTGGTCTGACTGGACGACGGTTTGAGCCGTCCAATTCTGTGGGTCCTCGGAGATTCTGGGAAATTGTAGGTGTCACCCTATACGTTGTACATGTACATGTGTAGTGGTTTGCTGATCATGTAACTCCATTTGTATAATCGTCATTTGACTGCACTAGGGAGTACTGTGAGTCGTGTCAACATGACACATAAGGTAGACTACATATGCATGTAGTGTCTAGTAATATAGGTATTATAAAATACTCATGTATATAATATTAATATTAGAACGGCCAGGTTCTCGCGCACAGCGCAGTAATTGCTAGCAGCGTCGACCGACAGTATAGTACCCTGAAGGACAGTGAATATTGCAAAGCCCCTCGGATAGATTTAATCTATGATTATATGGGAAAACCGAGAAAAATCAAGATCATCACGTCAAGGGGTTACATCTTGGCACATTGCACTGAGACTTTGAGGGGGTACCAGGCCCAGGGCCATATTTGGAACGGAATATTTGATCAGGGCCGCGGATCAGGCCTGCAGGCCTCAGGCAGTGTGCACGCGTCGCGAACAAGATATGGGGTTGTCGGCGTTTCGTGGCCCATCAATTGTGTAGTATATGCTTGCCCCTGTCATCAGGGTGCTCTCAGGTAGCCTATTAGTATCTAGTAGTATGCAAACGTATTACTCACAAAGATCTCATATAGGTTTTGTGCCTCGATCTGAGACGTTTGACTGACATCAAATGCGTCGACAGCCGGATGCATATTGCTAGAGAAACATAAGAGTGGCATTCTTGATAACGAGCCGACGGTATTCTGGCACATACCGTTTGACTCCCGACGGAGAGCACAGGAAAAATCTTGAAGCTTGAAGTACTCAAGCTGTCGCCGGCAGGAACGGGTTTACATAAAAGTAAGTCGCTGGCATGAGATAGGTGACTGAATACTACTTACTATAATATCTTGATCCTGGACTCGGACATGTTTCCAGATCTCCTGTGCATGTTGTTTTACCGATTCAACCTAAGCTTGTCAACGTGACGTTGAATGAGAACAAATAATGGTGGTTCGAACATCCTTGAACGTTGCGATGGCCCAGTATACGTAAGTGCTGACGAGAATTAAACTCCGTAGGTACAAGGTACTTCACTGCACTTTGCAAGGCACGCGTCACTGCTGCGGTCCATTCGTAACAGATCTCCATTTCGTGATTTTTGTCTACAGCACTCAACTTTAAAGTAATTGCTTACCTACTTCACTGGGTATGTCCTACATACTATATTTCGGGCATTAAATTCAACAGAACGTTGGAGCGGGCACGGACTGCAAGGGAACCAAGGCCAGACCTCTATAGCGGGAGGCATCTATTGAGGACAGAGACAGACTACGACCGTGAGTCCGTGACACGATCCAGGACCCCAGCCACTCCTGACCTCATCTGGCCCCGCTCCAACGTTTCATTGGTCACCGTGACTAAAGTGATCAAGTAAGTTTAGAGTTGCTTTGCGCTGATTCAGGACCTCGTGAGTCACTGACGCCCGTGCTAACGGTGGTGGCGTGGGTGCAGAGGGTCGCAAGAAAGGATGACGACTCGGGGGTCATGATATCACCTCGAGGGTCGTGGCGGCATGAATTTTTTTTGGATATCATGCACGTTTCTGGGCAGGTAGCGATGGAATACCAGCGATCTCGTACATACTGTCTGTATACTGTCAATATTTTCTCGTGGTATAAAAGTATGGTAGACTGGTCCGCGACCATCGAATCGCCACTATATAGAAGATAGTAGAAGAACTACAGAAGAATTACAAGGCAGACTAGCTACAAGTTAGTCAGTCAGAGATAGTCAGTCCGACTGAAGGATACACCTGATACTGGATATACACGGATATTTAAAAGGGGCATAGGAAACGTAAAGGAAATTCTAGAAACAAAGCGAGCACAAAGGGTCGTCTGTGTTCAGTCGATATTGGTACAGAACAACCACCCTACAACAGATAGTTACTAAGTCAACCAAAGTCAACCTTGAAACCATATTTCCGATACTCACCTACTCTCGCACACCTTCCAGCTCTTCTACATCATCCAGGTCTACTTCAGCAAATGCTTGTAGTTGCCGGTCCACTTCACGGCTGAGGTCGCGAGTTTCGTAGGAACGCGTTTGAAGACTCCGAAGGTTCAGGACTAGGCGCTGACCAGCTACCGAAAGTAACGGAGTCGCGAACCTACATGCAATATCTTAACCGAATGCGATGGGGTTGCATTACGGCTAACGTACCCTTTACCAAGGAAATATGTTGGATGCTGTAAAACAGTCAGAAAGAACGACGGTCCGCTAAGGATAAAGAATTCTGACGGTCCTGAATGCAGTCCTGAATATAATAAGGCCATAGAACGAATCAAGAGTATAAGCAAGTCTCACCAAGAGATAACGGTCAATGCATTAATGAACATACTAGCCTATTCGGTTGTCAGCAACAAGATACATCATGAAGATTTTTCACGCTCACGATGAAAAATAAGGTCGCTATACAATTGTAGTCAATTGCGGACGAATCACTCCACAAAGCACGCTCACCGTCTCGAACGAGTACATGGAGGAGACTAGACGGGTAGAGTTGCTGAAATTCCCTAGAATATATCCGGAGACTTCGCATCGTTAAGACGAAGAGTACTGCATCAAGGATAAAGCTTTATTGATGGTTTTCAGCAAGCGCAAGCACACAGAACAGAGCATCTTAACCTTCCAACGTAGATTGACCACTAGCGTTATAATATCAGTAATGCCAACGAGACGTCCGTCAATATGCCAAACGCGATGTAAAAGCGACCAACCACATATTCTTTGAAGTAGCAAACTATCAATATGCTGCAGGAGCCAAATAGCGATCACCTACTAGGCCCTGTCGCCACGCAAACCTGAGCCACGTCGAGGAACTGAAATTGAACTACCAAAGCGAAACCAGTTTTACCAAATGAAAATAAAAAGGGTGCAAAGTAACCTACTATCACCGGCGTATAAACCGTACACTGCGCTAGCCACCAGCACAACAATGCAGCCCACGTAGCTCCAGGCGAAGCTCATCATCACACGCCTTCGAGTTCCCCAGATAGCCCATGCACGCAGGAGCACGAGGACTGAGGAAAACCAAAAGCCTCAGGCCTCAGGACGTGCAATGATTATCGAGCAGATGTACGCACTGTGGATCGATTGGATGGACACAAGCATGAAGCAAGTGGTGAAAATTGAAAACCCTTGACAGAACTGGCACGAAATTAGCCACTCGCTAAATGTCATGTCTACTCATGAAACTATACCTTTTGAGAATTATGTGCAAGGAGACCAGCCTCTTCCAGCCGGATGGCAGTCTGTCCAATAAGGTTTCCATACCTGCTGAGAAGAAACACGATTTTGATAACCGTCCAGGGGGCCTTCCAGATGTAGACGAACTGTAACCAAGGGTATATTGTGAACATTCATATCACACATATCACATGATAAGCTCACTTCTTCTCTGAAAGTTAGGAGATAGTCGTAGACTAGTAATGTATGGCCAGCTGCGGAGAACGACCTAGACAATATTAGGTGAGAATCCGACGATGTGTACGATATATAGACATGCCTCCGCACCCAGACGTCTTCCATGAACTGGGGGGACAAAGGCATGGTCGAAACAGTCACAGCGGTAAGACCGATCTAAAGACGAGGAGAGCTAGCACGCTTTAAAAGGGTACCCAGACAACCATAAGCCATCCAGCGCTCGACTTTCACTGGCAATGACACGGACAACCAACATATAAATATGTGATGGGAGACACGAAGTTTGAACGGACCCCGATCCTGAAACCACTGGCAGTCGCCGCGGTGTTGGCTACAAATGCATATATTTGGAGAGGGTCGCCCTGAACTTAACATTATGACAGGCTGGCCATGCGAGGTGTAGGGTGTAACATTTACGTCAGCGTTCAAATTGAGGAGAGTGAGACAATTTTTCGTACTTGACCTGAGAGGCTCCATTAGGGAGATGTCAGAGAGTTGATGTCAGGCTCCACGCGTAATATTTATGTGTCCACCAATGTCCCACAGCGTCGATCACGCGTAAGGAGGAGCGGTCTGGAAAGTAATCAAAAATGATAACCATACAGGCGGCAAAACTCTTGGTGAGCAGTACCATAGCAAGAAATAGGTATCGACGAGGAGAAGTTCATTAACCGGCAAGTAAAAGCACACTCGAGCAATGAATGATCCTTCCCAATGGTGAGAGGTGGCGCAGGGTAGTCGCACAGCGCCAAAGGGTACAGGTGTGTACGTGACGGGTTTGAGGGGAACCTGACAACCACACAAACACCGGCAGGCCAGCATGCGCAGAGAAATATAAAGGAGCTAGAAGACAACAATAAGATAAAGTGAGTGACAGATGACGGGGTGACGGTACAGCTCGAGGACCGTAGAAAGCAGGACATGAATAAATAGAGTTGGACTTGGTTGCGGCAGCATCGCCTTCTTCGTACACGGTGTATGCGGTATCGGGCCGCTTAGCATTGGTAATGTCTCGCCTGCAGGACGCTGGGACCGGCTCAGGTGCAGACTCGGATGTCATGCTAACGGCAGCAAAAGGATCGACAACGTGAGCGGAGATAGTAGACGAATTATAAGGTAGTTCGGGATCGTCCACAAGGATGGCAGACTGACGTTTGAAGGCTGAAGCGCTGAAGCTTTACATTTGTCTTCATCGGACTGGCGTTTGCGGCGCTAGAATTTTAAATGAGAAGACAGGACGGATCTTCAAAAATGAGAAAATGATACACCACTGGAACTGGCACGGACTGCAATGGAAAGCCAAGCCCAAACCTCTATGGCGGGAGGCAGTCACTGGTATCATACGGCGAGGACCGACTACCAGCCAGGACTCCTGCCACTGCGCCGGGACCTTTGGCGCTTCCGCCAGACCACGTGCCACATGAAACCTAATAGGATGGGTGTGGTACAGGTGAGATCGACAACATATATTTGTGATTGGAATAACTAGCACTATGAAGATGTAGGAGGGGCATGGCCTACTCTAGCATTCGGGGCGCACGACACACGTATTATTAGTCACGGTGCAGTAAACCACCTACAATTAGCCACCGAAGACTTATAAGTGACTATGCGGAGTCGAGAGTACTCAAGAAACATCCAGACATTCATATACAGTACATTCCATGGAAACAATTAGTGGGGTACTTAGATGGCATGCAAGGGACAAATATGGAAGACAGCCCCCAACTCACTAATCAACCACCATCGCGACCTCCTCCGGCATCCCATTCTCCGCTACTCTCAATTCCATTCTCTCCTCTTCACCATTCACAAAACCATGCCCGTTATCGTTTGATCCCAGCACAGTAGCGCCAGAGCTTTCACCCAGCCCAGATCCCCTTTCGCCAGTATCCATTCCCGATGGCGGTAGCGGTAGCAAAAACGCCCCCTCCAGTAGCTTCGCTTCTTGACGCTCCTTCTCCTTGTTCTTCCAGTGCTCCTCAAGCCCCATCCGCGCATCATGGCTTGCCTCCCGCACCATCGCCGTGCGAGTGGGCTTCCACTTCGTCGGGTCCATCGCATTATAACACCCAGCCGTCAGACCCTCGAGAGCCCATAACTGCGTCCCACCAGCAGCAAGCGCGCGTTCGACGTGCCTGTCAAGCAGCCGGTGCTCGAGAAGGCCTGGGTAATACCGCCCTGCGATCCACGTCAAATCTACGACAATCTCATAGCCCGGCTTCAGGATGGGGCGGAACTTAAATCCGTCGGGGGCCTTTGGCAGTGGGAAGGCACTGAGGACTGGATGCGAGAGCGCGCTGTTCGCGTCACATTGTGGTGCGGTAGATGCAGAAGTGGAAGCGCCAGCTACGTTGCTGTGTGAAAGAACGTCTGTTGTCGTGCCTTCCACGGGAATCGCTGGATCTGGGTTTGCGAGTGGAGGCGGTTTCAGTGGGGATGGACCATTCATGAATGAAAGACCAGATGGTACAGCATCCAACTGAAACGACCCATCCACGTTTAAATTGCCATTTTCGATCGCCTTACCCTTTCCTTTGTCAACTATCATCTCCCGGCCGTCCCAGTCTTCCTCCCAGTCTTCATCCACGAGTTCATAAAGCGTCCCTACTGCATGGCAGACTTTGGATCCTCTTCCACTTGGCGGATCGGCAACGAATAATCCTTCGAGGCGCATGAACACACCCCGCCCCTCAGCGCCACCGACCTGGCCGCCCATAGATCGCGCGTACTCCTGCGCTTTCTTACTTGGACCAGCAGGTGCATCAATAAGGTCATTTCCTTCAGGAGCGATCTGGCCTCGCGAAAATTTGAGCCGAATAAGCTCATCTGTCCAGATGCGCTCTGCACCCCACCACAAGCCTTGGTAGCGTGTCTGCACGACTGTCTGAGCAAGTGCCAGTGGGGGTAGCGGTGCAGAAATAATAGGCGTGTGAGAGCCTGAGCCAGAGGGCGTCGCCATGGACGAGGCGAGGTTAGCATTATGTGCCATACTTGAGTTCATCACTGAATCGAGGCTTTGGAATGTGCTGATTGACTGTGGTGGACCGGAATTGGGGTATTCAAGGCTGAATTTGAACTCCCAGTCATCTGTGGGTGTCCAATACCCAGAAATATTTGCGCCGATCTGCAGCGCAATACCGTACGGGGCTGCGGTTTTTGCAAAGGTAACTTCCGAAGAGGTGGAATAAGGGTTAAATGCGAAAGTGCGTGCGGGGTCTGGGTCTAGGTCCTCATAGGATACTGCATGGATAGCTTGGATAAGCTCATCTGAAGGGGCAACTGATTGGTACGGAAGAACAAGTTGGTCTGAAATATACAATGATTGGGAGATACCAAGAAGTTTCATTTTGTAAGAGAGGTCGTGCCGGATGATCCAAGGGACTCCCTCATCACCATTGGATTCAGCGTTCGAGCTCGGATGACCGTTTGATGGTCCATCAAGGATATCCATATCTGTGCCCTTTGGAATAGGCGTAGGCTTCATTCTTGTCTCTTCGACGAGACCTGGCCAGAAAAAGATGGAATCGTCGCCGCCTGGGCCACTAGGCCCTTCGATTGGGTTGTTCAATGCGCACCAAAGGAGTTCGCCGTCACGGAACCATCGACGAACCTTGACTTCGGGACCATAGGCACAGCTCAAATCGGAGTTGCGCTCCCTGAGCATGCTTTGCTTTGGTGCAGGCGGTCTGACAGGTTTTGGCATACGACGTACACCGACATATGGTCTAAATCTTTCTTTGTCGCGTGAGCTTTTCTCTTGATCCCGAACAGGCCTGTCTTTAGATGGCTGAGGCTGGCGTTTCAATTTAGGGGTTTGAACTGTCCGTGTGGGTGTGTTTGCGGCAGAGGGCGCGGAGCCGCCGCGCTTTGGAAGAAGGCCCATGGAGGCAGTGATTTCACGTTGGGGTTTTTTATTGCAATACTTGCAGTTGCAGTTGCTACGGTCAAGCGTGGGGTCTGTGAGCAGCCATAGGGCGTGGGGAATAAACTCTGGGACAGAGCGGAAGCGTTTGGCATAGGTAGAACCTAGCATTTTAATGGTAAACACCAACTAATTGCGTTGACGGGGAAGCACAGCTCACCTATAAGATAGGCATCATGACGAGGAGTATCCTTTGGGCCTTTGTTGTGATCGAACATCTGATAGCCCTCAGGCCATCCTTGCAAAACATAGTTACCCTCTGTTGAAAGAATGAGATAAATGATCGGTGGCCAGTACATGAAAGAGAGTACTCACGAGCCATGTTAAGCTTTGAGGCAAGAGCTGCAGCGACTTCGACACGCCATTTGATCGATAACGATTCATCGAGGGAAGCCTGTCGCATGAAGTTTACATGGCCCTCGCTGTCAATGTGGGGGGTAGTGTTTGTGGGCCATTTACTTGGGTCACCGTCAGATCTTGGAAAGTCAATAAAGGTAGGATTAGGAGGGATGGCGTGTGACGAGCCGAACCCCTTGTGGGTGTTTCTAGCACTCATCCCGCGCGCTGTGAGTGCGAATGAGTGTTTGGTAGTACTACGACACGCTGGATCCTATTAATAGGCGATTACATCAGCAGAATAAATAAATGTAAACACTGGCAGCGCTTATTATCCTTCAAAACTTTTGTTGGAAGTACTCATGTATGATGCTCGCGGCTTCATGTGATTTTCAATCAGCATCTTTCTGTTGAAGACGCTTGACGACGAGATCATCTTGCATGAACTGCCGTTGATTATCTACGTCCTGCACATTCATTTCTTGTGGCAAAGGCGTTAAACAACACGGCAAAAACGAGATACGTAGTATCGTGGCCAGGTTCGAGAAACCATCTGCCTGTTATTTTTGTCAGGAGGATGCCTTGATTCTTGCCAGACATTTTGTGTACTTCGTAGATCTTTGAGAATACATTTTTCATTCATACAAGCATCTCCTTTGAGCGTGCCATTCCGAGCAATGCCAACACGTGCCTTGCTCCCTTGGTCTGACAAAGTTGAAGCTGAAGTGTACGGGAGATCCGCCCCGTTCGATGTCGGACAGAAAGTCGAGCATGAAACACGCAAAGAATCGCCCAATCATGCACCAGTGCAATAGATTAAAACCATATGCAGGCGAGGTGTCTCTCCTAGGCAGTCCAATAGAAAGACGTTCCTTCTAAGGAGGATACAGTCCATTATTTGGAAGAGGTTCGGTGTACACTAAAGCGCAATTATTACTGCAACTGCTGCACTTTTGCCCGCTCCAGCTTGAAATAAAACTCCTCCTGCCTTTGTACTGCAGCGAGTCAGCGTTAATGAATGAGGTGCCACGACAACCCAGACGTACCAGACTTGAGATGTACGCCATACCTATTCACATATGAGCATGATTTGAGAAGCCGAAAAACAATCTACTTACCAAAAAGCATAGGCAGATGAGACGCCGAGACCAAGGGCGACCGAAAGGTCGAGCCACAGTCTCTTTCTAAGCTTGCCAGTGATTGGTGCAATAGGCATGGTTGGATTAAAGATTGTTTTCAATGTTGAACGTTACGGTGCAAGCCGGGTCCAGGTAGTGTGGGTGTAGCCAAACAAGAGCACAAACAAAACGGCCCATCTCATCCACTTGGCTAGCATTGGCATTGTACGAGCTCGCTACCCTAAACCTTTAAACTCGTACAATCATCAATCTAGTCGTCTTTCATCTTGCGGTACAAATCAGAATTAGATCAAAAAATCAATTCTAAACTACTCTTATAACAATCACAGCGAACCCCCTCTAGCCACGCTACAATCATGGACATCGACCCATCAGGCTCTGGTAGCTGGCGCTTTGCACAATGCTTCGGTGACAAGGGTGAAGTGGACGACATCACAGAAGGTCCGTGCACCCACTCTGATCGACTCTCTGGTTCAACTGACCCGCATCGATGGGATACCGCAGCCGACATCATATCCACAGTCGAGTTCGATGCAACTGGAAATTACCTCGCCACAGGCGACAAAGGTGGTCGTGTCGTTCTCTTTGAGCGCAACGAGTCTGTGAGTATCATTCTCATTCCATTGTTCCCATATTAAAGCCCTGATTACGCCACGCGATCATTAGAAAAGAGGCTGCGAATACAAGTTTTACACAGAGTTCCAGTCACACGAGCCTGAATTCGATTATCTAAAGTCTCTTGAAATCGAGGAGAAGATCAACAAGATCAAGTGGTGTAGACGACAAAATACCGCCCACTTCTTACTTTCTACCAACGGTTTGCCACCCCTTTCCCTCCCAGCACTTCTGACTAATCCCACACACAGACAAGACAATCAAACTCTGGAAAATATTTGAGAAGAGTATCCGTGTAGTCTCGGAGTCAAACCACCTCGATGGTCATCGTGCTCTTCCACCCCCAAGTCTTGTCTCCCATCTCAAGCTCCCCCGCATGCAGCCACAGGACAACATTATCGCCGCAGTCCCACGTAAAGTCTACGCCAATGCACATGCCTACCACATCCATTCCATATCTGTCAATTCCGACCAGGAAACCTACATCTCCGCAGACGATCTACGCATCAACCTTTGGAACCTCGGCATCAGTGATCAGAGTTTTAGTAAGTCTCCTTCCTCTACTACCCTGATCTAGAGAAGACGCTCATGACTAATAGACATCGTGGATATCAAACCTGTGAATATGGAAGAACTCACAGAAGTGATCACCGCAGCGGAATTCCACCCTCAGCAATGCAACCTTTTCATGTACTCGAGCTCAAAAAGTAATATCAAGCTCGCAGATATGCGCGACTCCGCACTATGTGACCGTCATGCAAAATGTACGCACCTCATTTAAATCTCTAAACCCTTTGCCTCTCACATCGAATCATGTGCAGGCTTCGAAGAAGAAGAGGACCCCACATCCCGATCCTTCTTCTCCGAGATCATATCTTCTATATCTGATGTCAAGTTCAGTCATGACGGGCGGTATATCTTGTCGCGCGACTATCTCTCCCTCAAGATCTGGGACATTAATATGGAGTCGCGTCCTGTGAAGACCATTCCTATCCATGATCACCTCCGCGGCAAGCTTTGCGATCTGTATGAGAACGACTGCATCTTTGATAAGTTTGAGTGTGTATGGAGTGGAGATGATAAGTGCGTATTCGCTCTCATCGTGCCCTTACCCCTGTGCCTTTCTTTATCTTCTGCTCCACCGTTCTCCAATCGATCCCTTTTTATCTCCCGAACCATTACTAATTGACTTGCAACCCAGGCACGTGCTAACGGGCTCATACCACAACTTCTTCCGCATATTTGACACAGACTCGCCGAATGACGTCGTGCTGCAGGCGGACAAGTCTGCTTTCAAGGCCAAGAAGATCGGCGCACCTGCAGGCAAGAACGGGCTCAAGAACGGCCCGCGTCCCGGCGGACTGCGGGACGCAATGCAAACGGATACGCTTGACTTTAACAAGAAGATCTTGCATGCTAGCTGGCATCCACGGGAGAACACGATCGCTGTGAGTGTTATGCTTTGCATATAGTTCGTGCTTTGCGCCGTTAGTTTTTTGTGCTGCCGATCTTTCCTGCTTTACATCTGTGCTTTAGTCTGTACTAACACTTTATAATTAGATCGCTGCAACGAACAACCTATTCTTGTACAGCGCAGCATAATACGTTTCTACCCCCACCCACATTTCTCCGGCAAGAGAGGGCAAGTCAGCGGTGTACAAGCGCCCGAGACACCGTATTACGCACGGACTTATTCTTTCTTACACTACACTACCATATTACTGTGGGCGCTCGTTTTTATCCATCTTGCTTACGATACGAATCAGATACCACGTACAACTGCGTATTACCCTGTTTGTGTTTTCGGGACTTGTTTCTCATCCTTGGGCGCTCAGCCTTCCCTCTTCCTGTCCACCTCACTCACGCGCAACTTGCATATCCCTCTATCAGGCTACCACCACGTACATCATGTTTTCGAAAAAGATTCGTGTAGAATGAGAAGAAAGAAGAAGTAATCAATGACAAGGGCTTGTATCATTTATGTACATTCGCGGATGACTTCATGTGAGGTTTACTAAGAGCATACTGGTTTATTCATTCCTCTACCGTATGAATTATCCGCAAGGCGGCAAATTTTCACTCATCCTCATCCCTATTCTGCAATTCCTTAGGTAGGTAAGACGCTAACCACAACATCCCAACCGCAGGTATGCACAGAACAACAAATACCGCGTGACCACCCAAAATATTGTGATCCTTCGAGAACGCGAAAATGGACCCGGTGAATATGGGACCGATTGCGCGTGCGATTGATACTGTCATTTGACCCATACCATTGATCGCGCCCAGGACATTTTTCGTAGGTGCAGACGCGGTAATGAACATTAATATACTCGCTGGTTGTAAGTGAGCATGAGACCTACGATAGAGACACGCGCGATGATAGAAGCCTCACCCATAGAGATGTCCCACGCTACTATCAGAAGAAGCTGGCACAGCAGTGCGATCGAAACCATGTAATCAGCGCCTCCGGAGAAGACGAGCCATGACATGACTGGAAACATGACCATGATAGGTATAAAGCATGATATACCTGTGTAGAAGGTGCGTTTGGGACCTAGTCGGTCAACGACTTTGGCGAAGAACAGCGCCTGGAATAAACCGTCTATGATGCCGAATAGCGCCATCCATAACCCAACCGTTTGGGGTGCGAATCCTAGTCCGCCGAGGTAGTGAGGGGTGGAATAAAACAAGGGCATGAGAGCAAAGATACAGATGTCGAGAAACATAAGAAAGGCTTGATTTGCCAGGGGAATTATGATGCTACGAATGTACAACGAACGTAGGGGGACGTTGGCCATATTCTCCGAAGGTGATTCATTACTCCTGTATTCTTCCGAAAGTTGTTCGCCCGTGGCATTGCTAGGTATATAACGCTTGCGCTTGGTCGCTAAAGTCTGAAAGAGGGTTAATATTTGTGACTTGGATGTCTATCTCGAGTCTAACTTGCCTCTTCCAGGAGAAATACGAGCATGAACGACACGGAAACAACTGATGCAGCAACAGCACAGGGCAAGAAATACGGATATGTTGCCCAGAATTGTCCAGCAAAGAGATCTGGCCAATGGTCTTGAGGGCGAGCTAGAGTTCCCCCAAGAACGAAGCTGCAACACTCTCAGCACGAGTTTTTATTCAGAGAAAGACTGACCCGAAGAAGCTTCCAAAGCACCATGTGATGGGTATGAGAGCAAATCCTTGCGCCATGTTGGTCGAATCCGTGAGTTCGCCCATCATACTTCTCATGACTCCGCTATTGCCATTCAGCATTCCACAGATACAACGGCTATTTGGCCCATTGTATAGAAATACTCAACCATCTACATGAATTATATTGACTGACCTGACGACAAGAGTCCAGAAGGAGGTCGAGAGACCGAAGCAAAGCATTGAGAGGCCCACTCCAAATAAACCGATCATAAGGACAGGTTTGCGTCCAATGCGATCGGAAAGACGGCTCCACTTCAATACCGTCAGTGATTCCGAGATGAAGAAAAGTGACTCCTGGTACCACCGGAGTCATAACTCTTTGTGTTCGCTCAAATGACATGACCTACTATAATTCCAGCGTAATAACCGACTGCTGCATCGTTACCACCAGTGATATCTAGTTCTCGGATCAGCTGCGATTAACGTTCAAATTTAACTCCCTGAAGAAGCTTCTGATATTATACCTGGTTGATGTACGGGTATATTGACATGCAAGCAATGGGTTCTGCCATTTGGACAAGCATCAAAATGCCGATCTGCAGTTTTGGAAGGGGCGTCTTTTGCTTTGTTTGCGTGGTTTCGTGCAGAAGGGGAGATGTTTCCGTCTCAGAACCCTGGACATCGAAGATACTCATCCTGTTACAATTGACCTTGGGTGCGACGTGATTTGTGAGCAGACGCTGCAAAGTAAACAATCAACATTGAAATTTGAGAGTCCGCGCTAGCACACGCAAATGATAGCAAGAATAGCTATGAGCGCTGATGCATCATGACTTGTCAACGCTTGACTGGTTTAACCGCGTGCTGCGGTTTTGCGGGTAACATGACTCGCTTAGGGTGTTGTTTGGCAGTAGCTTCAAAAATAAACAACCGCTTTCGGGAATGTTATTTCGTCTGATAGCACACAGTAAGCTAGATTCGCATATGGTGTTCAGGTGAGATATTGATAAGTGAACTCACCTTTTCAATGGCCTTTTCAAGTTCCGTGATGTAGAAGGTACAGAATGATCCAAAGAATCACATACATTTCAATTGGCTGCTTCCAACACCGCACTCAGCCGTCACGTTGAAAATCGGGTCGGCACCGTCGGACCGGTAGGAAAGAGGGTAGAGGATCGTACTGGCCTCGGTTACAGGGACGACAAGTACAGCTAGTTCTGATTCGTTCTGTGATAACACGGGTGAAACTGAACTTGGAAGTCAACACCATCGACGGAGCGGAGGACGACATCTTAGTTTGAACAGAGCAGTGACATGATAATGACGAAGATTGTGATCACGGACAATTTTACACCAATACTTATACCAAGTGATGGACTTCAAGCTTCAGTGAGGAACACGGGATTTATGTAGATCGACATTCAAACGAAAATATGTCTCATAGTAGTCTAGAAGGACGGAGGCATTGTGAAGAATGAATTCTTTCTAATGGTCTGACCATGGCTGCCAGTGAATGTAAGTACGGTGGATGCAACAGCTTCTCGACACATACGTATGATAACAACTTAACACTTGACTCTAGGCAATTGCGACAACACCGAGACGATGGCATTATGTCCAAAGGATTATAGTGGCTCGACTGAACAGGAGGACGCTTTTGAGGAATCTGTTCCTTCTTGCATTACCGATATTTTCTGCAGCCCCGATTTATTGTCTGGCAAGCCCACATGAATCACCTGTGTGACGCGTGCAAAACTGATTTCGGAAATCTCGGTTTCGTGGACTGTTTGTGGCTGCAGGTAGGATTCCCGAGCGATTAAGCTGAGCAAGATATCAGTAGTCTCTTCCATTATCGTTAAGAACAACTCACTTGGCGAGAAGACATGTAGCATACACTGTCATGCCAGGACATCAGAACATTCCGTGTACTCGAGTTGATAACAACAAGATTCTCACAGCATCCAGTAGGAAAACACATATGTAGATGATACACATCGAAACGGAAAGCTGCCCACTGCGTCTTGGTCAGAGACATAGTTGTTGTGCGCAATAAGCACTCACAATTCCCATAGTGATGGATGCCACCACACTATACAGGGTGAGTATATACCCATTGACAATACAAAGGAACTTGCGTTGTAATCAAACCCGTTTGCGAGCAGAATATGATAAGTCTTGTGATCATTCGGTTGGTTCTGAACACAAGACGGTCAATTATTTTCATACTCGAACTGATTAATCACCTTGGCGATTCAGTCCTGTGTTTGTGGAGAATATAAGCCGTAGTTCCAGCGATAAGAACATCATTGATTGCTGAACAACCAAGCGAGATCAAAGTAGACCACTTTATCCTTGTGAGTTGCTTCCCGATCAAAGGTAGAACAAGCTTACATTGACCATGAAATTCAAGTTGTGATGGCTTAGTTGAGAGCTGTTTCCCGTATTTGAGAAACACCTGACAGAGCGACACTGATAAAATTGGACCTACGCGTAGATTGCACCAAGAACACCAAAAACTATTTTCCGTGATTAAGTAGCGATTATCCGTTGCAGCATAAACTATCGCACCTTGCTCCATGACACAAAATGCAATCTGATTGGCGCAATAAGTTGCTGTTTCCGAGGCAGCCAAACGCAATGCCTACCAGGACGAATGTTATTCTCCGTTTGCCATAGAAAATCTTCTCAACTTCACGCACGCATCAGAAAGAAGTGTCATAGTAGTACGTCAGCAGCACGCACGTCTGAAAACCCTGGATATGAGAACACCATGCACAACAGACGTGGTCAAACACTATGGAACGACAGTGAGCTTGATTAGTTCGAGACTGGCGGAAGAAAGGCGCCACTTGCACATATTCCGCTGTAAAGCGCCCAGTTTCTGTCGTTCTGTCAGAAAGCGCCTTGATACTAGTGACCAATGCCACTAACATCAACATATGGCCAAGTGTATCATTGAACTTTAACGTATGAGCGAACGATAACCAAGTAGCAATTGCCCTAGCAGGACTTTCAGTGGCTTGTACAGATATTTCCATAGAGACTCACATTTGAACGGCTTGGATTAGCCTGTAACGCATTTCCGTTAACTGTTGCATGCATGACATGCAATTGAAGATATTTACCAGATGAAGGCAACCTGTTCTGCACTGTCAGCGATGAGTCTGTGATATGCGACGAAAATTCGTACGAGAGCTTTACACTGCCTGTTCTCCACAGATCGAATTGTATGTCTCCGGAAATAGATCCAAACTTGCGCAGTCAAAATCAAGAAAACTCTATAAACCTTCGTTAGTATATGACTGCTATATGGCTCTCGATAACAATCATACATAGATGATATACCAAAACCAGTCATCACCGAAGCCACAATCCTGATAGCGGAACTGTATGTTAACATGACCTGGGTCATGGCGCAAATGTAGTTGCTGATTCTTTTGGAGGACGAGATGTAAATCGAAAGAACTTCAGAAAAGTAACCAGCAATGTGTGCTGTCTAGCGAATTAATAGTACAGGTGGGCGCACAAAGCCGGTGAATGTTCCGGGAGCACAAGAAGATATGAGCATAGCCCTACTAGCCTACTACTACTTAGTACTAGTACTAAAGCTGGATCAATCGGGGCTTATAAACCTGGTTACCCGGGTCCTTGTAAGCAGTTGAGCTATTTTTGTAAATCTATCTAGTCTAAGGCTGTGCAGCTGAAGCGCTTTATATCATTCCGTGATCAATGTTATTCAACCGCGTCTCACTACATCCCCCATTCACTGATGTCGCAGCATGAATTGTGAATCCTGGCACAGCTAATTCGATGTGTCGCAACGAGCTTTCAGAAATAGTCAAAACGGCGACGATGTCTGTCCTGAAAAAGCATCATGGCGCCACTAATACCTGAAATAACCGAGGCTAATGTCTTGCAGAGGCTGTAGACAACAACACCCTCAGTTGGATGATGATGCAATACCCAGGAGCTGTTGCAGGTATCGCATTTCGTGGGCAGTGCCGATTTACACCTGTATCATTTCGTGAATAACGTGGTCACCTGCTCAGCTGGTCCTCTGTCGTCAAGATCTTCATAACAATGCCGCAGACTGCATAGACGCCATACACAGCACGCCGTTCAAGATGCTTGGCAGTTGCAAAGTTGGAGTCGATGATATGGAGCAGTGGGTGAACTGAATGAGGAGCAATCGATCAATGTGCGGTCCGGTGAAAAGACAAGGCTCAAAGTCGGAAAGAGCGCTGTTGACCCAAAACCGACGATACCCGTGCTTGCCCACGTCGATAATCACTAGAGCTTGATTTCGTACAAATGATCATTATCTTCCGCACCTACTCATTTGTCCTGTGGTCTAATCACAGAGATCAGGCCTCGGGAACAAAGGGAGATCATATAGATTTTGGACGTAAACAAAGGGACGTGGATGTTCTGTACTAGTAAGTGCATCAGGCAGAGAGTTGATAATGTAAGCACGCTGGCTTACCTGAGTTCTCATAATCAGTACATACACCGTCGCTGATACTGAAACATAAGCTTTCAGTATTTCACCTTTTGGTGTAACGGTTATGCGCGGCGGCGGTCTGACCATGTTACAGATAAGCGCATTCTGAATCCACCCACAATATTTAAGATCAAATTGTTATCCATGAATTCCTTTGTAGCGGCGTACCAGTACACCCGTCACATTTCTCCCCTTCTCAGCAGTCGTGAAAAAATCGCACGTTCGATGCTAGAGTTCGTGATGAATCATAGTATTTACCATCAAGAACAACTTACTGCTGAATTCAATCACCTCGTCCTCGTCCTCTTCAGACTCCCCATCTTCCCAATCTGCACCGCTCGTGCCAAATGAGGAGGCGGATGCGGGAGCCATGCTGGACTCAACGGGTAAACTGGTCTCTTCTCCTGGCCAGATTTCTTTATCCCTCTATAAAATTTAGTTGGTTGCTCGTTTCATTCATAGGAAAAAGTTGCTCACCTCTATCTTGAAGATCCGGGCCCGGGCACTTGCCCCTGTGCTTGACCCGTAGTCCAGGATAGTAGCGCTCGTTGGCAGTATAATAGAGGCTTCCGATACATATAGCTGGTTGGTAGGATCCCAACACGGCCTCCAGTCGTCCGAAGAAGGAAATTGTGCTGGGAGGCGGGGAAGAAGAAAAACGAGTCCAAAGGAAAGGCAACTATCAGCTGGATGGGCGTCTGGAAGTGCAATGATCATAAAGATGTAATTTTTGCGAGACTGTCAAATATCGAGGGCAAGACCAGACAAATAACTAAGACTTGTATCGAATGAAAGGAAATGACATATAAAAAGTACGTGTAAGGAGTGTTGAGGCACTGATGCTCATGTGCTCTGGGTAAGTAGTGGGAGGTAGGGCAGCAAGAGTCCACCTGGCAGCCGGTGTTGATCTGAACGGTCCAGGTCGCCACCACAGAACAAGCGCACTGTCGCTGCAGGCCACCCGGAATACCCCATCCGATGGGCATACCACGAACATTCTTCTACGACGAATTGCGCATCAGGAACTTGTGAGCACTCGAGGGAACGTGACCGGTCGAAAGTGAGTGGCCAGACTTACATTCTCCTTACCCGGTATGCGAAGCTTTCGTGCTCGTTGACCTCCAAGTACTTACATACATGGGGGCACCCGTGCGAGAGGTTTCTTGACTGGGGACTGGGATGGCAGGGAGTGGACAGTCAGTTTATAGGACCAAAACCAGTTCATCCCATTCATATGATACAAGCCCAATATATAATGACAGAACCTATCATGTAGACGGCATCTTCAAGCATGTCGTCTTCAGTCCATCTCCACTCCACTTCGCCACCTCAATCAAAAGGTCGCGTTTCTTTTCTACAGCCGTAGCCGAGTGAAGCTCGTAGAGCGTCGCTATCAAGGCTTCAGTATCCGAAAACTTCTACAATTTGATTATCCACGCACAAAGATTGAAGAGGTACGGTTCTGCTACCACAACAGCCGACGGGGAGCTATGCATTGCAGTCTCAAGGACTTCGATACTCTGGAAAGCCGTTGAGCATTAAAACACGATAGAAGTCAGAGAATATTCACCTCCTTGAGTTTTCCCTGGCTCAGAAGAGCCACAGACAGATTATTAATCGCCTGAGCGTGTAAATATCAATTGCAAGCAAACCAACTCCAGTAAAGTATTACCACAAAGTTATCTGGCTCGGCCTGTACGAGGGCTTGGAGCAGTTCATCCGCCCGCGCCCAGTTCCCCTCAGCACATGCAAGCAATGCAGCATTCATATCTTTGAGTGTCTGCGGGACGCTAGCGTCACCCTCCACGACAGCAAAATGCGCCGCAGCCTGCGCGAGGTAACCACTCTGCAAGTAAATGCGACCCACAGCAGATCGGATGGCAGGGGAGGGTTGTTGCCCAGTACGTTGTGCGAACAGTGGCTCCAAAAGATTCGTTGCAGCAGTGAAGTCCTGCACATAGGGGTATCAGCTCGCTTATCGAGATATAGAAAGATATACATGCCTTCATCTCGATCATTTGAGATGCGATGATCAGGCACATCCGTGCAGCGCGCTCAAGCCACATCGATAAACTGGAGTCGTCGCCCTCTGTTTTCGAAATCTTGGCTTGAAGCTTGCACTTTTTGAGCAAAGCGTAAAGAATGTCCAGGTAGCCCATGAGGTCGCCTGCCCAGTATTTGAGGCGTGCGTGCATGACCTCGAGCTCAAAGGGAAGGATGCGGTCGAATAGGTATGCTCGGGCTGACGGGGGCTCTGTGGCATTGAGCACTGCAAAAAGGTTGGTGCATTCAGCAGACGTTTGGTTGTAGAGACGGAGACGAGCGAGGCTTGATAGGCGCAGAGACCAGAGCTGTTGAAAGAGGCTAAGTCACAGCGTGCATGGCCGTCATGTGCTTACATCGAGAACACGAATGAGGTCCTCAGGATTACAAGTTACTAGACGATCTCGCGCCATTCTGGCAAGCGCACGCCAACTGTTTGACATCTAATATTCGGAGTGCACTTATTGAGATCTTGGATTAGCACAAGGCGTACACTCATACTCACAACCATGGAGTGAAAATCAGAATGCTGCCATTCGCCAGTGACATCTCGTACAGGACGCTTCTCTAGCGGAGATACATATTTCGTGAGGAGAATATTTAGAGGGTCCGTCTAATAGTACATGGGATATACATCAATGGTGGGCGTTGATGGAACCACCAGGTGAGAGTGTAAGATAAAGAGAGGCGTACGTTTGGAATGGGTAAGAACATAGTAGGCATGATGAGCCCAGGAAGATACAATTCGGGTGCCTCCGACTCGGTGTCGCTTGGGGGAGGCGGGGGTACGTCTTTGTTGACGTTGGGGGAAGGTAGCGAGAGGGGTACTTCAGATGGCGTAAGAAGTGCTGATTGTGCGAGGGCAATCTCTTCATCTGCAGGGGAAACACTTTCACTCTCGAGCGAAGCACCTTCGACTTCAGATGAGGCATCCTCGCCTTCGGACGAGGCATCCTCTGAGCCTTCAACTATGAACGGGTCCGGTACCTCAGGCTCCGACACTTGTGATGGTGTACCTGTACCCTCCCCACTATCCTCAGGTAAAGTCTGGAGTAATTGTGGGGGGCGATCGATAGAATCCTCCAGATGCATGGACTGAGCAGAAGCGTAGAGAGAGCTCTGGGAAGGGTGGGAGGAAGTGGCTGATTCTGCAACCGAACTATTTCGGTCGAGGGATTTAATGCGTACACGTGGGGAAGCAAGACCCCAGTCGGCGGTGACAAAGGTACCGCTGTTATCCGATCCATGGGTTTCAGCAGACATCATGTCTTCTGAGAGTGTTCTCGAGTGCTTGGAGCTGATATCGATAACGTCCGAAGAGTAGCGAGAGCCCAGAGTTGCACTGCTTGACCCACTGCGAGGGCTGGATGGTGTAATGATTGTGTTCGGTGAATAATGATCATCGTACAGAGGAGAGTGGTTAGGAGAGGGTGTGGATGGCGCAGAGGAGCTTGTTGTAGTGGTTGTCGATGTCGTCGTAGCTGATGACTTTCGCTTATGTTTCTGGGATAGCCTTCTCTTGACGTCTTTCACAAACGTTTTGATCGACTTGACTTGCATTGTCGAGAACCTGGGTGGTGCTGAAGTATAATTGCGAATGTTCTTGATGCTTTAGGCTTGGATGATGGCACTGCGGTGGATGTTTAGAGAAGGTAGGGCTGATGACGAACGGGTGACTTGCCTTTTAATGCTTGCTAAAGATCCGCTTTACACGTTGCAGCACACCAGCTGACAATGCGTTCTGTGCGTGGATTAGTAATGTTAAAACGGACCGTCGGATGTCTCAAACTCACCAATTGTCTGTGCTACAATAGCTGTAGGTCTTTTTAGATTCCTAGCGAAACGAGCGCTGCTTCATACATAATAAATATGCTAGCTCGAAAGCCCTTTTTATACCCGATCGAGCCGGTACAATTCGCGACCCGAGTAACAGGCACTCAGGTTTCTTTGTTCAAACTTATCCGCTTTCGTGTCGGTCGGGATCCGCCCTTGCCGTGACCAGGTGACCCAAGGGACACATGAATTTCTTGAACTAGTACAGTCGGAACGGTTAACGTTGGCTGTCAACTTCGTCACTGCCTTGATCTGCCACGAGTCTCGTAATTATAAATTGCAGTATCAGAATGGCCCCTCTACTATCGGATCTCACCCCTTCCCGGAAGGCGAATTCTTCCATGTGAAACGCTTCCCTTTAGGTTGTCATTGCCATCATACGTTTCATAGTTCACTCTAGACCCTGGACGTTCTTTTCATAAAAGCGTCTAGACCTGCACAGCGCCTGACGATATGTTGTTCGCTTTCCGATGTCATTTTACGACACAGTAAGACCCCAGCTGCATCCCTATCATAACACACAGCCATGGGATAGCGCTCAACTACAAGGACTCGTGGATACGCGAGAGCCGGTGACCTGTGACACCGTACGTGTAATGTCCCACAGCAGACAAACGGTTGCAGAGACTGGACACTCACTGGCAGCGTACCTTCAATCGTAGGTTGACCGCGTCCGAGTCGTGGCTGCAACTCGTGATGCCGTGAACCTAAATGAATTTGGTACTGGCAACGACATGTTATGTAGTAATACTCGTTCAGGTTGGTCGCTTCGTTAGAAGATTTGGTTTGCACTAACTATTTCAGTATGCCAAGTGTGTACCCAACCGGAACAAGTATTGAACACTTTTCTTTTCTTTCTTTTCTTAGTTCTCGGAAATGATAAGCTGCACCTTCTCATACATAAATCACCGCTGTAACGGCCCGAGTTACTCCACATGCACCATGACTTGGACGAATGCGAGTGCTTCCATTGCTTTCCAACGTCATGCATGATGACGAAGCTTCGACTGCGCTATAGTTGCAAATTACCGTTTACCATATGGCAACGCATCCCGACTATGCCACATGTCTCACTGTATATTGCTCTCAACGATTCACAACAATTTCCTGCGTTTCCATGTAGCCAATATCAATGATCACTTACTGCGCATATCTATAGCGCCGCTGTCTTATCAGTTGTTATCACGGATCACTGTGAGCTAGGCTTGATGCGGAAGCAGCCGCTATCGACGCACCATTTAATATTTAGTCACGCCCCGTATATCCGTTCTGTTCCAATATTAATAACTTCCACATACAAAAGTGCAGTCGTATTACGCCTCTCATACGACTTACTCTGGACTCGTTCACTCAAAGTCCCTCCGCCTGCACCTTATTGAATGTTATCAGAGTTCAGAATGCATTGCATACTCGATATTAAATTACACATGCATAGTAATTTACGGTAGCGAAGAAATCCGCCTTGATAACTCCAGATGTCTGTTCTTCTGTTCGTGTATGGATCGTTCTCCTTCTCCACCGTCGCATCCTTAATATGCAACATACGCAACGCACAGCAGTGGGAAGCCAGCATAGAGTCCCACCCAAAACACCACGTTCCCCATGAGCTTGTTGCGCTGGATCACTGGTGCCCTGCTCACCAAGATCAATGGGATCTGGACGAGTTGCATCAGGAATAGGTACATGCTGCACCGGCCACGCCCGCTCATCAGTATCATAATAAAAACGGAAATATATATTATCTCACCGAATCTTTTTCGTCACAATCGCCATAACCAGCTCATGCGCCATGGCGCTGAGAAAAAATGTGACAAACATCGCTGTGGTGCGCGATAGGCCATACGAGGCGCGTGTTGAAGCATACACATGCCGAAGAAGAAAACTATGCACCGGTTTGTTCCATTTACGTGAGAATTCCTCCCAAGAAGTAGAGTTCCACTGTATAAAACAACGTTGAGTCACTCGCGATGCAGTTGGGTCCCAAAATTGTCTCACCCAGTCCTCATAGAACAGGCGATCGGCAAAGCTACAAAGGACACATCAGCTATATCAGAAGGTAACAAGCGCAGCAACCTTACTAGGACAGCTCAGCGAACGCATTACATATACATTCTTAGGTGTCCGTCAGTTCAAGACCACATTATCAGTTCCAGCTCAACACTCACCAAATATGATATAAAACAGAAGCAGAAAGGCAATCATGAATGGCAATGCAAGGTCAAGGAGTGAGCGGAAAAACGATTGATCCGGCGTAGGGGTAAGCGGTATGATGAAACATTCCGCGACTGTATATAGCAGCGCAAATGAACCCATGAACGCAACTGTCTTTTCAAAAATGTACACCGGCCGTATTCTGCAACTCCTTATCAGTTCACGACGTATCATTGAAGTGAATTGCAGCGTACCGGTCGGTTCTTGGGTATTCGAGCTCGTATACCAAGGTTGGGATCAATTGATAGACCGCAAAATTCCGGTACGTGACGTTATCGGGCCAACGCACTTGTTCCGGGCCCGTACTCACTAGCTCCGAGTCCAAGTCCAGGAATTCCTTTGCTAGACCTGCGACGTGCTCATCCGGATGGTACGAAAGAACACTCGCAATCTCAACTCCATCAGTTCCGCGCCCATTTCCATTGACTGCACCCCGTTCTGACTTTGTATTCTCATCCAAACTGCTAGAGACGGCAGCAAGCCGTTGCCTCAATGCAGCAGCAGTCTTCGCATCCGTGTACGACTTCATCAATACTCCCTCGGTGTCGGGGGTGGACATTTCCATCGGCGTTGATGTGACATCGGTAACCGGAGTCTCGGCTGATTGGGAAGCCGCCTGTGCCTGTGCCCTCTTCGACATTGCGTCACGCAACGCCTGTTCCAGACCTCCAACGCGGACTGTAGCACCATTGAGCTCTGCAAGAACACCAATCGAGCGTCTAGAAATCGATTGGAGGTAGCCATTCACGGAAATGTAAGAGTACATCTTCATGATCATGACCTTTGTTCCTCGCCCTTAGTAAAGCACTTGAAGCACTAAATGATGGGCGCACAAGTGAGTGGAGAGTGAGGAAGCCGGATTGGACCCAGGGCCATTGTCTAGGGGTGTTCAGTGGTCAAAATACGAGTCAGAGAGAGATGGCATGGCGTATACCTATGAAATGTCCACGTGACTGTGATAAGCAGCACACATGTCTGGAATGCGTGTTGTAGAATGGCGCCTGTCCAATAGTAGTTGATCCAGCCCTTGCTAATGGCCTTGGCAAACGGGACACATAAAATCGTGGTGGAAACCAGGAGCAAGTCACTGAGTGCTAACGTGACTGCGTGCCGCGAAAACATTGTCGCGAAAGCGAACGACAGAGCATAACCATTAGCTTCAACGCTACTGACATAAGTCTGTAGTGTGAACAGAAACAATGACATCCAGAAAAGCGTGAAGAAACCCTGACAAGTGACGTATTAGTTTCCACCGTACGCGCCCGCAGTGCAAGAGACGAACTCTGAACTCATTGGTGCCAGAAGTTTCATTAGTAGTATCAAAGTGCGTCTTCCTGGGTTCAAATGTAATCATTGCGCGAAGCTTCTTCGTCGATCTTGACCGGAATGGCTTCGAAACGTGGAGTGTGCCTTCTGTTGTAGAAAATCCACCATCTTCCGTCCGGGTAGTCATTACTATGGGCCCGGTGTCCTGCGTCCCATGGCATACCGACGGTGATGTCTTATATTTTGTCGTGCCAGACGAATTTTCTTGGTTGAGGGATGGAGCGGAGAGCATTTGAACTCTGCTAGCAAGGAACTTGGTGCTAAATGTTAGCGACAATGACAGTGTGAATCAGACTGATCTCACTTAAGAAACGCTGCCTCAAATATGCCTCAGTGTTTTACAAGATATCAATAGAAGCTGTGTGGTATTGCTGCGCCGTAGCGTCTGGGGACGAGCGACAACGTTGGTGGTAGGCTAGTTAGTAAGTTAGTGGAAAATTTTAACCCCAGCGAAGCTTTGATTATGTGTCATTCACAATTGATTCCGAGTTTCCGGTCCCGCAGCAGATTTTGAAGTCCAAGACTTTTTCGACTTTCTGATTCCTTGCAAGGATCATGGAGGAGGAAGGTAACAATGTTGAACAAGCCCAGATGAACATTGCGCTCATTCATCTAAAATGGATGCGAGAAGCAATGGTAATGGTGAGGATCCGTGTCTAGAGTATTGCTTGATCATGACACACTTCAGGCAGAAGAAGCATTAGCACACAGCGAAGTGCCGGTGGGCTGCGTCTTCGTCCGGAAAAACAGCATAATCGCGCGTGCGAGGAATCGCACCAATGAATTAAGAAATGTGACCATAAGGTCATCCAGTAGCATCCGCTGGTCTAATTCCTGCTTTACAGGCTTCTAGACATGCCGAGCTCGAAGCTATCGATCTTATCCTCGCTGATAAGGAGCTGACACCAGAGTCCACTCGTTATCCTCTGACAGATACTGTACTGTATGTCACAGTGGAACCATGCATCATGTGCGCTTCTGCACTTCGTCAGCTAGGCATTAAAGAAGTCTTTTATGGATGTGAGAATGATAAATTTGGTGGGTGCGGGAGTGTGTTAGGTGTCAATGCGAGGTCTGTTGTCGCAAAGTTATTTTTCGATTCCGAGTTCGACTAGTCACGTCAGCGAGAGGCATCCAGTTCATCCATCCTACCGAGCTACCAGCGGGTACCTTCGAGAAGAAGCCATAATGATTTTACGTCGCTTTTATGTGACAGAAAACGCAAACGGCATGTCCTGCTGTTCTCACTAATCAGGTCATCACACTGACGTGTCTTTTTGCTAGCTCCGATCCCAAAGCAAAAGTCAAGTCGGGTTCTCAAGACAGAAATTCCCCCGAAGATCCAAACCTGACCGCCGCTCACAATGGTATTACGTTCCAAACGTTTGATTGTCAGCATGAGAAGGCTGTGGCGCTGATTGCAGGCTTTTTTTTTCACAAGGTCGTCCAGGGCCACAGCATTGGTAACGCCACTGCCGCAGCACGTCCCCGACTCTCTTTGGCTTGCATATCTCCGTAATCGAATCCACACATTCTCCGTCTCGATGTCTATTCTATACGAACATTACTCCTTCAATAAACCCGATATAATTTCCGCCCATTCAACCCCAGAATCAATTCCGGCTCACGGACCTGAGCAATGTCAGCTGTTAAATGTGCCGTGCGACAAAGTGCTCCCTGTTTCATGATACCATTAACCCATGGAATGTCCTCGTCGTCGCAGTCCATGACCTCGTTCTTTTTGCTCTGGCAATGTTTCACCACCAAGACGTCGTCTGCGTTTGCCGTAATGCCTGCTATTCCCTGAATCAACCTGTTGGGCGCAGCGAACACACCAGGATGCTCCCGAAAGAATATGTATCCGAGCGCAGGTGCCCCCGCCGACATTTCCACAATCAGATTGTAAATTGTCCAGTAGATGAGATGAAGAGGTCCGGTCCCAGCTGATTCACCCAGTGCATCACCTGCAAGTGCGAAATATTACCGACCTTTTTGATTTCGTCCCTGAACGACACGGAGACCACAATGAGATTCCGGGCGCTCGTCACGTAGGGGAGCCCTCGCACGGACCCTTCGTGATGCTAGAACCATTCAATGTCAGCAGGATCTCAAGCTGCCCGCTTCGACCCAACTCACCGGCCAGTGCTCATTAATCTGTGCTACTTCCATCTGAATCCTCGTGATGTAGCCGAGATCAAGAGAACAGAACGCTCAACATTCACGCCTTGTTTCATGGAAATTTTCATGCCGATCATTATGTCGAGTCTCTGTCTTTGTCTGTATGATTCCAAACGTGTACGCCCATCTTCAACGCCTGTCTCCTTTACCACCACAACGCCAATTGTCTGACCTTCACGAATTATGTGTGACGCTATGTACTCGTTGTTGAACGTGTTTGCTGGTCGCGCTGCCTTCATCCTTAGTATGTGTATACTTGATCTCGATGCGGTCCTGTTGCTCAACCTTGCCTTGCATAGTTGATCGCGTTACGAGCAGAGTGCCTCATTTCCATGTAGTTCCCAGCACCAATATTCGGGAATCACCATCTCGACCGTCCTTTCATGACCCTGCTAACGCGAGTCCATAACCACAATGCTCTGGGCCTATCTGACCTCCGCAGGGGTCGTTCACTCATCGGCCTACAATTCGGCGGTCCACACTGTATGGGTGGGGGGCCTAGCACTCGCGGAAGTATTGGCTAGTGATGCAAGTATTGTAATGAACGAGGGGTTATTTACGAGCGCATCGCCGTATATTACACTATCGCTCTTGGCCTTGTTGGACATGATCAATCTTGCCATTCTAGCCCGAGAGATTGGGCCACGAAACCCCACCTGTCTGCCGCATCTTGGATCCTGTAAAGCCACTATGTCACATGTTTTTGACTTCCCAGAAAAACAAGCACATACCTCTTCTCAGTAGCCTTACCTGCGCCATGTCCTGCTTTTTTGTCAATGCGAATAAGGAGAGGGTGAGGATTATGAGCAAGTGTGTGTTGCAACGTCGCAGCATGTTTGAACGAGTGAAGGGGGACGACTCGATCATCATCTGACATAGTTTGATCAGCTAAAATTCAAAGATTCAGACCAAACAACACACGATCAGCAGTCATAAGCAACAGCGGAGGTAGGCTCTTGTCCGTTGGGACATTATGGAGCGGTGAAATGGGATAAATAAAATCAAAGTCATGTGGGTCATGTGGATTTCCGTAGTCAGACGTCCACGCTTTGCCTGCAGACCAAAACATTAGATCGACGTCAAACTCTGCGATGTAATATGTTCTTACCGATCGTGAAATCAGCGAACTATAAGTGTCACGGCTGAGCAGGGATAGATACTACCAAAACATGGCGCTCACCTTCAGGAGGTCAAGCACACCAACTTCGGCCACACTTGCCCCGAATGTGCCCTCTGGGGCGATATTCACGCAAGCGGCCACGAGCAATCCTGACATCATGGTTAAGAATCACTACAAATAGGCGGGTGGAGTGACCTACCTCCATTGGATCCACCGTTGATGGCGACCTTACCGGGAGCAGCAATCTTGTTTTGAACAAGATACTCACTGCACACGTGAGTTGTCAGATTGCGATGGCTAGAGAATTCCACTCACGTAGCAGCAATGAAATCATTAAAGACGTTAATCTGCGGCAACCATTAGATATGGTCTTTAGCAGTAATGAAGTTTTGCACCTTCCGTTCTTTTGTGCCAGCAAGATGCCATTCCTCGCCAAACTCGCCTCCTCCGCGAATATTGGGCAAAGCATATACAGCACCATATGCCTTGAGGAAAGTCAGGATGGTAGGACTAAACGAGGGGCTGAGTGATATACTGAATCCACCATAACCTGATTCATAGTGTCAAATATTGATTAAAACGGACGATGTCATCTTACCGTATTGAATAGCAGGTGCGGTTCCATCGGACTTTGTTGACTTGTGCTTCACGATGAACATCGGCACCTTCGTACCATCCTTGCTCTCATACCAGACTTGCTCAGCGCTGAACTCATCCGGTACCAGCCTCTCCATTATTGTTGACCGGTATATGCTCCAACGTTTGTCTTCACCTGGTTCATCGAAATCGTATCGTGCTACAATCCCAGGGTTGGTGAACCCAGTCAGGAACACGAAAAAGTGCGACTGTGCTCGGCGGCCATTGACTTCTGTAGCACCAACGAATTCTGGAGCAAGCCGAGTAAGCTGTTTGCCCTCCATCGAGTAGAGATATAATTCATCGATGACCTGCAGTTCTCCACGACGTTAGCTTCCGCAATATGAGTGGGTGGAGCAGCTCCACTTACATTGCGCTTGTATACAACGGCCAGTTTATCACCTCCCACGGCAGTAATGTCGTCCAAGTATGCATCTTTGACTTCCGGTATTAAGACCTTGTGCTGGCGCGATGGGTCTGCGAGGTCGATCGTGATAACTTGACATTGAGGCGCGTTCTCATTTGTCCGTAAGTATAGCTTGGTTCCGTCATTCGCGATGCTGATGGGAGAATGACATGGGGTGTCAGCAGGTCAAGTGGTTTCCATCAAAGATTAATGACACCACTGACACCGTGTATTCCGATTCGAACTCGTTTATAATCTTGTCCCATTTCATGTTTTGGCCAATTTCATTTTCTTGCAAATCAGCCACCCACAGCATGTTTTTCTAGGCCCAAAATAATCAAGTAAATCGGCGACGTAGGACAAGGGATGAGCGCAAACCTTTCCAGTGTCTTGGACGATATCAAGAAACAGATATCTCCCATCTACCTCCGAAACCGAGGCACCCCACATCCATTCGGGGTGCTCGGCATCTTTGATGACTAGGATATCTTGCGCTGAATGATTGAATTAGTCAAGAGAGTAGCAATACAACCAAATGTAGATAGCTCGAACATTGTGGAGTTCCGATTCTGTGATAGTAGAGCATAGCATCCTTATCGTCTGTGGTTTCTGTGCCAGCTTTGTCCTCCGTTGCAAGACCATGAGACTCTCTGCTTGGAAACCGCTGGGGAGAGTTCCTTCGGGGTGAGGTACAAAATAGAAATTACTCAGGACCTACCTGGTAGAAAAAACCTTTAGAATCATGAGTCCAAGTGATGGACGAAAATTTCACGAAACGAATCTCCTCTGCAAGCCTTTTTGCATGGTGATCGTTAGGTTGCCCATCGATCGCAGTGAAAGGTTCGCTTGTACGTCGCACATAAACTGTATAAAAATCGCTTCCCTGGAATGAACTGGAGATTAACGTCCTGTTCCGAATGGCATAGTATAGTCACGCACCGACAACGAGATGCCATAGGCGAAGTATTCGCCACAGCGAGAGAATGCCGTTACAGAGAGGGCCGCACTGCCGTCAGTGGACAACAGATTGGGCTATATAGTCATGTGTCATTACCCAAATCCGCTTAAAGTAGACGGGCATTTCGACTTACATCAAAGTAGACTTCTCCGCCTGGCCCCTTCTCCCCCGACCCATCAGGGAGATTAGCGTCTTTAGAACGGCAAATCACTGTAAAACTAGATATTTGGCATCCAACATGTTCATGGTGTCCCAACCTACCTGACTGAGGCTGAAGACCGCTATTGTAGTACCAGTACCAACGACCATCATACTTGAGCGATGGCGCAGAAAACTTGGAAGAAGTGAGAATAATAAAAAAACAGCTAACTGTTATGATGACGGACCTTAGCATAGTCAGTATTTGCCCTGATCTCCTGCTCTAGTTTAGTTCGAGCAGGATTTTTATCTAAGTAAGATCTAGTAAATTGGTCTTGCGCCGTGGTCCACTGATCAGTCTCCTGTGACTGTTGCTCGAGCCATTGATATGGATCAGAAACGCGAACTTCGCCCTGTTTCTCGCTCTTGTAGATATCGACATGATCGGACCGACGAGCTTGTGGATATTGGTTAGGTGTCCAGGGAGTGGCCATGGTTCTGGTATGAGTTGAACGTGAAGCAAAGCTGAAGAGCTTATAAATGCGAGTTGTGGGACGAAATACGCGGAGACCCAGTATGAGCATTAAGAATCTAGATGGCCACCTCCGCTTTAATCTAAATCAGATCAGGAAGTGCCAAGTGTCCCACAGCAAACGACAACATGCCAAATGATTAAATCGATAAAAGCGGCAAATCCAGGCTGCTTTTCAAGCCTTCGATACAGAAACGGACACGGTGTTTAAGTCCAAGGTGGGTCTACTCAGCGTCTGGAGCGACTCGGACCTGGGTTCCTTTTAAATTGTTGAAATATTCAGGACCCTCAAAATTCGAGCCGAAATGGTACCGGCAGTGGCACCTGTCCTGACTCCCCTTCCAAACAGAAAAAGAAATGTCTAGAGACGGTCGACAATGAGCGATAAGTACTCACGAGTTGTTGATATTTTAAAAATTAACTTGAACAAGGGATGCCACTAATTAGTAATTAGTAAGCGCTTCTGACATTGTAACCGACGGCCACGGCAACAACCACATACCGGGCCTCTGATTCTAACATGTGCAAACAACGTCTCCTCGAAAGAAACTCAAAAGTTAGTTGAAACGCCTTCCTCCTTGCTATGGATCAGGTTTGTAAATAGATGGCCTATCAAGCTCTCATATATCTGATACTCCACACAGGATTCTTTCAGGCAACTTCTTCAGACGCCTCGAGTGCCCGGTGCGACTTCGCAACTCAAGGGAGCTCGGGGAGCATCCGATCTATTCAAGCAGCATGTCCAATATCTCGAGTTTAAATGCATGTAGTAACTAAATTAACAGAAAAGCTTCGGGATCATCTACGCCAACATTCAAGCCACGCAAAGTGAAGAAGACTGAATCTAAATACCGTGATAGGGCCGCGGAGAGACGTGATGGCGGGAAAAGTGACTATGCTCAGGTACATCTGTCCTTGTCCTGTGCTTGGGACACTAATAATGAGTGCAGGTTGAAGCTGTTCTCGAAGTTTTCGAACAGCGGACTGCAAATGAAGATAAAGATACGGTGTGTGCTATCCCATGTATTTTCATGTTTCTACTGACATTCCCTAGGTCGACGAGCAGCGCCAGTATCTTGGCGGAGACAGAGAACATACAATCCTAGTGAAGGGCCTGGATATATCCCTGCTAGAGCAGAACAAAGCTCGGGCAGCTGCTTCTACCGAAGATGATGATACCCTTGAACAAGCTTTCATTGAAGCCTCCTCGAAACCCACGGCACATAAGAAGAGGACTCGCGAAGACATCATCCGTGAGCTGAAGGCCAAAAGGAACGGCGAGGGCTTGCAATCCTTCGACACCACCGCGGAGCCTCTCGAAGATGAGGCCCGTGACCTTGAGAAAGCAAAGAAGGCAGGGAAATTCAAACCAATTAGTTTCAAGCCAATAGGAGTGCAGAAAGAGGACAAGGGTACCAAAAAGCGCAGCAAGGAAGAGAGCGCAAGCCGTGACAAGAAGAGGAAGAAAAGGAAAGTGGAGGGAACTTTGGGTTCACCTCAGCCGTCCAACACCATTCCTCACCCAGAAGCTAAGCTTCCAGCGGTAGCGCCACTTTCTGTTGCCAAAGTATTCTCACAAAGACCTCCATCTCCACTCGATGACGATGTAGATATTTTTGCGGGGGCTGGTGACTATGAAGGCTTCCCTGGGGACGATGACAGTGATGAAGATGACTTAGTAGATGCCGACAACACCGAATCGAAGCATCGTGATAATGATTTACATCCTTCATCCGAACCCGCTCATTCTAAAGGATGGTTTGGAGATGAACACAATGACGAAGGATCAATACAACCACTAGCATCCACTGAGAGCGCTGCACCTCAGTTGCCTTCATCAAACCATATACCTCAAGTGGATGAAGAGGAAGAGGAACCCTTGCGTCTCAAACCATTAGAGTCATCCGCATTACCCTCGATCCGCGATTTTCTTGCGATGGATGCTGCTGCCGAAAAGGAGGATCAAAGGAAAGCCCGAAAAGAAAAACGGAAAACCAAGAAGAAATCTGGCGGGGATGATGACGACTGAGGCTAGTTACAACGTTGTGCAGTGTTATGTTATATACCCGCGCAACATTTGGCATGCATATGATGAACAATTGATCGGCAACACTTCATATTTTAGCATCGTGTGGACTCGCAAACAAAAACTTTCCGCGAGACTTGTAGTGTGCGAATCCCAGTCGTGAATCCATTCCGTCAATTGTCCTAAAAACAGGACACTGTTTCAGCGAGTAGATCAACATTCGCAACATCACCCACCGCTTCTTCATTTCACTTGCCCAAGTGATGTCTTTCAATGGTGGAGCATTCAAGGATGCTCCAAGCAGCCCAAGAATGAGCGCAAGAATGCTCTCATACACGATCTACTCCGAGCATACTGTTATTTATGTTGTACTTGACGTGATGAGTTTACTTACATCTAGAGGTAATGATCCTTCGGGCTTTCCCAAAGCCTTCAAAAGTGACAAATCTGCAAGTAAATTTAGCCCTAGACTCAAATCCTGGCTGCCTCGGGCTCTAAGCTTTATTATGATGCTCACGTTCGTACGTGGAGTATGCGGCTATGGAGCAAATTGAGTAATGTGAGATGTCAGAAAGGATGCTCATACCGTGAAGAAGCGCGAGCGTAGCCAAAGTAAGGAACAACTTTTCAATCATAACAGAAGCGAGACGGAGGTGGGTAAGGCCAAGGTTGTTTGTTTCTAACGCTCTTGCCAAACACAAAAACTATAATTAGACGTTTCCATCTTAGGCTTAGAGCCATTTCTGAAATTATTCATCATGACGGTGACTCCGAGAGACGCCTGGACTGATATTAATATTAATGTCACAAGTATAAAAACCAGGATGACTCATTCACAAGGCCATATAAATACAGTCCCACTTCGCTTCATCTTATCTTCTCTTTGGACTCGCAAGGCTGATTGGCAGAATGGACACCTCAAATTCTCCTCGTATGATAAGCGAAACAACGCCTCTGGTCGTAGTAGCAAGGACGAAAAAGCCTAAAACACCACTCCCAAAACTCCAGATAGGCATACTTATGGTATTGCAACTTGTCGAACCTATCGCTTCGATGTCCATATTTCCATACATCAATCAGGTATGATGATTTGACAATGGGTCATCAGATTGTTTTACATTCATTCTTCATATGTTTATTTCAGCTTATCAGAGAACTTGGCATCACCGGCGGTAACGATGCAGCCGTAGGATATTATGCTGGAATAATTGTAGGCACCGAGATTACTATGAGTTGCGAGAATCATGATTTCCTCATCCTACTAATCGGATATAATTGACAGGAATCTCTGTTCTTTGTCGCACAGACACTGACAATGCTGAGATGGAGTCGGTTATCTGACCGTATCGGACGCAAGCCAGTGTTATTAGTAGGGCTATCAGGAACTTGTATCTCAATGCTATGTTTCGGTCTCTCGACGACGTTCTGGGGCCTTGTCGTTAGGTATGACTTCAGCTGAAGATATGAAATACAATTCTTACGATGTTTTCTAGCCGCTGTATGTGCGGTGTACTGAACGGCAATGTTTCAGTGATGAAGACTATGGTGGGCGAATTGACGGACTCTACGAATATGGCTCAGGGATTTGCCTTGATTCCAATAATGTGGTGCATTGGAGGGTTTATTGGGTAAGTGCAACTATCGACTATCTGAATGGCCACAATTAAATCCACACACCAGTCCTTTAATAGGCGGAACGCTCGCACGTCCACAAGATAACTGGCCCGGATTATTCGCTAATCCATTTTGGACCAAATACCCATATTTTCTACCTTGTGCAGTGTCTGCTAGTGGGATTATAGTGGGCTTTTTAGTTCTGTTATTTTTCTTGGAAGAAGTAAGTTTTACTACCTGTGTCATCGCAAAACATTGCTTATGATCGGCAGACATTATCAACCAAACGTCGGCCAAAGTTGACAGCAACCACTCTAGGTAATTCAAATGGTGTCGACAGTAATAATCGAGAAGATCTTTCACAAACATCTAACATGCCCCTGCGATCTCTGCTCACACCTACTATTGTCATTCCAATTGCAAACTACGCCATGCTCGCCTTGCTTGATATTGCTCTTATGGCTCTTTTTCCGCTGTTCTTTTCTACACCTACCTATCTTGGCGGCCTTGGTTTTACCCCTTCTCGTATTGGCTTGTGGATAGCGATGCTTGCAATAGCGGATGGTATCTTCCAGGCACTGTTCTTCGCCAAAATTGTCGACTGGGTTGGTCCAAAGCGTCTCTTCTGTGTTTCCGTGTCGTGCTTCGCGCCAGTCATGCTCATGTTCCCGATCATGTCGTGGCTTGTACACACAAGGGGGATGGTTGATCATGCAATCGTATTTACATTGATTAGCCAACTAGCGTTGACAATTATATGGGATATGGCATTCGGTACGTGTCACGACGAAACCCCATCCTGTCATTGAAACTAAAACACACATAATTATAGGGACTGTATTCATGTTTATCACGGCCTCTGCCCCCACAAAGAACGTCCTTGGCACCATCAATGGTCTTGGTCAAACCTCCGCGTCCATGGCTCGTGTCATTGGGCCTGCATTTGCAACTTCGCTTTTTGCATTCTCAAAGGAACACAATATTCTCAACGGGAATGCAGTCTATGTTGTCTTGATTGTGCTGGCTGGTATATTGAGGTGGCTAGGGTCACAATTGCCAGATGAAATACAAGATAGGGATGAGTGATTTAAAAGGTAACCAGCGGAAAATACATATGCATCGCTGTCCAAAGTGGCCACCCGTAGTACCTTGTGCATATTTACATTTGTTCTAGTGCAACGTTTCGCATAACTGCATGGGTTTCAATCATGATACGTCTGACTAATGGGTAGTCAATGTTATTGTCCAGCTTCAACGACACTGAATCGTTCGTGCCGTAGTAATTCCACAGCACGTGAACTTGAGTACTGAAATTCAAATTGCAAATAAGACACTAAAATGATACCATTGCCTGCACCTTTCCCGCAGATGAAGTTCATCACCCGTGGTACTTGCTCTCCTTCGACTCATTAATATGATGTAAAACATTCCGTCGCGTTATCGTGAGGTACTAATTAATTAAGCACTGGGTGAGGCTACGGGGTCAAGGGCAACATTCAATGGCCTTGGACGAAAAACAAGCTCATCACACTTACAGACATCAATATTTGAAGTGCCAGACCTCAACCACAACCTCACAAAGTCGGTCAATCAACTCGTTTATGTGGTAAAAGCACCAATACGTAGAACGGTTCATGACATGCTCATTACACGACCAGTTTACATGATACAATTGTCGGCTACTCTACACAGCAGGAGGCTTTGCACCAGGTTGGAAGGTGTAAGTCATATGGCACTTGCCACAGTATTGACGGTCTTTGTGGAAAGCCATCTGAGATGGATCATCAGCCCCGCGTGACAGGTTAAACTCAAGCTAACACTTACGAAGACACCAGCACCGCACTCAGCGTTGGGGCACTCGCGGCGAAGACGCTTGATCTTCCCGTCCGAGTCCACCTTGTAGTATTTCAAGATCGACATCTTAACCTTCTTGCGCTTGTGCTTAATTTTCTTAGGGGTCTGTTAGAGTAGGATGATGAGCATAAAATTTCATTAAGGACATTCAATGCTACTCGCGTTGTATGTTTTCTTCTTGCGCTTCTTGGCACCACCACGGAGGCGAAGAACCAAGTGAAGAGTGGACTCCTTTTGGATGTTGTAGTCGCTAAGAGTACGGCCATCCTCGAGCTGCTTTCCAGCGAAGATCAGACGCTGCTGGTCGGGGGGAATACTAAGACAGTGATGAGTGTTGATGATACGTATGTGCCATAGAAAACCTTACCCTTCCTTGTCCTGGATCTTGGCTTTGACATTGTCGATGGTGTCTGAAGACTCGACTTCAAGAGTGATAGTCTTGCCCGTGAGGCTAATATCAATGTCAGGTGAAACTACAGAAACTAGTCCCGAACTGCACGCACGTCTTTACAAAGATCTGCATTTTGCCGGACGCTTCTGTCTGTCCAACGAATGATCGATGGAGTCGTTGACGAAAGCAAGAGCCGCAGTCGTGGAGGTTGCAATTGTAAGATGGAAAAGATGATTAATCCCTGAAAACCTTAATCAACCTGATGATGGTCTGTGCGTGGGAGTACTATCAACTGACTAATCAACCTACGACGCGTCGCGCTCAACGCGCCAGCCAGCTACATCAAATTCATTGCTTTGGGACGCGTCATGACTGGTGACGGCCAAATGGATGTTGACTCTACGCCATTACTTGACAAGGGTAAAAAAAAGGCTGTAGAGCCACATGAGGATAACAATTTGCCTTGGTTGCGTCTTCCATCTTTCCCTGTCGGCGTCTTTGCTCAATACGCGATAGGGTAGAGAAGTATCGACCAGTCACACTGGACGATGTGGTTTCACACAAGGATATCACAACGACAAGTTGAGTTCCGCCGGGCTCGAGCAATGCATACACTGAACTTCACTCAGTTGTGAAATTCATTGAGAAGAACCGCTTGCCTCATCTTCTATTCTATGGTCCACCTGGAACTGGGAAGACGTCCACAATTCTTGCAGTGGCGAGACGAATTTATGGAGCAGAATACAAGAAACAAATATTGGAGGTGAAGCTCCTCTGGATCTGCACAGCGCAATGTTGATCTTGTTCAGCTCAATGCATCGGACGACAGAGGTATAGATGTAGTGCGCGAACAGATCAAGCAATTTGCCGAGACCCGGACATTATTTTCGAAAGGCTTCAAGCTCATCATCCTCGATGAAGCCGACATGATGACACAGCAAGCTCAAGCTGCACTACGTCGTGTCATTGAGCAATACACCAAGAATGTGCGGTTTTGCATTATCTGCAATTACGTGAACAAGATAGCTCCAGCAATTCAGAGTCGATGTACGAGATTCCGTTTTTCGCCACTGCCCATTGCAGAGGTAGAGAAGCGCGTGAATGCCATCGTGGTAGCTGAGAAGTATGTAGAGTGATTTCTAAAGTTACTACTAAACACCCAACTTTGTAACAGGGTGAATCTGACTCAGGACGGCAAAAAGGCCCTTTTAAAGCTGTCGAAAGGAGACATGCGGAGAGCCCTTAATGTCCTACAAGCATGTCACGCAGCATATAGCTCTATCGGAGAGACTGAAATTTATAACTGCACTGGAAACCCTCACCCGTCAGATATCGAAACCATCGTAAACTCCATGCTTTCCGATGAATTCACCACTTCTTACCAAAGTAAGCTCTTTCGCATTCTGTTTTTAGTGCCTCACAAAACCTCTGTCAGTGATCTCGGCCATGAAAACAGAACGTGGACTTGCACTGCAAGACTTGATATCGGGTACATACGAATACGTGGAAACGATTGAATTCAAGCCACAGGCCCGAGTATATTTACTTGACTTCCTAGCTACCACCGAGTATGTCTCGTCTACGTCCAGTTTCGTGACAAATGATTGATATCTTTCTCATTAGGCATAGATTATCGACCGGCGGGAGTGAGAAGATGCAATTATCTGCTCTACTTGGAGCGTTCAAAAATGCTGTAGAGCTCTCTGCGAAGTGATACGTCGTATAATTGAAGTACCTGACAATAACCTTTCACAAGGTTTCTTGTACCCCAATCTAATTTCCCGAGTTGTATTTGGTGTCTCACATTATCCTAGTAGATCACAAAATTCGAAATTACCCCAGATGCGGCGTTCACAATCTGTCGAGTCGCATACTGACAAGTTTCAGGGGGCTGCTTGAATTGCAATTTCTACTGGCTACTTGTCATTGTCAATAACTTGACACTTGGACTCCGAGCTGAAGTTAATGCCTGAATATTTTGTTTGACCATCTACGCTCTGTAACATCATAAGTTCAGGTAGGCCTATAAGTACCTCGATGAAGTCTCAACTAGACAACGCAACGAATCACGTGAATTATGATCACCTGACTCAATAGTTAGTCGTGGAGGCGTGCAGAATTACTAGTGTAGACTTACTCTCCTGATTTCGACGTCGGTTGGACGCATGTCTTTTCCTCTCCCTGATCATCTCCCGCGGCAGCTTGATGTTTCATCGAACGTTCTTTCCAAGCTCGACTCTGTAACATTACAGTCCCTAAATTCGTCCTTTGCATCCTCATGTAAAGCTGAGCTTGACGAATCCATTCGATTGACCAAGGTATTCTCTCGTTATTATATGAATTTTCCGTGGAGTAATGATTTGGAGTAGACACAAATTCATGACAGAATATGTGCAGAATCTTCTAGCTTCCAAAGACAGCTGTCTTCGGCAAAGTCTCTGAAAGAACGACTGAATGCACTGTCTGGACATGTCCAAACCCTAAGTGTTACACTTTCGGACTCTAAAGCATGTATTCTCTCTGCTCTGTGTCATAAGATGCATCGCTAATACTTCACTAGTCCGGTCTAGTCCCAGTCTTGCTTGAGGCTTTGGAAGCTCACCAATCACTTGCCCAAGAATCCTTGGATGCAGATGTCTTGAGTGATTCTCTTTCACACCTTTCTGAATGTAGAGCACAACTGGATGCGCTGCAGAAGCTGGTTGACACAGGGGATCTGCCTCCGGCTGTAGTCGCGTGTCATGCTTTGAATTCCTCGCTGATCTCCGTTCCCGGACCACTGAAAGACGCATTGGTAGTGTCTGAAATACAGGTAAGAGTATAATATTATTTTGTTCTGTCTCAACTTGCTTGCCTGTAGGCTCGGCTGCGTGTGCTTAGCAATTGTGTGGAGGAGCTGCTCAGCGATGCTTACACCAAGAGTATTATTGTGAACCCATCTCAAGTTATCATCAAACCATTTGTGCTTGGTGAGTGACAGAGCAACATGGTGGGGGGTATCTGAAGTAGTTTTCCAGTGCCTCGGTCACTGAAGCCCTTACCTCTTTCGTCCGTCCTCTCATCGATCAGCTCCGCATCACTGGCATCGCATCTTTCCACCCTGAGGAGGGATATTCTAACACACTACATCGAGTGTTCTTTTGACCAGCCAACGTCACTCACGGTCAGCACTATGACAGATACATCTGGCGCTTTGATGCACGTCCTCGGCCGATTCCCTTCGTCACCAAATACAACTGACACAGGTTCCCCACTTGCCAACGTATCTACGACCCTCGACTTCTTACTCAAACAATTATTTCCCACCCTCCCGTCGACCCACAAACACAGTTTTCCGCGAAGTCTCAGCAAACCCATCTCTACTGCAGTCCTGGCCCGTTTACTTATTCCTGGTCTGCCTTCACAGCTTGAAGCTCTACCCGCTTTTTTACAAATTGCACACAAGGCAGTGGACTTAGAAGACAAGTACATCGTCGGGATGCTCGATGCTTCTAGCGAGAAGGAAATCAAAGCTTGGGTCAACAATGTTTGTACTCATTATGAGCGACAACGGCGCTCACACATTCTCGATTTTACTCGCAAACTTATCGTTCAAAGTATATCTTCTTCTGAGCCAACATTCTATGCCCAGTTGTCCCTCTCACAAGACACCCCTGACAAGGTTGGGCTTGCGCCTACAGATGAAGGTGACGCATGGGGACTTGATGACGATGGTCAGAGTTTGAATGCAGGATCGAGGTCTGCGCCAGAAGAGGAGAATGTTTGGGGCTTTGATGATGATAAGGAAAGTCAACAAGCTAAACCTGCGGAAATAGTCGAGGAAGACCCAGGGGATGCATGGGGCTGGAATGATGAAGAGCCCGTACCTGAAGAACTAGGGCAAGGAGAAGACACATGGGATGACCCATGGGGTGAAGAACCTTCCCTATCGGAGGTTACTCCTGCTGTGCGGACAGTACCTGTGTTATCCCAACGCCCGTCTGCGGACTCTGCACCTGCGACGCAAAGGGTCTCCCGCCCCACGGACAGTACCTCTCGTCATCCTGCTACGTCAGGGCCCATAACTGAGCCATATCTGGTGTCTACTCTGGCGAAGTCAATCATTCGTACGGTCGAGGACGCGTTGCGCGAAGGACAAGAACTATCATCTTCGGGTATTCTTTCCACCTCACCAACATCTACAACGACGCCTGGGGTACTCATTATGCAATCAGGAGCACTGGCATTAGATTTGTATCGTGCAGTATACCCCATCGTCGCTGCAGCACGACTCGTTCGCCCTGGTGATGTTATGAAATTCTCCAACAACTGTTGTTGGCTCGCAGAGGAGGTTGGTCGCTTGGTTACACGCGAGCGGGGAGTGCTTGTTGTGAAAGACAAGTTAGAGGAATGCAAGAGTGTCTTGCAGGTGTTAGCTGACAGTTGGTATCAAGACGGCATTGTGAGTTCTCGACTCTTTACCGTCACTGACATTGAAGTAGTCATGCGTGTATTTGAACAGGACAGACAACGGACGGCCCTGGGTGACATTCTAGCGAGTGCGAAGGGCTTCACAGACACGTCAGACCAGGATCGATATGATGACTGTGAGATGGCCATTTCCCGTGTCGTTCGCGAGATCCGAAGCGCTGCGAATGCGTGGAAGGTACGACTGAGGCGCATCTTATGATGTTGAAAGCAGCTGATTTTACACGCTTACCGTAGCCCATCCTCCCTAAGGGCAAGTATTATACCGCCGTGGGAGCAATAGTCGAAGTTTCATTGCAGCGGATCCTTGAGAACATACTTGCAATTCCTGATATCCCTGAGGTAGAGTCGCAGAAACTGAGCGAGTTGTGCAGAATATTGGCTGCTCTTGAAGGGCTCTTTGTTGAAGACTTCAGCGAGGTAGGTTTACTGTACTTTTCAAGATACTTGACTCATCAATGCCCAGTCATCTTTCGTGGTATCATACGTTCCGTCGTGGTTGAAATTCTCATATCTTTCTGAACTCCTGGTATATCTATTCAAATCAGGTTATTGGATCAATACCTCATTGCGCTTGTTTTTCAGGAAGCTTCCATGGCTGATCTCACATACCTTTTCGAAGAAGGAGCTCTAGTGGACTTTGGGGTGGACGAGTTGGTGAAACTTGTGCGTGCCTTGTTTGCAGACACACCGCTGAGGACGAAGACTCTGGACAAAATCATGGGTGGTCATCCAGTCCGGTGATCAAATACTATTAAGTATAATAATTGCGGATTACCGGATGTATGACGGCAATTGGTTCGTAGCCAGCCTGGCGTATACTACCACGGATGCCCAAGTGGCGCAGCCAGGCTGGTCGATCTCGGAGGGATTTGGCATTGATACTCATCGCTTTGCCATAGTCTTTGTGCTTACTATTCGTGCATATATGCTACAAGCGATCCGTTCGCCTGCGGACGGCTCAGTAATATATTCCTTTGCAGTTGACTCGAGCGTGTGGGATTAAAAGAGGAAGTGATACTAGGGAGACAATATACTTCGCCTGTCTGTGGAATCTGGACTTCGACGAAGCGTCGGTGCATCGCTGTAGTGATTCGCGCGCGCGCATTTCGCATAGAATGAAAAGATGACAGTATAGCTCAATAGTAATCTCATCACCCGGGCTGCCAATGACAAGCATGGCCTATACGTCACGCGTTCGGTGGCCCATGGAACATTTTATGCGCCGCGAACGTTGCGAGGCGCCGGAACTCCGTTCAAATATCCACAGCTTACACATTTCAACTAACTCTTCTTGGTCAAAGCTTTTGAAGGGTGGCCAGGCTTGCGATGCGGATCGGTGGGCAGCGTAGACAGGCGCCATTTACAAGTAACCGGTTTACAAGTCAACAAGTACATACGTACAAAACGAATATTATTCGAGGCAAACCATATCAAAAGTAATAACTTATGTAAAGTGCGATAATCACGCAACGCACATCACCACCTAGGATGAGGCTGACCGTCCCATTGGCCTCGTTGAGGCGAATGTTCTTCATAGTCTGGTCCGCTACGAGTCCGACTCCTTTGCCATCCTGAATCCTGAGGACGGTGTGGTCCATCCCCTCTCCCTCGTCCCCGGCCTCTGCCCCGTCCACGCGTACCATTCGTCCATCCTCCACGATCTGGTCTATCATGATGGGGAACTGGGCCATGACGAAACTCTCGATCCCGATTGTACGGCCCATTGTTGAAAGACCCACGTGCAGGACCCGTTGGTGGAGATATGGGATTAGGGCGCATAGGCGATGGAGGTAGAGCCGCCCGTGGATGGCTAGGAGGATGGCTCACAGGAGGAACGCTTCCTGTAGCGAATGGTTGTGATGGAAAACTGGGCGGGGTGTTGTTCCATAGCTGAGGCGGTGTAGCTACTATAGAGGCAGCTGGTGCGGTTGGTGGTGTGGAATAGTTACCGACACCCATGCCATAATCCGCAGATAGGGTTCTTAATACAATGTGTATCTGTTCCTGCGTGAGGGAAGCTACCTCTGCTGCGAGGGACGTGTTAGCAAGCTGTGGGTAAGCTTGCTGCAGGGCAGTAAGTGGGGGCGCATTGATGGTTGCAGATACAGGTAAGGGTGTAGGCGCAGATACATGTGGTACAGGAGAGGCTACAGAAGGGCTTGGTTGGCCAATAGGATGATTGGTAGCAGTGGGCATATGAGGGGATTGCGGCGGGATAACCTGAGCAGGATGTTGGGGCACAGATGGTGGTGCCGGCGGCGGCGGGGCGAGTTTCCCTCTCGTTAAGACCCAGATACCGATAACATAATTCGACTTGCGGGTTTTTGGAAGGCATAAATTATCCATAAGCTCGACGAAGTCAGGCAAAGGATAGCTTGCGAGCAGCGGGACCATGTATAGTTCCTTGCCGGGGTGGTAGTCCTTCGGTCGGTTACCCCAAGGAAACACTAATCCATGGCGGCTGAAGAAAATTGTCGGTCAGAAATCTTACTTAAAATGCACGTGAGAGAATAGAAAACATACTTTTTATTGAGAAGGAATTCGCTGAACGTCTGCAGCATTGGGTTTCCCTCCACTGTGGAAAACGCGCAGGCAATGAGCTCCTTTTGTGAATTCATTCGCATTTGGAGGAGGAAATGCGAAGAGTTATCTGTAGGAACACGGCCATCGATGCGGAGAATATCGGAAGGGAAGAGGGTCTTCCATAAATCAGAATCGTGACCCAAAATCCGTCCTCCGACTTGCCGCGCAACCACGGGTGCTTCCTGAAGAGTTGAAGATTCTAAAGGCATGGATATCTGGTGCCCGTAAGTTAGCGCTAAGAACTACAACGATCAAATGCACCAACCTTGCCACTCCAAACAAGAGGAAGAGCGTCGAAGACTGCTTCAGGATCTTGAGGAGGCTGCTCCGTCTGTGAAGGCTCCAGATCATGTTCCTTCTCTAACAACATATCAAAATCTTCATCGTTAGCTTCTGCGGCGATGAGATCTGCCTCCACTTGCGACTCTCGTGAAACTCCAAGGTCTGATACGGGCTCAGGAGGTGCTGCTGACGGAGCTGACCATAAAGTGTTGAGGTCGAAAGATGTGCGGACAGGTGTCTCAGGTTTCGATATAAGCGAGGGGGCGGGTGTGGATGTAGCCGAAGTTGCACAATGGAGGCCAGGAGATTCGGAGGGTGCAGGTGCAGGCTCTGAGGCAACAGTAGGCGCAGGCTCTGTGGCCTCAGAAGGTACGGTTTCTGGGGTCGCGGGAGGTGCGGGCTCTGGGCTTGCACAAGGCGCGCCGTCTGTAGCAAGCATGGGAGTCTCCAATGCTGGAGTCTCCAGCCTTTCTGTATATGAATCTTGCGGGCCTGGTTCATCATCTAAATTGATGAGATCCGCGATATCAAGCTCCGGCTCCGGGAGCATCGTATGGAAATCAGATGCGAACAAATGATGTACGGGAGGTCTGTCATCGCCTGCTGGAAACTGGTTGATTGAATGGATGGGCACAGATGGATGCCCTCCCCAACTCGAGGTATGAGGTACGACTGGAGACTCAGGTGGCGCTGATCCCTGAGCAGCTGCAGACGCACGCTGCTTCTGCTGCTCCTCGGCGGCCCTCAAGCGTGCCTGCCGTTCTCTCTCTCGTCTTTCTTCCTCCTCCCTCTCACGCTCCCTCTCACGCTCGCGCTCGCGCATCGCAACATCACCATTCACATCCTCAATGTCCTGCAGGCCCTTATGAGTGATCTTTGCACGAGGAACAGTTGACTTTTGCAAGATTGAATGTTCCAGAGATTCTTTCTCCAATATTTTGATCGACTGTTTCGTCTCTTCGTTCGCTAAGTCAGTCGAGCTCATGAGGGCAAGTTCCTTTGGTGTGATAGAGGATGAGCTAATGCGCTTGTGAATGACCACACGATCTGGTTTGCTAAGGTTAAAGTCAAGCATACGAAACCTCTCCCTGTGAATGTCAATCAGCGCGTTGATTAAGAAACCAAAATAGAGTACGGGCTCACTTATACTTCGGCCCAACACTGAGCTTGTTGTGCTTGTCTGGTTCGCAGTACATATCAAATACGCATTGCTCAACCTCAGAAGCAAACGCCTTCGCCTCTTCCTCTAAGCGCGTCTTATCTTCATCACTTAATTCACCCTCATTGAGCTCGGCCTTACTGCCATCCTCTGTCGCAGCAGCATGTGGGTACTTCAAAAAAATCGAACAAAACAGCTGATGGAGTTTTCCAAGACAGTACTTTCTTGCTGGATCATCTTCAGCAGCGGCATCGCTGGATCTCCTACGTTTAGGAACAGGAGGCTGGGTGGCGCTCGTCGCCTTTCGCTTGAGACCAGAGCTTGGGACGAGAGACGCCTTCCTGGCTGATGATTCTTGAGATGGACCAGCTTTGTGGGAAGATTCTCGGGCGTTGACACTTTCACGGACGTTGGAATGTGCGTCCGATTCGCTGGAACTGGAAACTCTGCGACGACGCTGACGAATGAAGCACAAAAAAACGATCCAGCGTCAAAAGGTGACGATATTGAATAGGGTTGTAGAAACGCACCTTGGCAGATGATGATCCCTTCCTCCTAAACTTCTCCGGCTCCGCAATGTATTCGTCCTCGCTGTCTGTATTGTCCTCCGATTCTGATGGGGGAATCGCCGGAGGTGGCGTCGGGAGCCTGACAGTTTTGGCCTCATCGTGTTCAGGGTCGGCGTGTTCTTCCGCTACATCAGGTTCTTCCCACTTCACTAAAAACACGAAAAAGTATTAGCACCTCAAGTTCTTCGATTGAGTGTAAGGAAAAGAGAAAAGAGTACATCATTCTTTTTCCCTGCGTGAGAACAGGACGCCACTGTGACATAGGTTGTTCCATCTAGCGCCCGTTGACCACCGTGCTCAAGCAATCGCTCACATCGAAACCTCTTCAGACAAAAATTGACTCAAGAGGAAAAGTCGCGCGCCTATAACGTAAGGCCAAAGGCACCGTTGTACAACCATCACAGCGGCACGCAATTGACTGCAACAAAGATGTGGCGAACAGGAACAGATATGCCACTAACGATAGACGATAGCGAAGTACTTGCAGGACAAGACTCATAAGATGAATATACATGAAGAGGGATACGAGCCCACAGAGACAAACCACAAAAAGACCGGTGACACTCACTGACTGTACGTCGGCCAGTTAATTCAGTGCATGTAGAACATACATAAATATCTGCCAAGATGGGAGAATAATCAGTAATCGATGGTAAAATACGATAAGGGAAAACTTACGAAGTTCAGAAGCCTCTACTTCATCAAGCCTCACACAACGAAAATGATACCTACGCGCCGATTTAGTGAAGTTAGGTATTAGAATCTGATTGCATATACGCACCACTCATTACAGACAGAACAGCACACCATGGGCGTACCATCATCTGGTTCATGGCAAATACAAAATGTACATTTATCTTTTGGCTGTATGTCCTGGGCGTCCTGGGCGGCCTTGATAGGCTTCTCATTGCCGATATTGGTCTCTTTTTCCATCTCGCTCATATGGTCCTCGCTCTTCAGGGATCTCGCGCGTAACCTGGTAGATTTTAGCTGACTATCCTTGTTTGAACGTGACTTGACATTATTCGTAGTAGACACTGATTTTGTTCTTGAGCGGGTCGACATCGTTGGCGTCGGCGTCCCTGTTTGCAAGGTTTAGTGATGAGTCAAGAACAGAACGACTTTGAAACTCCGACATTCCGATGAGTTGTGGCAAAGAACCAACGTCGCACTTTCCAAACTAACGGTAGAAACTTGGCTCTCGAAGACCATCTGGCGCGTTGGGCTGTGGACGACCAGGACACTGTTCCATGGGCCCTGGCAACTCACGACTACTAGTTTGGGTGGGTCACCACGAATGTCATATCAAGCGCTCGCGTGAGCCTTCAAACATGATATCATAAGGCCTTAAAAATACCGTTGTTCTCATGCTTACCTTGTGATTTCTAGCCGTCGGGGAGTCAAGGGTGACTGAGTGAATGTCGCTCACACATTCTCTACCCCTATTAAGGGATACGAGTCCCTTTCTCAAGCTTCAAGCTTCATGGGTCGGTCTCTCCAGAATGGTCTGTCTGGCGCGGGTCTGGGACACATTAATACGGGTGCGTGTCCCGCTTTGCGAAGCAATAACCTAATCTAATGTTTCTAAACCATATGGTCATCCGGGATTAGGCAAGTCCAATTGTAGCGATCACTGCTCCAATACCTAGCAAGATCATCATTGGTCATCAGGACTCGGAGCTCAGCCAACATAGGTCAGCTGTGGTACCGTAAGAACTGCAGCATAACTAATACTATCAATGTCATCGATAAGGTGTCTGTGACCCGAATAACCTTCCGGGTGACTGAGGAACAAGCCGGTGGGTTGTCAGAGACTACTAGTACAAATTTGACGTGTACGTGTCTCTTGCTTAGGATAAGTACTCTTGAGTCGTAATAGCTGCTATGTGAGCTAGTACTATATAGCCTGTCTGTCTCTTGCTTCCGACGCTTGCATGATTTCATTTTACGACTACTTATCATTGAACGCGTTCCTATTCCCGGACTGCTGCTTCTCCCGCCGGAGATCTCGATCGATCTATTACTAGCGACACTCGGAAGGAATATCTTTGTTCTTTCGAATCTACTACTATACTTTACTCCATCCTTTTCAGTCGCCGCCTTTTTCGTCTGGACCATCAGGGTGACAAGCCATCCGTGCAAGTAATGTACCTGCTATGCTTGGGCCACGTTAAACTGACAGAATTTGCAGTGTGTACTGTCAGATTAACTTCTTGGCGGGTTCACCATCAACTTGTTCGTGGGCTCCTTGCCGCTTTGTCAAGTATGTGAATTTATACTTTCGTAACAAGTGTCCGCACCGCTCATGACAAGTACTGACTTTGGAATTGCAGGGTCACTTACCTACTAGTAGTAGTAATACTAGTACTATCGTGCTGCGTTAGTCAGACAGTTTCCTCGAGATCTCGGCATTACATGAGGCTTACACATGGCAGCAATCGCCCTCTCGAGCGATCCAAAGACACAGATACCCAGCCCCTTCCACATGATGGCCTCTCCTCAGCTTGGTAGCCCGACGCGCGACTCGCCACCGAAAGCATTGTCCCGTACTCCAGAGCCTTCCTCTTCCTCGTCATATGCCTCTGCTCAAGAGGTCCCTGAGACAAGGTCCATGACTTTTAAGCGACTCCGATCGTCATTGGAGCAAAGTTTGAAGACCGCAACACGTTCCAGAGCAAAAGTCCTGCCACCTGTTGATGACTTCGCAGCCGTCTCCGTCAAGGGTAAAGGCAAGGAGAAAGAGCCTGAAAGCCACGTTGCTGTGAAAGGGCAGGAGAAGGATAAGATCCTGTCCGGCATGCTGAGACGGTTGGAATCAAGGGTGGGACTGCGCAGAACTGCACGGGTGTCGACATCGACATCGATCCCCCTTGACGCAAGTCACGTCAATGCGATTGGAGCGCCTGCTGCCAGTGGTAATAACGCGGATGTAGTCACCAAGTCACGCCAGCCTGGATTCACGAGTTTTGCTACCCCATCCCTGTGGCAGGCATCCGTGTCTTCACCTGTTCTCCATCTCTCATCCCAAAATTTGCCGTCGGGTCCGTCGCAACCTGCAGCAATGGCGCCATTATCAAATACAGGCCCTATCACACCTGCACGCGATCGCACGCGGCGCGCCAGCGTTCAGCCCATTAAGTTCAAGGAAATTAGCGGTCCTCAGCCATTAGCAACGCGGCATGACCACCGCAGTGGCGCTGTAATGCCTGACCGCTCTGGTGCGGCCTCCCCTCGGGCAGGTAAATCTCGTCCATCTCCAGTACTCTCTACACTCAGGGGACGTTCGTCGGCTGACACACCTAGGCGGAGCCATGATTCGTCGAGCCCGCCGGGAACCCTGCCTGGCTCCCGAGCGCGGTTTGGCGACCTGTCCAGAACGCCTGTGGCTACGAGTGCCACTCACCTGCCTCTCCACAGCAGTCCACCTTCCTGTCACACTCCCAATCGTGCTGTGAGTCCTGCACGCGCAAGGACACCTCTTAAACAAGCCGTGGCTCCCGCATCCTATCAGGGGTTTACTTCTGCATCTACATCTACATCACATCTTTCTTTGAATTCCTCCAGTCCACCAACGGTATCAACTTCAGCCCGTATGCCTTCTGTGGATGCACCAAGGAGACCCTCAGTTGATGCGCCACGGAGAAGTTCTGTTGATACCCCACAGAGACCTTCTTTTGATACCTCCCAAAGACCATCTGCAGAAGTGCCGCGAAAAGCATCTGGCGAAACCTCTCGAAGAGGCTCCATCGACGTGCATCGCCGACCCATGGCCTCCCCTGTGCCTAGAGCATGCTCCCCTCAGTCTACCGTGCGTCCACGTGCTACATCACCTTCTCAGCGCACGCCTGCATGCGCCCAGAATCGCTTTAATATCTCAACTGCTTCCCTTGTCTCTCCTTCCACTCCAGAGCAGCGTGAGGTTATACGTGCTGCAACTTCGCTTCTTTGCAAAGAATTACGGAAAGCACCAGCGCATCTTGCACGTAGTGATGCACAGAAGGAGTGGGCGGAAGTAGAGGTGCGCATGCAGCCCTTAATCAGGCTTGAACGCGTTTGGGGGAAGAGTGGCTGTGCCAGTGCCAGTTCTAGCCAGGTTGCTGGGGGTGTTGGCTCCATGGTGCTTAGCTCAGCTGGGGAGGAAAGAGAAAGGAAGCTCTTCTGCGAGGCCCTTCGAGATGGCGTTGTTCTCTGCCAGTAAGCCTTGACAGTTACTCCGACTGGTGTGCTGTTTAATGTTGCATCTTTTCAGGCTGATAAACAAGCATTATTCTGGGGCCATAACTCGCATCGACCACCGTGAAGATGGTCTTAAGCAAACCAGCAACATCACCAGGTTCATTGCCGCATGCTCGCAACACGGTGTCCCTTCCGACGACATTTTCTATCGTGACGACCTTATCCAGGCGACCCCAGAGACCCTTTGCCGTGTCGCATGTACCATCATTTCGTTGATGAAGCTTTTTGAAGACCCTGGAGTCGGTCGTGCCAAAGTCATCGCGGGTCAAGGCAAGAAAGGTGCCATCGTAGCTTCAAGCAACGACCCTTACTCCTCGGCGATTTCTTGCGCCGCTTCTTCCACACCGAATCTGCTACCACGACCAACCTCTCCAGTTCGTAGAATGCAGAGTCCACATGAACGATCACTCCTCCCAGTGCGACCTGATAGTCCGCAATCGGGAACATCTGCTGGCACAGCTAAGAGAGTCCCCATCATTGACAGAAGCATGACACCAGCCAGTAACAACAATCATGAAATCCACCAGGTTCCCCCTCTTACGAGTCCATGTCCAACCCCTATATCTTCCCTTCGTGCGCACTCTCGAACTGGACTTCCAGTTGACAGTAGCGTTAGCCCTCTCTCCAGCCTTCAGCCACTCGACATTCCCTTCCCTCAATCACCGACTTCGCAGGTGTCCAATCTGTCGACAGCGGGCTGTGATGCAGACTATCCCCCACGACAGTCAAGAACCTCCAGCAATCTCACTGATAACACTGCCCTCTCCAGCATCTTTGACATCAGGCGGGTAAGCAGCAGCACCCAAAACAAGTTTGGCACCATCAGGACTTTCACAACTGAAGCGACCTCTTGCTCTGAGGCGCCTTCGTTTACTCGAACGGAGGCTAGCTCGGTGGCAGCACTCATGGCAGAAGAGATGAACAGGAGACGGGGTAGTGGAGAGCCTACACCTCGGTCGAGAGAGCGACGCCCGAGCGAGCCAGGTGTACTTGATCTGGTTAGCCTCGCAGAGGAAGAGGAGAACAGTGCCTGTGGGTCGAGCTCTAATCACCATCAGAAGGAGAGTCTACAGTCTAAGGGACCCTCGCGGGAGCAGGAAACGGACGCGCAGAACCGTGTGCGACTCGGTAAAGGCAAATGGCCCGACGACTTTCTGGACGCTTTCAAGGCACAAGCTCCAAGTCCATCTCAAGCAGTTCCAATTGCAACATCGTCGAACAGTGTAGATGCGCCCCTTGGTTCCAGCCCTCTATCTGTATCCCCGACCAGAAAGCCTTCCATTGTTGGATCATCACGTCACAACGACAGCACAGAGTCCAGAGTTCGAAGGCCATCTCATCGGTCAACCCATAGCGCGGAGGTCCTAATGCCGAGGAATTCAGTGCTTCGTTTGGATACCAGCTCAGACAATTCACCAGGCTCCAAAGTCATTCTGCGTCGTCAGAGTACACGGAATGGTGTTCGCAGAAATGGGGTCTACTATCCTCGTAATAGCGCCGACGACCCTGGGACTCCAAAGGATGACGATCCTCGCATTGTCCCCTTCCCGCGTGCCGTGTCAGGGGAACATGCTGCTCGTGCCACGCCATCTCCCGATTCTACTGCCAAGGGCAATGTCACGAATAACCAGGATGCTCCCCGTGTGCGTGGTCGCTTCCAGAGTGATGTTGAAGATAATCGAGCTCGAAGATGCAGTCGTCCAACTTCGCTTGATGAGTTGGGCAGAGCGCGGAGGTCTCGATATGAAAGCATGGTCAATCTAGGGGTGGCCTCTGGAAATACCAGTGCGAGCGACTTACTATCAAGGGACTCCGGCGACGGAAGCGCCGTACGACAGACCGTAATAATCAAGGAAGAAGGGAAACCTGCGACTCATTTCGTGAGTTCTCCTATTTATGCAAGCCAGCGCCCAGGTTTTTGACTTTACCTTTATAAGCAACTCGGAAATTGCATCGGCCGCGGGCAGTTCGGCACAGTGTATCGGGCTCTGAATCTGACAACCGGACAAATGGTGGCAGTTAAACGAATCCGATTAGAAGGTTTGAAAGAGGACGAAGTTGCCCAGCTCATGAGGGAGGTGGACTTGATGAAAAGACTATCACATCCAAGTATTGTGAAGTACGAAGGGATGGCTCGAGATGAACAGTACCTCAACATCGTTCTTGAGTGAGTACAGTCCATTATCTTGTTGGATGTTTCTTGTAATGAGTTCAATATAGATATGCTGAAAGCGGCTCATTGGGCCAGATGCTCAAAGCTTTCGGCAAGTTGAATGAGCATCTTGTGGCAGGCTACGTTGTCAAGATTCTCGAGGGCTTGCATTACTTGCATCGTTGCGATGTTGTCCACTGCGATTTGAAAGCCGCCAACATCCTCACTACAAAGACGGGGAATATCAAGCTCTCGGATTTCGGCGTTTCCCTGAACCTGAAAGCTATAGAACGAGAGAAGGACGTTGCTGGTACTCCGAACTGGATGGCCCCAGAGGTCATCGAGCTCAAAGGGGCTTCAACGAAGGCTGACATTTGGTCGTTGGGATGCACAGTTGTCGAACTTCTTACTGGACGTCCGCCATTTGGGGATATCACCAACACAATGACAGGTATGATCATGGTAATTGTTCCGGATGCATGACTGATGTAAATGCAGTCATGTTCCGCATTGTCGAGGACGAGATGCCAATCCCTGAAGAATGCTCCGAGCCGTTGAAAGACTTCCTTCAGCAATGCTTCCAGAAGGAACCCTCGATGCGACCTGATGCTGAGCTATTGTGCGAGCACCCCTGGCTGAAGAAAAATTGGGATGCCCTCAAGGTTCGTGGGTTTCTGGATAGTATGCGAAGTGTTACCAATCGATTTCATTTAGGAGCTTCGTCTTCAGGATAGCATACCCTTTCTCCGGCGTGTTAGCACTGATCTACAAAAGACTGACATTACGCACCTTGCATCTATGGATATCAACAGAATCGAATCACCTTCCTCGGTTCAAGAGGAGCCATCAAAGTCCCCAAGGCGCAGATTATCCAGTGGACCGTCTTCGCCAATTTCGCTTCCGGAGAATACCCCATTCACCGCTAGGGATCATTCCTTTATCAAGACCACCTTTGGGAAACGTGAGCCCGAAATTTGCGGCCGGTTAGTCTCGCTGATCGCATTTGTAGCCATGGTCTGTAGAGTGTGTATGGGAAGTATCAAAAGAAGCGCCGTCATTTGCGACAAGTGTAATCTCATCACTCACTCGAAATGTGCTCCTGAAGCTCCTCCCACATGCGACCTTCGCTCTCAACTGTTACTTTACGCACAGTACGCCGAGCAAGGAAGCCCTGCTGGTATCCCGTTCGATGGATTGAATGGGCTACATCCTCATCCATCGACGATTATTCCTTCTGAAGTCTCCTTCGCTACACCTTCTCCTCGACCAAGCACGGACATCACGCCGTCATCACAATTACTATCACCCACTCCTCCCAACGTCTACAAGCTTATAAATCCCTTCAAACGTTCTCGTTCTTCCCTAGCAGCAGAGAATAGGTCTTCCCCTTTGGCATCGCCGTCATCGATGCCTCAGCCTCTGTCTCACGATGATGTCACTCCCAAGCGAAAACCCTCTAAGCTCTCACCGAATATGATCTCGAAAGAACGACCTCCTTCATTGTCAAGTAATGGTACTGCCCCCAATGTCGGTAGCATGAAGAAGGCTGACAGCCAGTCCAGCCGTCAAGAACCGGGCGGTAAATCCTTCTTTTCAATAGTTGAGCCTGATACAGATACAATTCCACAACCTGGTCCACCAGTTCCCGACAAGAAACCATTTTATGCCCATGCTACGACCGCCACTCTCAATGATCGTATGGACAGTTCATTACGCCACATTCCGGGCACAGTGCCCAACGAACCTGACCGTCACAAAAAACGGGCAGCGGAGAAACCATCAGGCTGCACTGTTCAGTGACTCTTCTCTCTCATCTACTGTCATCCTCGCCTGCACCAATCATCCGATCATAGCATGATTCAGATACCGTCATGGACACTGTACCACTAAAGTCCTTAGTGCTTTTACCCATTTATTACTGATCACTACTATACTGTTCATTAAGACGTATCTTAATATATACTCTACTTTTAGCACTTATAGCCTGGTGCAATATCTAATAACCAACCACCTCAAGTTCAGTGTCCCGTGAGCAAAAACAAAGCGCTCCCTTGCTTAGACCGACCTTCTTGATATCCGCTGACATAATCTCACCGTGCGGCGCCGGTATCTGTCCAGGTTCGGGCCGCTCCGTCGTCCAGCGCCGTTCAATGGATACCAACTTCAAGTTCGTGGCAACACTGACCTTGTAGTACCATCTTGTTTGGATGGCAACGATGTCAGGGCTCTTTGCATTGCAATATATTGGCATGAAAGTCCAGAACGACGATAGTCGACTCCTGGCATATAAAGAGACACTTTCGGGGAGGTGAGCAACCTTTGATTTCGGTCCTTTCCGATCTCTCAGGCTCTGTACTACACTTCATTGAAATTGTTTTACTACTGAATTACACTATTACAGCGCTGGCAATACATATGGTCCCGACCGAACTAGAATGTGACAACCACACCCTGGGATTGCAGATAGTCACAGTTGCACGCCCATCGCCGTCTCGCGGCCTGATCCTTTTATCATGTCACTCACTCCGAGGGCCAATGAAATTTGCCCTCAAGGTTATTAAGTATGTACGTTCCACTTATCTAGCCATATATTTGACTGAACGTGCAAAGCCCTCAACAACCCAGCCGAATTTCCTACTCAGCGTCAGCACTGGCCTTCACCTTCCCCTGTCACAAGTAGTTCATAACTCACTTGGCGTGAATTCGACTAGAATACCATTGGTCCCGTCCTCCGTCCGCTTTCCGACGGTGCTGATCTAGACTAACTGTTGTCGGGATGAGCGCGAAAATATGTCGCAGACTAATGTGATGTATTGTAGAATTTCGCGAAGCTGGACGTGGGCATGAAGGTGCATGTTTCCACGTCAAAGCCCATGGTCTTGATGATGACTCAATCGTTTTTGGTTTACAGATAATACCACGGGGTACTCATTCGTGGATTTGGAAGGAGCTGAGTGGTTGTGGTTGACGTCTATGGATATATTCTTTTCGAGTCTCACCAGTACAGCAGCTGCAACAACGAGTGCAGATTCTTCTTCGTCGATTACTTCCACCTCTAGATACTGATATATGATATCATCCACCATACGCATGACCAATGACTTACGTATGGTCTTGTAGGATATTTTATTGGGTAATTTGGAAATTGTTTTTCAAAGTCCGGCATACACGGGTTTACTTTCAGTCCTCTGCGGTTCCCGACTCCCACGGTAGTGGAGGCTGCAACAAACGTGCCGTTCTCTACCAAATCATGCGTGGGAACGTCAGTCCTCCCGCGGGAAACTGAGAGACCGAGCAGCAGTAGAATAAAACTTGGGTATACAAAAAACCATCTACGTTAAAAATGGTTCCGGCATAGCGAACTCGACCATGCAGGCAAGCAAGGGCAAATTCAGCAACTTCGAACGACGGGAAAACAGGAAATGGAAAGAGCCGGTGGAGTCGGGAACTGGCGCGTCAGCGGCGCTACGATACATTTAGCATGGAATGTAGTGTGTCACTTTGATTTAACTTTGCATGCTGATCATTTTATCTGGCTTAGGTATCTAAGTACTTCAAGGACCAATCAAAAACTATGACAGCAGCCACATCATGATAATATGCCGAGAAGCGAGCTGCATTGCTGGCACAACTTCTATATCTTCGAACCATTAGAGAGAATGGCTATCACCCTCCCAAAGGTCTGGTCAGGTGAGAATAGGTTTGAACCGGTCTAACCCGGACATTCCTGTTGGTAGGTTCGATTTGCGAGAAATTGAAATTGGTTGGAGCCTCGAGACAACAACATCAAAATTCACAGAGTCACTCCTGCCAGCACTCATCAAATATAATTTCAACACTTAATAGCGTCATCATGTATCAATCATGAGTCATGACCCGCATTCCCGAACGTGATTTGCACTTGGCATAGTACCAACTTCAAGCTTTGTGTGCCACTGCGACTGATCCGGTCTACTTAAAGCTGAAGCACTGCACCTGCAGCCTGTCTCCTGAGGTACCGTACTTACGGCCCAGCTGAAGCACCTGCAGACATGCCCAGTTCCGAGTCGCGATGAGGCCACTTCGAATATAGCCGCTCGTCGGTCTTCGTCGGTCCGGTCTTACCGTGTATCAATGGTCTGGCAGTTGAAACATAGAGAAGTCGACTTGTCAATCGACGGAGCAATCTCGATCAATCTGTACCTCAGGCCCTTCTGTCATTTTTTGACCGGCAAGGGGTCGTGGAAACCCTGGAAGTTTAAACTCCATCATATATTAAAGGTAGGTTCAAAAATTCACAACAGCTGGTATCGTCTTGACCTTCCATCATGCGGGTTTTTGTGCTGAGCTGTGTCATTGCATTGCTTTTCTCCGTCTGTAGTTCCGCTGCAGCAATCACGAATGCACAGCGACTAGCTCGTGGCCTGCCACCTTTGCCTCCCAAGTTTGGTCGCGCTCTGCCTGGCTATGCAAGGACGCCGACAGTAGCTGGTACTTCTGAACCAATATCTCAAAACACTTGCACAAACTAATATGTCGGTGCAGCAGAGAACTCGTCCCCGTCGTCCGCTCCGCATAAGACGTGAGTCCGTTGAAAAAATTTCACTGGAAGTTTGTCTCAACCCTTTCAGATTTACTGGTCGAATCTTGGTTAAGGGCCACGATGGCAAACGGTTAGGACACCTATCTGACCGGGCCTCAGGAATGTAAGAACCCCCGCCGACCTGGGTGTTCCTTCTATTGAAAATTGTGCTGAGCTTGTGACTAGAAATGGCGTAAACTTTGGTGCCTCAAGCGCGGACCTGCACGTCTCGTTCACCTCTTCTCGATCTCAACATGGGCTTATCGACATACAGGCCATCGTACGGTCCTCCCCGTTCTTTTGTTTTCTAAAATTCACGAAGCTTTTGGCAGGACGCCCATGGGACTTCTTATATCGGGACAACGAGCAACGCCGTCCTCGCCGCTGGCTCTTCAACGTTGATATTTTTCCAAAAAAAAACCTGAATACTAGACACTGATTTTGCTCTAACAGATTCGTCAGCTTTGGCAAAGTCATCAAAAGTGAGCCCGCACGACTGTCACGAATTGAATGTTAATAACAAATTGTTCATAGCACCTGCGCACTCCCCACCTGTCCCTGTGGGCCAGCATCATGCGGACGAGTCAGCTATTTGGACATTCGATAGCAGAAGTCATGAACTGAATGGTGGGCCATCTCTATGTCCGAGTCTACTTATCATTGACATGTCTCAAGTGCACTACGTAAATCCCAACGGTCACGAGGCAAAGACGACTATCGCTTATAACAGTCATGACAACACAATATTCTTTGTCGGCGACATCGGTGCCTATAATGCTGCCCATCCCGGTAGCCACGTTTCACCTATTGTCAGTCTGTTCAACTTTCTGCCCCGAACTCACCAACTCACCGATTTATAGACATTTTATATTGATTTGACAGTATAACGGATAAATGATCCAGAAATGTTTTCCCTCTTTCCTCTCTTTTGACATTCCCTTCATTTTCCATGTCGCTCTTTTAATTTCAGTTCAAATCGTGGGTTCACCAGATCTCTCGTTCGGACTTTGAAAACTGTTGGTCTTTAGATTCCTGACAACTTACATATCCCTTATTCCTGACTTGTAGTAGCTGCATATACTCTATACATCTGGAATACATACCTGGACTGTTACTTTGGGTTTATTTGCCAAAGGACTGAGTTCAAAATTCAGAGGAACAGCAAAGCAATTAATTATAATATAAAATTTAAGGAGTCTCAGGCGCTGTTTATTCTGGGAATGCGAGCGCCCGCACAGCTTCAATCCAGGATGCTGCGGCATCGGGGAACTTGGTATCACACAACGGATTAGCGACATTCGTCTGACAGGTTAACTGAGCTTACCTCCCACACCATAACACCAGCATCTGGAAACTATGGTTAGCTCCTGCTGAATAGCACGTGGAACATTAGACGCACCCCATCCTTGCTCATAGGCCATTTCCACACACTGGGCGAGTACGGTGGTGTTCATGTAACCATTGGTCGCATCCGCAGTGGTGGCTGGCTTGCCGATCACCACCTTGTCTAAAGATACTCCTGCTGCTGCAATCTGGAACACTGAAGTGTTTGGCCACGGCGCTGCCGATTCTGTAATAAGGCCAGTACACGTTGTGTACTCAGTTGTGCCCTCTAGTATTGCTAGTGAATAATTAGCAAAGAGACAGGACTGCGTGGCTTACGATTGTAGAACTGTATCAAACCGGAAAATCTGTCGGCATCATGAAATTACGCATCATCAAAAAATACTTGCCTGAACGTTGTACTGTAAGGTGGCGAATGAGCTCACGAAAAATTACGGTGGTTTTCTCACTTACCCAGTCAATTAACGATCCAACATTGGCGTTGACCGTCAAATAAGCACCACTGGTGTACGAATCAGAGAACCTATGAACAGGGAGATAAATTCGGACGACTCGCATAAATACGATTAGTTCAAATACCATGGAGCAACAGCTAGATGAAGGCAGAAACTTAGTCAGGTCCAATAACTGAATTTTGAGGCAGACTCACGTGCGTGGGTTAAAATGTATTGACCTACGGCATGCTGTCAGTACCTCCTCGTCACCAATAATGGAACTAGTAAACATACCTAGTGGAAGCGTTTCACGAAGGACTTGGGTGAAAGTGGTCAACCAATCTTCTGCAGATCCATTTTCAGCATTCATGGCGTCGAAATCCTGTTGCAAAGCCAGTATCAGTCGTGAACTAATGTACGTCAAGAGAAACCCACTTCGTAGTCGATATCAACGCCATCAAGATCATATTCCAACACGAAGGCCGCGAGATCATTGGCTACGGTTGTAGGATCATATCCAGAAGTCGTAGGCGTATCCGTGGACCCAAAAGCGGATACAATAAGAGAAATCCCGGCATCGTGGTATGTTGTCACGTAAGATGCTCGTGTGGCATTGTCAAGCTCAACCCACTCTTCAGCTTGATCAACTGGGCCGGAGGTAAGCCAGAATGAGAGGGCACTGAATAAAGTTAGACTGCGACTCGGAAATACTCATGTTTGTCACCAAGACTTACAAGACGTTGTACCCCTGAATCCCAAATAACAAAAATAATCACTACGTGATAATGAAGTCATTAATGAATACATACTGTGATTTCGCTGACAGCAGGAGGACCGGTCTCACCGGAGACCCACTCATCACTGTAAATGACGAAGTGGGGGGCCGCAGGTGTTGCACGAGCTGAAAGTGCCTTGCCCATAAGAGGCGCAGACAACACGCCGCCGATGGCTGCGAAGACACCAAGACTCGAGAGCATGAAAGACACCATGATGAGAGTGGGGTAGACTGAGGCACCGGGTAGGCATTTATACCCTTCACCGAGATCTCATTCTAGGGGTTAGTGTAGCATGATGCAACCTCCAATGGCACATGCACCAGAGATTCCGTACTACTAATAAAAGAAGCAAGTGTTATCATCAAACTGAAAACCAGGGGGTGGCTGTATGTTGCATGGAATACCGCCAGACGATTTGTCGATAAAGTGAGACCGCTGTTGGCGGGAGGTGGGTGGCACATGGAAAGACTCGAAATGATTACCAGCAGCATCACCCTTTGCCCGCAAGGTTCCCAAGACTAAGGATGGGTCAGGCGCGGGATCTCCGTATTGGGAATATGGGCGGTCTATGCCAAAGGTCGCAAGAATGGTGAGCATGCGGATTCAGAAAAACATCAGGTACGTGCGAGAATGGAAAAATGTGCCGCATGTGTTCCAGAGGTATTCGAGATTGCATATTATTGAGCAAGAGAGATAATTGCTCAGAAGCACGGATTTGGAACGTCAAAATTGAACGAGTTTGCATGCGGAAGCAATTTGTGGCGAAAGCAATTTGTGGGATAGGCTCCAGGGTAAAGGGAGGAACTGGAACCTCTTGTGGAAGGATTGTAATAGGATATTGAGCAAGAAAGCTTGAGTGTGAGCTATGGAGCTGTAGGTTAACTTGGCGTTGTGGGATGAACAAGTGTCATAGACCACCCCCTCTATTGTTGGGACCTTGAATATACACCGAGTATGCGCTGAATGTTATTTTAGCGATCACCGATGCTTCAGAGTAGCACTTCCATGCTTGCATGTGCGCCTCGATAGTAGCTGTATCGGCGCCCAGTGATCATTGTGCCGCGGTAAGAACGATAGAACTTCAAACTTCTGGCTTACTGTCAACAAAAATTTCGGAGCGCAACCAGCAGATACAGACAGGCTGTCAAAAATATTGACATCGTTCGCCGCTTTGCCGAGAGATCTCCTGCATGTGTATGGCAGGATATTAGCCTGAAAAAGGGACAAATACCAGCAGCGAGACACGCGTCGAAGGATCTTTGCGTGTGACTCTGTTCTCTGAATTCTCAGCAGTTCTGCAACAAAGCCAAGTTTTAGAAATGTGGAAATGGAGGGGAGTGTGAGAGAGGTTAGAGAGCATAATAAGACTTTGCACCAGATGGTACTAGCTGGCAACTTGAGCTGTATCTCGATTATGAAAAAAGGGGTATGTGACACAAGCCGACACAAGGCGAAAAGGTGTAGGTTAGGCTGCCAAGCCAATCAACACAGTCCGTCCCACATGCACGTACGCTTAACTGGACCCCATGGACCGTCAGAAGTGACATGTGAAGCTTTGAAACATCAGCACCTGATAAGACAAACCAAAGGCACTTACTACAACGATCCTAACTCGTGCCCAGCTGGCCCCTTCGGGCAGTGTGTGCAGCGCCTGTATGATAATTTGATAATCCGTAAGCTTGCGATCGTCGTCAAAGTCCAGCGCACATGTAAATATCTCGTCCCAGCTCCGCTCTGTCACTACTCAACTAGATGAATTTTGCTCCGCCTTCCACCGATATTTATGAACGACGTATTCCGAAAACTCCATCGGATCCACTCAAAGCTCAAAGCCGAAGCAATGTTTTAGAATGTCCGGCAAGGTGACAACCCAGAAATGGGAAAGAACGGGTAAACCATGTTCATATGCCAAGCACTGGTAAAATGTATCATGAGTATGCATGAGAGCGACTGGATTCCCCTTGGATGCGAATTAATTGCATAGATGCATAAGGATTTGAACAAGTTGTCTGGTTATGGCATCGCCGATATGTATTACTCCCACACTTCTCAGCTATGCCGCCATCAACACGTTTCCACGCTCCGTGGCGCCGCTGACGCGCCAGTTCCCGACTGATCCGCCGGGTCTAAATTTCCTCTTTGCATGCATATGTTCAAGCTACACCTACAACATTTGTCCCAGGGGCTAACCCATTGCCCATTTCCTGAAGGTCCCAAGTACTGGTACACTTCTCTATGACCGTAATACCAATTCTCCCCAAGCCGCATGGCCCACCTTTGAACCTCCCGACATTCGTTCCTCAATGCTTGGTGTTGCAAATGATCATTAAGCTGCGGGGTTTGTCTCTTTTTTGCACGCTGTTGTATTTTACACTGCTTACTCGTAGGCTCTCTGTTCTGTTCTTCTGTGAGCATGCGCGCCTGCCGCTCGGCCGCTCTATGTCAATCTTCCATATATGGATAGCTCTACTCTTAGTCTTGATGTCCTGGTCCGCACATGTTACCTGAGGCTATCAAAATGTTTACCAGCACAAGGTCGTCCTGTTGTCTATCCTCGTTCTCATACTGAAACCGGTAATGGATTGGTGTTTTACATTCGAGAACGCCTTTGGTTTCAGCGGTCAGCCAGCTCTCAAATCGTCAGCGGTCATTTCGCAAGCGAAGACAAGATCACTGGGGCCTGCAATACATGGTTGTGAAACCGCATGACAGCCAGTTTCCCACAGATGGATTTGTAGAGAACGGCACGTTTGTTGCAGATAGAACCCTCCCCCACCCCCACCACCATCCACCCCACCCACTTGTCGTGAGAGTCCTTGAAACATTGTACGCTTTTGGGAGAACCGACGGGGCGCACCGCCAACCAATATTCACGTGCCCCAGTACCACCATCCCAAATGGCAATTATGTAACGGCAATACTACGTGTCAGGCAGCGAGCTCGCTATCTCACTCATTTCTGCATCTTTTTAAAAAAGTTCCAGAAGGAAAACAGCTGCCGTGATATTGCGCTGAAGCGGCCATTGATCTGTGTTGGACTTGTCTCACACTTACATACCTGGCTTGTACTGACTTGAAGTTTGAGTTTGTATGTGTTCCACGCATCTGGAGTGAACACATAATAGACTGTTACTTTGAGATAATTATTACACGGGGGGTATTCCCTGAAGACCGAACTCAAGATCTCACTTTAATTATGACATAAATGACAGCGAGAGAGTGAGTAATTGCTAATCACAGGCGCTACTTATTAAGTTATCATGGGAATGCGAGCGACCACGTAGCTTGAATCCAGGATGCTGCGGCGTCGGGAAACTTATCACACGACGGATTAGCATCATTCGTCTGGAAAGTTAACTCAGCTCACCTCCGAGTCCCACACCATAACGCCAGCACCTGGAAGCCACCCCCGCTGAATAGCACGCGGGACATTGTGCGCACCCCATTCTCGCTGATAGGCAATGTGCACACACTGAGCGAATAGGGTGGTGTTCATATAGCCATTGCTCGGATCCTCACTGGTGGCTGGCCTTCCGATCACCAACTCATCTTCCACCACGTCGAAGACGTTTTCATATTTAAAGAGCCCAGAATACGTCGTGTACTCGGACGCGCCCTTATAGACTGTGACTTAGAAACACTCATGTTTGTCCCTAAGGCTCACAAGACGTTACACCCCTGAATCCCAGAGAATGAATACGTGATAATGAAGTCATTGACGAATACATACTGTGATATTTCTGACTGCAGAAGGGCTGGTCTCACCGGAGACTCACTCATCGCTGTAAATGGCAAGGTGAGGAGCTGCAGGTGCTACACGAGCTGAAAGTGCCGTGTCCATAAGAGGCACAGACAACAAGCCACCGATGGCTGCGAAGACGCTGAAAGTCCTGTTACGAAAGAAGAGGTTGCTAGTATCAGGGAAAAAATGGATGGTCGTTCGATGCTGCATGGAATGTCGCCGGACGATTTGCCATAAAGTTAGACCCCCTGCTAACAGAAGGTGGCACACGACAAGACTCAAAATTGTCATCAGCGGCATCAATCCGTTGCTTCTAAGGTTCTCAAGACGGTCAGACGCAGGATCTCCGTCTTGGGAACTTCCGATTAATTGATATCGAAAGTCGTCAGAGTAGTGAGCAAGATGGGCATGCAGATTCCCAAGGCATCAGGTACATGCATACCAGAATTACAAAATTCCCTGCGCGTTGTTAGGCATCCGAGGTTGCATATAATTAAGCAAGAGAGATGATGCTGACGAAGATTTTCGCTCAGAAGGACGTATTTGGAATGCCAAAATTGAATGAGTGTGCATACGGAAGTAATTCGTGACGAATGCAGTAAGTGCGACAAGGCTACGAGGTCGGAGTAGACGACGGGATTTCCTGGGACCTCTTGAAGGAGAATTGTAACAGAGGAGCCTTGCGCGGAAAATGTCACCGTTGACCACAAGATATCAAGTTATGTGATAGCGTTATGGGATGTCAGAAGCGACATCCTAGGTCGCCTCTAGTTTTGAGACCTTGACATACACCGGGTTTGCCCTGAATTTTATGTTAGTGGATCATGCATGTTTCAGAATAGCACTTCCATACTCCACGTGTGGAAGTTGGTAGTGACTGTATCAGCGTCTAGTGGTCACCGTGCCTCGGTCAAAACGATACAACTTCGGACTTGTGGCTTACTGTCATATAATTTCGGAACACAGATAGGCTTTGAAAATATTGACATCGTTTGACGCTCTGCCAATAGGTCCCCTGCATACATATAGCAGGACGATTATAAAAAGCGACAAAGCGAGTACGCATCGAAAGATCGTCGCATGTGGCTCCGCCCATTAAAAAAAGGGTTTTTTTTTGGTAGCTCTGCAACTAAATAGATTTCAGGAATGCGAAAACGGAAACAAAGCAAAAGCCTGAGAGCTTAGAAGGGCAACGATAAGACTTGGGACCGGATCATGGTAGTACTAGGTGGCAATTTGAACTGTATCTCGATTCCGACGAAGTGGTAGGTGAGACAAGGCGGAAAAGGTGTAGCCAGGTTTTGCCAATCGGATGCACACGGCATGCACGTACGGCGCTTAGTTAGATCCCGTGGACGCATACGTCAGATGTGATATGTGAAACTTTTGAACATCTGCATCAGCGCTCAGCACCTGATTACAAAAATCAAAAGCACTTACTTCAAGTTACTTGCAATCCTAACCCGTGCTCAGCTGACCTTTGCTAGCAAGGTATGCAGCACCTGTATCTGCCCAAACATGATAATCTGTGACCTTGCAATCGTCGTCAAAGTCCAGCACATATGTAAATATCTCGTCCCAGCTCTGCTCTGAGCTCAACCAGGTGAATCTTGCTCGGCCCTTCACCGAAACTTTCTGGACTTCTGGATCAACGATATACTCTGAAAACTCCATTCTCTCAAAGCTCAAAGTCGAGGCTATGGTTTTGAAGTAATCTCGTACTCCATCACGTCCGACGAAGTGACGTCCCAGAAATGGAGCAAGAATAGGTAAACCATGTTCATATGCTACGCATTGGTGTGTCGTAGAGAAATGCGTCATGAGAGCGTCAGGATCTTTCTTGGATGCGAAATCAGTGCATAAGGATTTGGCAGCGTGAAGCAAGTTGTCTCTGGTGATGCGCATCGTATTATTCGGATGGTGGTTAAACGTAAACGTTAAGAGCACGCTGCTTAGCAAAGACAGCCTCAAACTCACGGACATGTGAATTCGGACGACGGAGGTTTCTTTCTTTCATCCACATTCACCTTTTAGGAGTCTTACTGGCCTCTAATATGCCGAGCGACTCGCTGATACCAGTGCCAGAGGAGGTTTTGAAGCACTCTAGAAGTAGACGCAGCAGTACCCTCTCGTGAGCAGGCTACATAGAATACTTGCGAACTTATGGTCGGGGGTGGCTAATGAACGCCAGGAATCACGCACAACATACTTGCAGTCACAACATAGAGGAAGCAGTAAAGCGTACATCAAAGCGGATATTGCAGTACGAAAGTCAGATGCAAGAACTCAGCGTCAGTCTCCCCAAGTGCCCCGCTCAATGTATTGACGCTTCCACCTGCATTTAGACCAAGCTTACAGAAGGCTTGAGCAACTTTCGAGCTATGGACAGCTTGATGCAGGGCTCTCTCGATGAACTAAAGGTCAGTGATTGCCTTGTTTCTAACTATGACTGAAGTCAATGACTTGGCTCTTCGAGCAGAGAGATACACAGCGTGCTAAGCATGCACTCGAAGAACATATACCGTGCATCCACGAGGAACTTCACAACTCTCTTGTCTCTCTGCAGGAATTGTCACATACACTTCCACAAATTCAATCACATGTAGCTGAAATACGACGTATATACGATTCTGGTCGAGAGAAAGTAAGAGATCATAGTTCTTCCCATCGAAGATTCGACTCACCAGTGAGGATAGGCCAAGACTCTCGTGACAGACCTCAGTTGGTTGAACACCGAATGGCACGAGCGTTGGCGAGTTATCATCTTCACGAATCACTCCCCAGTTTCGAGGTGGTGGACTGCCACAATGCGCGTCTTGTTTGCTGCAACTTTTATAACATTTGGATGGATTGCTTGGGTGGCAATTGCGGGTGCCTATACAGCTCACAGACAAAGGCTTGTCTGGGGGGAGAGGCTGATGTCTTAGATTCACGCCTTTCTCCGCCTCCTAATTGTAGGTAAATATTCAATTGCTATACCCGCCTCTTTTGGTGACCTGTCAACCTGTAGCATTATGTGCGAGGGGATCTGCAACAGCATATATTTAGGTTGTGAACCTCTTCCTACGAATCCAAGGGTCTCCTGACCCAAAACAGATAGTTGCATTCTACGGCACCCCAGGGCGTAGAAGAGCGAGGCATCAACTTCCATTCTCCGCTCCATGGAATATACACTATTCCTCGCACGTCCGCTTCCAATCGTGTGGGTAGACCATGAGCATACGTACGTGTTATCCAAGGTCTGGGAGATACATCAGAGCCGATATGGCCGAAGTCTGTTGGATTGCTGGAGGAGGAAGGCGAGGACCGATAGGTTTGGAAGAACGATATAAGCTCGGATGGGTTGACGAATTTTGAGTACGTGTGAGTCCCCACAGCTACCTTGCGGAGGACATATTCGCCAGCCAAAATTGTAATGAAATAGGAGAGTGGCGTCCTCGCAATCGTGGAAAGGAAAAGATGGCCTCCAGGCTGATGTCAAGCAAATGTTACACCTGTATTTGACTAGGTGTCCAGAATGAGACTTACTTTCACCAACTGGGCACAAGCAGAAAGGAACGCCACCGGGTTATCTACGTGCTCAATAACTTCCATCGAGCATACGACGTCGAACCGCTTGGGTTCTTTGACAAGCTGCTCTGCAGAAGTATGACGGTATTCCAATGAATTGCCTGAAGAAGACAACTGGGGATCACCACTAGCATGTGTCGAAGCTATCCCAATGTTGGATTCAGATGCATCAATGCCAATAGTTCGTGCTCCCAGCCTAGCGAGACTCTGGATCACAGAATAGTCCGATTCGTTAAGTCGTATTGAGCTATGAGACTGATGGCGAACCTCTGAGAGTAAACCACCTCCACAACCCACATCCAACACATCCATACCAGTCAGCACCGCGCATTTTGATTCCAACTCTCTCCTTGCATCCTCTCCTTGGTCTTCGCACGTGGCCTCAAGGATCTTTTCCCGGATGTAACGTACCCTTACAGGGTTCATTCGGTGCAACAGCGAAAATTCCCCTTGCTCATTCCACCATAGTGAGGAAAGCCGGGAAAAATGTGCAATCTCAGTTGCATTGACAGTCGAGGACGTTGCTGCCGCCGACTGGAAGCATCGAGTGCTCAGGCAAAAGCGCAAGAGGCGCGTTGTCGGTCGGACGGCTGTAGACAACATGAAAGACTCGAGCTTGGAACGGTTCAAGTTCGGGAGCAATAGAAACTCGTTAGTGACGCTATCTCGTTGTGTTGCTCATCATGTCGCTAAGGCTTAAGCTTGATCGATTGATCAGGATTCAGGGAGGTGGCCCCGGCACATTTCGAAATAATCCAAGTTGCATGAATGTGAGAGCTCAATACTACTGACAATCCTGGAGTCCGATTCCTGCCGACATGATGCGGCCAGCTGACGCGTGCGGCATAGCGCCGGGCCACCGATGCCATTTGTGACTCGAACTCGGATATGTGCGTAGACATCAATCATTGATTCATTCTTGCGTGTTCTTTACCTAACACTTGCACCGAAACCCTTGCGCATGGATGAACTGTTCCTTATAATATTTCGTGTCATTGGTACCTGGCGAATTTACTGGGACGATGTAATTACATGTGGCACCAATGTGGCACAGTCGGTAGAAGTGAGAACTCTTGAAGTGTAAAACACCGCTATCGACTCACTGACATACTGCGGCCATGTCTGTAGTAGTGTCAGCTACGCCCATCCACATCTCTGCACTTGACAAGGGGAAAATAGAGTGCATTGTCTAGTGATAAGTGATAGTACGGTAGGCATAGAAATCTCTGCATGCGTGCTGTATGAGTATGCGATAATTACAAGAGATAATATACACCGTGTTCATGATCAAGCTTCAATTTCCTGACTCTTGCGTAAAGGCCCGCCAATTTGTTGCATCCGACCCGAACCCACGTTTTGAGAATCGTGTGGGTCTACATGAATTAACTCGTCTCTTCCCATCTGTGCTAGATCCATGGACTGAGTCTGCTCTTCCCCATGACTACTATCCTGGCCACCTGTTTCGCCTAGGACTATGGCGTCCGAGTGTTGAGCATCTTCATACCAGTGTCCACCATCTCGGTATTTGCCGTGCCCGAGGGTATCGCCACGTCCAGCCATCAATCCTCTGCCTCGCCCCCTACTTCCTTGCCATCCACGTCCAGAACCTGCGGTTTGGGCACCCCAATTCGGATCCTGCCACTGACCAGCTTGTACAGCATTTGTCTGACCAGTGAATGCGACTACACCGCCCGTCATTACAAACTGCATGAGTTCTTCTTGAGACGGTGTATCGCCGTAAGTACTGTGCCACATTTTTCCCAATGCTTCCCACGATGAGGGTGCAGTGAAATCAAACGTTGTGATATCAAAATGATCAAGTCCTAGTTGCTGCAGCGCAGGCGCCGAACTCGGTTTACGAGGTTCGACTTTCTGTGTAGATGTACTGGCAGCTACCGAGGGCAACTGGTCTGATACAGGTACACGATTTTCGGGTGCCGCCGTACGGGCAGGGACTACAGACGGAACCATCGGAGGCTGGAGTTGAACATCGACTGATGCAGCTCTAGGAGGAGTGGCAGAAGACGGTCTAATATCTCGTCCAAACTCGTCTTTTCCCGCTTCAGGGAGTTTCGCCGAAATTTGATTTTGGGCTACATCTCTGATTGCTGCAGGTCTCTGAGGCGGACTATACGGTCGTGGCCGCTGCCCATTGAATCTGCGCGGGCTTCGGGAACGGCTAGTTCTTGGCCGTGAAGAAGAATTCCAATCCCTATCTTTGAAACGATCATGGTCACGGTCATCCCATCTACCCCTACCCCGACCACGACCACGAAAACCACGCTGGAATCCCCCGCGTGTGTTGGAATCGTGGAATCCATCACGCTCTCTCCCATGATCAAATTGGCTTGAACGACCCTGCCAAGAATCTCTACCAGGATCATGCTGAGCGTGTGACTGTGAGGAAGAATAAGGTTGTGGGTGAATGTTTAAATGAGATGGAGGGGGACGTTGTGATGCAGACGGGAGTTGGACTGCAGATTGCGATGGAGTACCACCATTTGAGACGTTTGCTGTCAAAGCCAGTTGTTGTAACAACGCTAGGTGCCCTGTGAGGGGTGGTGGGGCAGGCACAGTGTTTGGTGGTGTTTGGCTGCACCGAGAGGTTCAGAAAAGAGCTCCAATTCGTGACTTAAGTAAATACTTACATGCGTGGCTGCCCAGCGGCTTGTGCAGCTTGTCCAAGCAGGGCCAGAAGTGTGGATTGCACCGATTCTGGAAGAGGAGGCGTTGGACCCTGGGACGGGGTAACCGATGGAGTAATTATCGGCAATGCTTGAGTTTCGACTCGTGCGATGGGAGGCATTGGGTTTTTCACGGATTCTAACATAAAAAGCAGCCAAATCGTATTTCAGTGTAAATTCTCATTTCATTTGAGGCAGAGACGCCAGCAAAAATAGCTATTACACAAGCAGAAGAAATACTTAGCGGACACATGTTTGATTCGTGATATGCACCTTTTCGAGAGTCCATCATCTCCCTCAGCCGTGTCAAAACCGGCGAAGGAAAAGTATTTGATTTGGTCCATATATCCAGAACTTTCTTCGTCTTTTCCTGTTATTGGAGTAAGTAAGACCGCGTTGCATCCGACGTGGAGGAGAGAACAGCAAAATAATGTGGTGACAATACGCGTTAGTGGCAGTATTGGTACTCGAAGATATGAGCCAGTCAGTTGAGGGCACATTTACAGCAACATCAGGCTACGCAATCACGTTGCTTGGAGTACCATACAAAGTCACCGACGACATGGATGTCGCAGATATACGCCTGACCTGTGTTTGTGAAGTGGATCTACTCGTCGCTTACCTTCGCTTCCGCATTATCAAGCGCAATCATGTCCTGGAACAGACCATCTAAAACACCTTCAACTTTGAGTAGGAAGGTGGCAGCGTTTCCAGTCCTCGAATTCATGTCACCGGTGATACCGCGCTTTGTGGCATAACTTCGGGCAGCACGTGCTAAAGCATCAAACGCATAGAGACTTGACACCTTAGCAGTACTAGACAGTGACTTGTGAGTGCGATAAAGTATCGCAACAAGCTTAGTGTCGTGCTGTCAATGCAAAAGCTTCAGTAAACAAGCCTTCAAGGATGACTTCGAGACGCACCTCCACGGACTTCAGTGCAATCTCAGTCAATTTCGTCATCTTGGAAGCTGACAGTCGTTTTGCATTAACGACATCTTTCAGCGTGTTCTCGAAATCCTGAAAGAGTATAAAAATAAAATGAACATCATCGATGGGATAAAACGTTGGCACTAACTTCAAGGTGGTTCATCACTCCCAAAGCATCAGGCGCTCTGAAACAGTACTAGTGAGGTTAGCGAGAATGTTGATGGCAAACGGGTGTCCACTGTCAACTCGGAGCCTGGCTTTTGTTTGTTGATGTTGATGGCGCTTATGCACCTTGCGCTCATTTTCCCATCACCTCGGATGTCAACTAGAGCGAAAGCGACGCTGGCTGCGTCGTTCGCATTTTCCTCCTTCATTATATGGGCAGTTCATTACCAGCAGTCAAGGGAGCGAGAGGTGATGACTACCGTTGCTTATTATTTCATCCCTGACATTATACCTAATAGGACATGTTCCAAGGTGTCATTCGTGATGACGTTCGTCGGCTAGAGAAAATGCGGCAGCGCGAAGCAGAGTTCCATGAATCCTCTCGCAAGCGAGAAATGTATGAACAAGTACAGAATGTCGTATCAAGTGACCAGTCAAAGAAGATTTGACCGACACATGTCCCTGGTCCCAAGACGGCCATAGGTTCCTGCCCGGAGGTATCGCATCGTTGCACTGGTCACCCTTTTGGGTTACCCATAACACTTTGCGGCAATGTATATCCTGTTTTCAATCATAGGGGACTGAAATTAGAGTTAGTATCTCATCAGCTCCGTTTCACGGACCAACGTGCACTAATAAGTTAACTGCCTACATTCGTTGTCCTTATCAATTTGAAACTCGAACCCTTCACCGCGGCCTGGTTCGCAGGCTACATTCCCACCTGCGGTGCTCTTGACTCTGATAATCTACCACGTAGCATGGGCTTGTTGTGTATCCGACGGGGCCAACAAGCAATCACTGTAGTGACCTGCAAGAGGCTCTTCTCTCAGAATCGGTAGTTTTGTGAGTGAATGGCACACGGTGATCCAATCCCTGATACGCTATAATGTTTTGACCCACGAACAAGTATATGATGAAGTACAAGAGTTACTACCCAAACCCAAACTACGTGAATATTCTACAATTACCACTAGCCACCATGTTCTAGTCTTGAATTTGCACCTTGATGGCACCTTGAGAAGGGTCTGCAGCGACATGGAAGGCAGAAACAGCATCCTCCAGTTTAAATCGATGCGTAACCAGAGGCTTCAAGTTGATCAGACCGCCAGCGACAAGGCGTATGGCTTTAGGGTACTGATCACATACGGTGAGCATATCGAAATTCTTGCAGAAAGGAGCATATGTACCTGGTTAGCATATCTGTATTGGAAACTAACATCTATCTCATTGGCACTCAGGTGCATGAACGGGAACTGAAAGTATGACAAATTGAGTGTGAGAAAATTTTGGGCTTTTACATACCACTTGTTCGTTCTTGCCGACGCCAATGATGAATACCTTTCCACCAAATTGCGTTGCCTGGGTACCATCCAGCATAAGCAAAGACTCTTGACAGCATAGACAACTTCAGCGTTTCTTACATGTATTGCAGTATGCACACTGCTCTCCACACCGCTGCACTCAATCGCAACCTTCACAGGGCCATCAGCGGCGGCTTTGATCTTTTGGGCCGCATCCTTTGGCGTCAAACCACGCTCGATCAGTACCGTACGCACACCAGGAACGAGCTTCTTTGCAAAGTCGAGGCGGCTCTGGAACAGATCGGTGATTACAATGGGCTCGGCGCCTGCAGCACGTGCCGAAAGAAGAGAAACGAGACCGATCGGTCCAGCGCCACTGAAAGCCAATCAATTATAGGTCATAACATGAAATCCTGAATGCAAACACACCAGATCAAAGTGGGGTCACCAAGGCGGAGACCAGCACGCTCGACGCCTGCGAGAGCTACAGCCAGGGGCTCGCAAAGAGAGCCTTCTTCGAAGGAAAGGGAATCAGGCAAGCGGTGCAGCCACTCAGCAGGGTGCAAGTGATAGCGAGTTAGGGTTCCTAGAAAGCAGCTAAGCATCAATAAAATTTGAATGTTTGGGATTCCTACCATGGAAAGGAGGAGTGGAGAAGAAGACAACATCAGGACCTGTAAGGAGATACCTCGTCACGGACTGCTTGACGATAGGTTAAAGTGGACACGTACAAGCGTTATACCTACCGACCCTGCAATATTCACAAGAAGGTTTCGAGCAGGGTACGCCGGCCTCGATTGCAACGCGGTCCCCTAGGTAGATGAGTTAGCCCTTTACATCATCAGCATGCTGGGATGGGTAGCTTACCTGCTTTCCACTGAGTCACGCCCTCACCTATTTCAATGACCTCTCCTGCAGACTCGTGTCCGGAACCACACTGTACTCGAGATTAGATGCTATTTTCAAGCGATTCGCAATGACTGAACCAAACCTCATCAGTCACAACCATAGAATCACCAACGCGTCCATGCTTCCAGAAATGAACGTCACTTCTGATCATCGCAGATCACATTAACACAACGTTCAGGATGTTGAAATGCAAAAACAAACCCGCAGATCCCAGTTGCACGGACGTGCACCAGCACTTGTCCAGGCCCTGGCGTTGGGCGTGGCTTTTCCACAAGGTGGATTTCAGTGATTGGGGTTATAGAATGCCGCGATGTTTGCATCTGAGGCAGGGGCCTCTCCAGATGCGAGGACGCGGAATGAAGGGTCGTCGAGGACCTTGCGAGGACTGTAAGTTTCTGCGTATCCACCGTCAGGCATCGTGATCTAGATGGGAATTAGATGATGAAGATGGTTTTTGGAAATCAGAATTTATGGCGATTGCATGGTGGCACCTGAGATTTATATGCAGCCTCAAACATGGTCCATTATGGCAAGATTATGGTCAGCAGGTAAAGCAGCACGAAACACACGCGACACGGTTCCGGTCCGAAGGCAATGAGGTCCGCATCGAGTTAGCCTTATTGTTCTCACCAAGCGAATTAAGACGACGGAGAGTTGATTGCCAACTGATGTACAAATGCTGTCTGCAACAAAACGAATCCAATGTTCAAGATTACACAATCCCAGTGCTTCTATGGTATCGAAAGGGTATCGATCCAGGCGGGCGAGCGAGCGGCGGAGCAGAAAATCCAATGGTACAGGTGTGTCATATTATTAAAGGGGCAGCAACAAGGCGCGTGCATTCTAATCACGGAGCTTGTCCGCCAGTGAAGCGCTTGAACGTGAACCTATATCAGGATAGAGTCAGGGGTGTTAGTCGTGAATCCAATAGACACGACTTACCCCAAGAAAGCAAGATCTTTGTCAGATCCGACTTGTTCAACAACTTCAAGCTGTTCAGGAAGGTTACCAAGCTCATCAGTAGGGAAGTATGTGGTATCTGTAATCGATGATAACGCGGGTACGAAAGGCGGCGCGATATAACGTAGATTATCCCAGTCGGCTCCATAAAAGAAGGGATGGTTCTTGATTTCATTGACTCCCAGACGGGTGTTCGCCCACGTCATCATGCTAAAGCGAAATGAGTACAACGCCTTTGTTTGTACGTGAGCAGCAGAGTCGCACCTCCGAATCAGATGCTCAGCTTCCTGGCTAAGGTGGACTTCCTCCGGGAAGTATAGGTAGTTCGGCCATTCGATGATTTTCTTGTATGTATCACTTGGATTTTCAGAGCAGAATGGCGCGTATCCAACCACACACTCAAAAAAGATTGCACCCAACGACCACCAATCACATTCCTTGCCATAACCTTTCAGCATGAACACCTCTGGCGCAATGTAATCCGGCGTTCCTACAAAGAGCTTGAGCGGCGCCTAAAGATTCGACATTTGGTCACTTACCGACAGTGGAATATGCCTGGTGATACAAGAATCAGTGTCGATGTGTAGTAGAATACAAAAAGACTAACCAGTTTTCGTCGGTTGGCTTTCCAAGTAGCAATTTGCTCGCGACTCATTGTAAGGTGGATAGCATTGACCTGGACGCTATTTCGGGCATGATCCTTTTGTTTGTCTTGATCTATCAAACGCTTGTAGAAATCTCCATCTGTAGTCTTGTGCAGACCAGTCGAGAGACCAAAATCAGACAGCTTTAAATGCCCGTTCTTGTCTATCAAAATGTTATCGGGTTTGATGTCCCTAGAACGAAAATTTATATGCTTATCATGAACATGGTAGGTTATTACGCACCGATGAATGTAGCCGAGGTCATGAACAGCCTCAATAGCAAGAATGCACTCCGCCATGTAGAACCGCGTCACATCTTCAGAGAAAACATCGTATTTCATGAGCATGGTCATTAAGTCGCCTCCAGGAAGAAACTCCATGATGAGATATAAGTATAGTGGATCCTGGAAGGAATAAAAGAGTTGAACGACCCAGGGTGATGTAGATTCAGCCAGCAAGTCACGCTCCGCGCGAATATGAGCAAGCTATAGAACCATTTCATCAGTACAAACTAAGAGGTATGGCTTGTGCATACAGACCTGATCTCGCTTCAACATCTCAGCCTTTTGGAGGGTCTTCATGGCATAGACTTTCCCAGTGTCTACTTTCTGAACCAATCTTACCTACGTGTTAATCAAGTGGTGAGCTCAGGGAGAAATTCAGTGAACAACCTGGCATACCTCACCAAACGCACCCTTCCCAATGACTTTGATTGTGCGAAAGTCCGTGAGACGAATCTTTGTCCGACGTAATCGTAGATGTTGTGACTCCAGCTTGCGGTATTTGCGAATTTCGCGTTCTTTCGACTCATTAGGTATCATGGCTTGATTAAGTCTGTGCTCCAGTTCTGTGCGCCTGTAAGTGGCGTCAGTGACCGTTAACTGAGGAAACGAACAAACGACCGGCTGGCGCACCTCCCATTGCGTTCGATCGCGGCATCGACAGCAAGCTTGTAGTAAGATTCAAGCTTTAGCTTTGCAGCAGTTGCACGAGATACGGCATCAGATGAAAAGCTATCAGTGCTCCGCTCGAAATAAACGTAGTCATCGCCTTTCCTCTTGCTCGTTGAACTCGTGGAAGCAGGAGAACTAGACCGTTGCTGGCCTGATGGTGATGCGGAAAGTTGGGTAGATTGGGTAGAGCTGCCACCGCTGGTGTTCGAGCTTACTGAAGCTACGGTCTCTTCGGACTGGCGTTGGCTCATGATGGTTCAGAGGAAAGCGAAGGTACAACCGCTGTAACTAAATTGTCGTGGTGGAAAAATCAAACACAACGAAATGGAGAACGTAAAAGATGTCTCAGAAAACCGAGTTTGTGTTGTTATGGAAGGTATACAAACTTCCAATGATTAAATTTAGTCTACATGAGAGCAAAACTATATAATTATGTACAGCGAAAAACACACTAAACAAGGCCCAGATGTCAATTTTAGGTGCTAGCAGCTAGTGGTCCAAGCAGCGTTAGACTCTGAAACACAAAAAGGTACTTGTCATTGTGTGATTCAGGCAGGTAGTGCACGGTGTTGGCTGTGAAAACACATTTCTATAGAACTATTGCTACTACGAAAAACTGCAGTGGCTTCTGCGCGTGAGGGTGAGATGAGGGTGCGCTGGAGTAGGATAGCCCCAATTAGTGGTAGCTGTTGTTTGGATCCAAAGCTTTTGCCAAACAACACTTCTCAACAGACTCGTCCAAACTATTCTTTGCCAGAACCACGTGTCAGGCCCTTCTGTTCCATTATGTCAGAGCTGACATACGATTCGTTGATGGATGATGGAAACTATCTGGGCTCTGAGCGGGCCCGGATGGAGAACAAGGTCATCCTCGATGAGCTCGAGCGAAAGAAGAAGGCGCGCAACTTAGCTGTACCAACGGACGACAATAAGGTCAAAGCGAGACTGCGAGAAATTGGTGAACCTATCACACTTTTTGGTGAACGAGTGAGTTTTACAACAGTGTAACTTCATCATGTGAGATTGACTGTAATATTAGGCAGCAGATCGACGAGACCGACTGATATATGTCCTTTCACAAATAAATGCCGCAAGGGGTGATGACCACCCAATCGAAGAGGCATCCTCTGAAGAAAGCGAAGAAGAAGGGGTATGTAGTTCCTAGCTCCTACTTGATGGAGCTATTGCTGACCCAGTTTACAGGAGGAGTTTTACACCGAAGGCTCCCTAGAGCTTCTTCAAGCTCGAAGGAATCTCGCAGAATTTTCTCTGCCCAGGTTGGATTTTACCTGCCGATAGGTGATTTCAGTAAGGTGCTTACAATATCTCTTTCATGTCCTTTGCAGAGCTCAAAAGCGCGTCGCTCAGCAGCGAATAGACAGCAAAATACCATTAGGGCGCATAATCGACATACGGAAAAAGGTTTTCGCAGGGGTCAAGGTAAATGATACGGAACTATAAGGACGCCATTGTTCATGAGCACCCGCAGCGTTTTAGCAATATTGGTTCACAAATTGGCGACGAGCGCCCGATATCGCAAGTGCGTTTTGCACCCAATAATAAAATTCTAGCCACCGGTAGCTGGTCCGGCACCGTCAAGTTGTGGAATGTACCTGCATGCACAACTATACGCACACTCAGAGGTGAATATCCAAACTATAATAGCGCTTTCTTGTGCTGATAATAACCTCAGGTCACGGTGATCGTGTTGGTGGTGTTGCGTGGCATCCGCAAGCAACATTAACTCAAGAAGAAGGATTAGTCAACTTGGTGTCAGGTGCAGGAGATATGTGTGTCAATCTATGGTCTTTGAATAGGTGAATCCTCTCTTTGAATTTTCTTCGCCCTGGAACCTCATAGTCTTAAATAGCGATGCACCGCTCTCTGTGATGAAGGGACATGCAGATCGCATCTGTCGTGTAGCATTTCACCCTTCCGGTCATTTTGTTGCTTCTGCTAGCTTCGATACCACTTGGCGATTATGGGATGTGAACTCCTCGAAAGAATTGCTCCTCCAAGAAGGCCACTCAAAGGAAGTGTATGCTGTTGAGTTCCAAGGTGATGGCGCACTAATCGCCTCGGGGTGAGTCCATGCCTCTACAACACAATATACCTTGGATAACAGGAATCCTTAGGGGCCTAGATGCTATTGGACGAGTGTGGGATCTGCGCACAGGACGCACAGCGATGGTACTCGACGGTCACGTCCAAGGCATCTTCGGAATCGACTTCTCTCCAAACGGGTGGGGTTGTCTCCGACAGCTTTCTGCCTATCCTAATGACGATTTTTGAATAGATATCAAATCGCGACTGGCGCTGGCGACGACACAATACGGATATGGGACATGCGCTCTCTGAAGGCCCTGTACACCATCCCCGCACATGTCTCCAATGTGTCCGACGTCCGTTTCTTCCGTGCTGATGCACTCCCATCATTCAAGCCTAAGGCCGAATCCGCAGATGTTTTCATGAACGAGAATACCGAAGGTACAGATGCAGACAAGAGTCATGACACTGAGGACGACGTCCAGGAGTGGAAATATCGCTCAGGGTTGTATCTAGCCAGTTCTGGATACGATGGCTACGTGAAGTTGTGGAGCGCCGACGATTGGCAGCTACTCCGCACGCTAACGACAGATTCGGGCAAGGTCATGTCTGTGGACTTAACAAGCGATGCGGAGCTGCTCGCTTCCGGTACTTACAATCGCAATTTCCAATTATTCGCTCCAGAGGATATCCCAGTGTAATAATGCTTTGCTCGTGATAATAATTGTTACTTCAGAGATACAAATGCGAGCTGACCCAACTGGCAGTGCGTATTATACGGTTGCTATGAGCAGCACATACATATAGTGTTCGGTTGGAACACGGATCTTCTCGATCCGGGACCAATAAATGAAATTATATAAG